AGGATCGAGTATCGCATCTGAGGACCCGCAGCCTTTGCTCCCCTGCTTCCACTAGAGGAGCCCTTCTCGGGGGAGTGTTCGCAACCTCCCCCGTCCACCCTCCTACGATGACACCCACCGGCCATGCGGAGGTGTCGTCCCTTCCAGGTCGCTTCCAGGAGCACAAGCTCCGTCGTGCTCACCAGCGACCCGCGGCGGCGCATCAGGCCATTATCTGGCCCGACGCCGCCTCCTTCGAGCGGGATCGCCCATCTCCCGATCCCGCTCGGCGGCCTCCTTCTGGAGCATCACCGCTTCACAGAAGGATTCCACAGCCCTCCAACCTCCCTTATCCGCCACCATTGCGTGATACCTACCCTGATCCCTCCATCCCGTGAAGTCATGGAGCCGACAGAAACACGACACCACAAAAAGGTCAAGTTGTTTTATTTTGCTCTACTGTAAGGTGGAGGTTACTTCGCTCCCCAGACGGTTCACCCTCCTATTTTTGTATACTTTACCACCACAACAGCACAGCAGGGCTAAAATAGCGCTCGCTTTGTAAATATAATAATTACCACAAATTAAAAAATAAATGATACTTACACATTCTGTTTTTGACAATGGACACGGACACTTTTCGCAGCATGCAATATGTCCCACTCATGTTTTAAAACTTTACACGCGGTTCTTATGGCCTACAGACCTATTTTCGTTTAATATCAACGAAAACCATTGTCAATGTGTTTTTATATCCGCATCCGAGTATGTAAATAAAATGACAGAAAATTTAACTGTTATGAACTCGTATTACAGACTATAATCGGAGGTTAGGAAAACCATTAAATGAAACTGAAATGTACAATTATTACTTACTAGCTGTGCCCCGCGGTGTTACCCGCGGTTTATTAGGGAAAATAAATTTTGTTTTAACAGTAAAAATAATAACTATTCACATCATCGATTTTCCCATGAGAAAAGATATTTTCCCGCCGTTAAACGTAGCCTATTTGTTAATCCAGGGTGTCAGCTAACTCCATACCAAAATTTATTTAAATCGCTTCAGCCGTTTAGGCGTGACGAAGTAACAAAAAACACACACACACACACACTCACAAACTTTCGCCTTTATAATATTAGTGTGATAGGCACCAATTTAAATGATCAATATTAAATATTAATTAATTCATACTGAAAAAAATACATTGGTACCTTGGCTTAAGGATACCAATGCGTAAATGTTTAGGTGATATTTTTTGGGTATCATTTAAAATATTTCCCTTACTTATACCGTACTACGGTAACCATAGTACCTCTTTCAGCGACTCTGTCTGAAATCGTTAGACTGTAACAATACGATTTAACGTTCCTAAAAAATATACAGTGTATGAAAAAAATATAAGCATATAAATCATATAATATAAGCAAGAGTCGTAGCAGCTTAGGCTGAGACCTACATTGGCCTTTCCTTTTTATTTTTATTATATCTTTTTCACTTTATTATTGATTTTCTCTTTATTTATTCAATGTATGTTGTTCTGTAAATGTTTTAGGTCAATAAACGTTTTTCTTTCTATAAGTAAAGGTAATTATTCTGCTGTGCTTCTGCCTAATTTAACAATCTTATAAATAAATAACAAAATTCGTTGATGTCTTTTTTAACACTGTAGCAAGAAAGCTCCGAAAGACTTCAACGATATTTAACTTATTCGTAGCATTTCAGGTGGGTATATAATTTATGTACATAATTCATATTATTTATTAGTCATACCCTCATATAATCTTCACATTATTTTTTCATAATTAATTAAAAAACTGTCCATTTATCGAGCAACAGGTTTCAATTGAATAGCACACAGTGGTCGCACGCCATCTATCTTTCATTTCATTTGCGATGCTTATCACACGCTTTATATTATATCTTTGCTTTGACACAATCTATCTTATCTTCTATTATATCTTTGCTTTATATTATAACTTTGATTCGAATCGGTCCACGGTTGAGGCGGCAAGGAGTGTTGCTCCTATATTAATATCTAACTGGAACCAAACTATATCGACGAGAAAAAAGATATTACTGATATTTCCGCAAGTTAAATTTGTAACTGCGGCAACTACGGAACCTTTGTGTATCTATTTACTTAAAATACGGAACCCTATTGCACGTGACCTGACATCCGATGCGCACTTAGCAGATTTTTATACCATGTTTTTACTACTGAATGATTTATTTTCTCTCACAAAGCCACAAAGTAACATTATAGTTAAGTAAAAGTGTATTGAATGACCAAAACAGTAGGAGATTGTACTAGGTTAAAAACCTGTGTTACGACACCCAGGCTCAAATCCTCATAAATATATAATATAGCTGGCGATAAGGTACAAACATTACTTGCTTTCAGTTCCATAGTTCCATCCAGTTGAGTTCACTCATTTTGTTCTACGTGCTCTACATAGCTCTACCACAGTATATATATATGTTACCGGCAATCTGTATAATACGGCATTTTATACAATGCCTAGGCAATGCTTGAATGCCAAAAACGTCAAGGCAATTATGTATGAAATATTATTCATTTTATACTTTGCCTAGGCATTGTATAGTATACTATATACAATGCCGAATGCGCAGTCGGCAATGTGTGTAAGAGAAGTTAGCGTGTCGATTTTTCCTTGTTTTATTTATCTATTATCCATTGCTGCATCCACTGCCGCGGGACACTCGCTTTGCTCACTTGACTCGCGCTAAGTTTAAGTCCCAACACTAACTTAACCTAACCCTCTGTCTGTGAGTTGGTCAAAAGTTTATTGGTCTGTAATTCATTCGGTGAGAATTTTAAGATCCGTCCGTCATCTTATATGCAACTGGTTAGGTTAGGTTGGGTTTGGTTACTACGCAGTTACGCCTGGAGGGTGAGGGATAGATCGGGGAGTTGGTTTACCTGGTAGGTACGGGAGCTGGTCAGCTGGCTAGCCGCTCGGACTGCGGTCCGTGAGACTAGTCATCAAATTAAGCTATACTTTGTCAGTAAGGTGACGCTGTGAACGGAGAAGCCCAGGATCGGTCAAAGCGGGTGCGGACCGGGCTGCCGATCGGAGGTGGGGTGGTTTGATGTATGCCACGCTTGCGTGAGTGCACATCAAAGTATACCCGCACCGACTAGCGGCCCTCGGGCTGCTCGCCGCTTGCCGAATGCACCACGCAATTACCTACGTCGCGCGGGTTTGTTAACTGCAAACCAACGTGGCGTTGGCCATTGTCATGGATATAATACATTTTTTTCTCCCCGTCATCGAAAAAATAAAATAAAAATAAGTTTGGGTTTGGTTAGAATAGGAAATACAGGCTAAATCTGTTTATTTTACACATTCCCGGTAGGCCAGCAGGTAATATACACAATCCCTTGGAATTTTATTAAAGTATAAAATGGAAAATAATATATATTGCGATTTCACTATTCTGACAAAAAAGGAGTTCGTAAGTATTATTACTAAAAAAAAGTACTTTTTGATTTATTGTCATAAGGTACGGCCAGAGTGCACTCAGATTCAGATTCAGACTCAGAAAACAAGCGCGAGAAATAAACAATGTAGTTAAATCAGGGTGGCCATAGTGGCAGCAGGCAACCTGCTTAAACTACACTGTATATTTCTCGCGCTTGTTTTCTGAGTCTGAATCTGAATATGAATCTGAGTGCACTCTGGCCGTACCCATATGACCGAAATTGCTTAATATTGTAGAGCTTAAAATGACTTCACCTGTAAAAGGCCATATTTGCTAGAAACGTTTCTACGGTATATTTGAAAACAGAGTTGTTTTTTTTACTGATATAGGTAAGTAAATGTCTCTATGCTAATTGACTATTTCTGAAATATGAAACTTAAGCTATTTTAATTGTTACAAATTGATTCAAATAGAACTACTTTTAGGATTTGCGTAGGTACTTTAAACGGATAATTAATGGCATAACTAATAGGCTAGTGCTGTTTTACGATATTTTCTGAACTATCGTTTCTCGGGAACCTCAAAATTCACGGTTTTTATGGGGTCACCGTGTCACCGTCGGCCGACACGAACGTCAGACCGTCTAATTTTTTTGTTAGTTATTATTATAAATAACTCACTGGATACAATTGCCTGCTACCAACACGTTCGAAAAGCATTATTATTAAGTATTATAATGTAAAAAATCGCATACTAATGAATAGCTTATTTAAATAAACGACCTATTAAAATAAACATGGACAGGCTATAAAACTAATTTTGTCCATTACTTTGTAAATTAATACAGCTACTTTACAATTAACCCGCTTAGGGGCCGTGTTGAGACGTGCGTGTGTTATTTCGAACTAGCCTTACATATAAAGATACGAATCTTTTTGGTACAATAAACTACCTACATCTTTAATCTAATTCATCTCGTTCAATATTTTCTCAAGTTTAACATTTTCTCTTCATCTAGCTCACCAGTTTAAATAAGCCCAAAATATCAACGAAATTATTTTATTCATCTATCATGGAATCGTTTGAAAAAATTTTACTTTTTGTGGTATATTCATGTGTTGCTCACTGTAATTACCTAAATCCAGCTTAACTTACACTAAAATATACTTTTAAAAGTTTATTTCTGTAAAAAAGTGGGCCCAATTATGTAGTCTTAACTTACTAAAGAGCAGAGTCTTTCGCTTTCTTCGGGTAGACGAACGATTGAACTAACGGAAGCGAGTGATAAAGCTGATGTGAACTAGATTGACCTAGATAAAGTATGAATTACAGTGAAATTAAGCTATACTTATCTTTGTCAGTGAACAGTTCATTCTCATCTTTCTTTTGTGAAATACTCAAGTCTATTTCGAACGTTTGTACGTAGCTTCCTTACTGTAAAATTTATATACTGTGGCTCTACGCTACGAATTTCATTTTATCCGTTCGTTTCGTTCTTTCTGTAATCCTGTTCTGTCAGAGCCGTCATTCGCTCTGTCTCAGTTCATTCACTCACTTACTGGGACTGGCTGGGCTTGTTCTGGGTGTGATCGTCTGAAGTAATTCTATTGTTGTTTTAAATTATTTACAATGAAGCAAGATTGCGTGTAGTAGTTGAAATGTGTAGCAAGGTAGCGAAACTTTGTATTGTGTATGACAAGTGTTCAAAGTGACGATCATTAGTATAACGAATAAGGTAAACTGAAGATGTTCTCATAAGACAAAAGGCTTCGTCCTTCACACATTTAGCTAGAGCATCATTGTTTAAACAAGTCGTTATCTGCACGTCGCCGATAGTATTAGACAGTGATTATAGAAATGCTAACGATGTTTCACTGCATGTAAGTACACACCTACGTAATACAAGCGCTCGTCCTGCGCTCAAATTAGTTCCAACAAGACCTTATTACTAACTTCTTTTCCTTCCCGTGTATGGTGGTGGGCTATCGCTTCTGTAACATATGACGCAAAATAAGGCACTCGGCTTACTAATGGGTCGTCATCATGGCTAACGTTAAGACTAAAGTAAATACTTCGGAAAATAAACCGAAAAGAGGACGAAATTCCACAAAAAAAACATCATCGTCCAATGTAAATAATACTATTGAATCCGTTACAGTCATGAAACGACCCAGCAATTTGTCGCTGTTGACACCTGAAGAGAAAGTGCAATATTTATTCAAGAATGGCCATTTAGTTAGAGACAAATTTATTCGTAAAGCCCCCATAAACAATGGAAAGATAGATAAAAGCTCCTTGCCAATAACCAAAAATAGTTTGATGTCTAAAAGTGGGAGAATTAGGAAGAAACGTATGGATAACCTGAGATTGTTTGATAACATCTTGAAAACTGAACTGCTAATTGAAGATAAGAAAAAAAAACCAATCCAAAAAGACAAAGGTGCTAACAGTAACAACAACAATGATGATGTGAGTGATCACAATGTTGATTGGGACCTTACTCTGCTTGACCCTTGTAACCTTCCAACTGTCTTCAATGATGTGAAAAAAACAACTCCACCAAGAAAAAAGAAGGCAGTTAAACGTTCACCTAAAACATCAACTGATATCACTAGGCCTGCTCAATCATTTCAGTGCAATTACTGTGCCAAGATGTTTGAAGCCAAGTCATCTCTCAGTAGGCACATTTATGGCCATCTTAATCTAAAGCCGCACAAATGTCCTCACTGCCCAAAAAAATTTAGATATGAACCAAAAGTGCAAGAACATATAGTTCAAGATCATCCGGAACTAGATGATGCTATTAGAAATTTCATCTGTGACATATGTGGACAATACTTTCTCTTAGAAAAGAATTACAATGAGCACTTGGCAACCCATGTCCATAGTGATGAAGAATATAAATGTCTTTTTTGTGAAGAGTCATTCTCCCAATATTCAATACTGATTAAGCATGAAAAACAACACTTGGTAACTGGCCGTTATATATGCACAATATGTAAAATGAGCTACACATGCCGTGACCACCTTTCGTTACATCTCAAGGGTCATCTTAAAATAAAAGAGTTCATGTGTCAATATTGTGGCAAAGAATTCCTGCGACTCAATTCTATGCAACGACATGTACAAGTATGTCATGCTGGCCACAGGATCAAATGTCCAATATGCAAAAAAGAGTTAAAAGGTCATTTGACTGAACATATGAGAACTCATGAAAAGAAGCGACCACATAAGTGTCCTGACTGTGGGCAACGTTTCACTCAATCTACTCAGTTGAATGTCCATAGGCGCTCACACACAGGTGCCCGACCTTACCCATGTAGGATCTGTAATCACCGTTTTTCACATTCAAATGCATTGATGCTTCATATTAGACGTCACACTGGTGAGAAACCTTTCCCATGTGCTATGTGCCCCCTGAAATTCTCTCAATTGCCACATATGAAAGCTCACATGAGAAATATACATGGTAAAGAAAATGCATATAAATGCAAAAAGTGTGCACAGTTTTTCAAGTTGAAAGTTGATTTAGAGAACCATCAAAAGAACTGCACTGTCGGTGACAAAGAACTGAGTTTTGAGGAAAAAATTGAAGCATCCATTAAATATGAAGAGGTCGAAGTGGAGTCAGTGATGAGTCTGTCACGGATGAGGTATCTTCTGGCTCTGTTGCTGACTATGATTGCTAGCAAAGACAAACTGAAGTACCTAGGTGCGTAAACTTTTTATAATAATGGTTTTAAGTTTTTACACTTTCTCATTATACTGTATGCACTCTTTTTTTAAGTGTGAAAAAACATGCTTCCTGTGTGTGCCAGTAACAGGATTCCATTATGGAAGTGCCAACATGCTCATAGTCATATTTTACAAGTATATTAAAAACAAAGAACATTCAATAGAAAGCTTAACAATAGTTTTTTTTTTCACCTACATTAGACATCAACGGTATCCATGCCTTTAATTACTTGGTCATTGATAGAGTCACTTAAACAATAACTAATTATGCACTGTCATTAAGCCTGTGAGTGTGGTATTCTCATTGGTTAAACAATATGTAAAACACACTTCACTTTATTCATGGCAGTTTATTAATATTCAAATTTATACATTCTGTACGGGTTGACATTGAATATAAAAATAAAGTATAAACTTGTGTTTTGTTCAGTTCTCAGTTTTTTCTTTTAATTAAAGTCTCGTCTCAATATTAAAAATATAGTTGACTAAACTTTCAACTCACTTTTCTGAGTTCCATTCCAACCAGAAATTTATCTAGTCTAGGTGTCCTTTGATTAGATATTATTAATATGTACATTTTAAAGTATATTCAAATGAGTTAAACTCAAAAAGAAATTAGAGCAATGTTTGTGTCATAGTCTGATTTTGCAATGTAGACAATTTTTATTTAACATTTGAATGGGTTCTAGCGTGTTTGTCTGCTTACTGTGACGTTCAGCGACTCCTCAAGCAGATCCTGTTTATTACTTAGCATTATCATCCTTGTTTTTATTCTAGCTAATGTTCTTGTTAATCTAAGAAGCAGCAGGCGAGTCACAACGTGAGGTCATATTGGTAATGTTGAGAGAGTGAGTTCATCTCCATTTTGTTGTTTAATTTATGGTGCCGGTCGGTGATGGTGGGATTCAATATTGTTATGGAGTTGGATTTAGTTTTAAGAAAACGGAGCATAGAATCAGCTTTAAATTTAAGGTGGCGGCTGGATAATTGGTTCTTCTTATTTCAAAACTTTCCCTTTCTCAACAGTATGAAGTAAAAATATATTTAAAAATTTGTACATCATTAATTAAGTATCTAAATGGCTCTAAGTACAATAAATAAAAGCATAATAAGTAACCTATGCCTAGTATTGTAAATAAATTGATTTATTCTAAAACCTTTAAATATAAGTTATATGAAAAGTTTGTAAATATGGATATTCATCAAGTACTTACTCCAGCAATACATGAAAACTTAAGTGTGATATACTAATACACATAATATTATGACAGGTTTCAACAAACGCCTAATCGATGAACTGCTGCTGGAATCTCTTGAAGCTATGGGCATTACACCATGCAAAGATGAATCTCTGACACCTATAAAACGTCTCAGGACTAACATTGAAATGTTATTGAAGGGTACTGTGCCAAAAACGGAAATGGAAAAACTGACATATGAAAATAAGTCTACAGAAGAAATATTGGAACTTCTTACTGATGAGAAGAAATCAGAATAGATACAGGCATTGGTTTTTAAAAAGGAAGGCCGGGTGAGTTGCGCCCTTCCCGTAGGGCCTTGTGCCCATTCCAACACAGGTATGGATGTCAGGTTACATACCTATTTTAAATTCTAAGCTTCTTCAGTCAATGCTGATGGAAACAAATTTATCATCAAGCAGTCATAGCTAACAATGATACCGTTTGTAATTTTAGAGGTAATTTGTATTAAGCCAAACCACAGAACACAGAGAGGTTAGATGGGCTTGCCCCCACTACACTTCCACCTAATAAATAATAACCAATCAAACGAAGCTACATCAAACAATCGAACCAATCAGCGCTCACGTCCGAGAGCAACGACGCAATCAGAACCAAAATTTGGTCAAGTTAAGTGCATTTGCTCACACACAACTGTGGCGCGCCTGCCCCGCCCATATGGCGTTTCCAACCTCTTTCTGTATTCTGTGAACAAAAGTATTGGTTTCGTATCACTTGTTGGTGACCTCTAGTTACACAAAAGTTCATATACATAAACAAACAATCAGAAACGAAAGAAAAATGAGCAAATTCGCATTGTTATTTCATTCTTTCAACAATAATTTATTAAGATAGAGCATCACTTTTTTAATGGGATTCAACTAACAATAGGACCGATTGGGCGCAATATTGTGACGTCATAGCTGTCAATTCAAACCAAATAGGTAGAGTGAGCAAAAATAAGTTTTTATTTAATAAAACTTATTAACCAAGATTAAGTGAGTAAAAACATCAGATTATTTTATGAAAATTATTTACTAAGATTGAGAAAAAAAACGATTTTTAATAATATTTATTTATTAAGACTGTGTGAGAAAAAACATTAATTAAAATCTAGCTCTTCAATTCCACTCATCTCTGCATTACCGCCGAAGTAGTTATGAATAATCATGCACTATTACTAGGGCACATACGAATATGCATCCTTTAAGTAAACGAAAGTTTTAAATCCAGTTTATGAACGCAACTTAAAGTGACATTTGCTTGACGATTTAGGTTATCAACCATTCATAGCCAAAGCTAAATGAATGAAAAAAAATATCAACCAATATTAATTATCAATAGTTGTTATTGTTTGCTTACAAATGTTTGGTTTTTATTTTAGAATTAGCTGAGTGCTAAAAAGGGTTGCAAGATTCTTTGCAAACCGTACTTTTTAAGCGTGATTTGACAGATGGAGGTCATTGGCTTTCCTATTCTTAATTGAATCGCACTATAGGTTTCCCCAGTTCATTGTTTACCTTCTTAGTATGTAATAATTACTTACTATCACAAAAATCCTCTGCTTATGTTAGGCTCAGATCAAAAAAACTTTTTATTTGATCTGAGATGTTAGGAATTAAACACCGCGACGGTGGCTCCCTCCCCTTATTTACATTTTTATTTATGTGCAACAAAAGTTCGGTACCTATTCTTTAATATAAAATGAGTTTTTTTGACATCTATTTATATCATGCATACCAGTTATTTCGTATGCATTTTGTTTTAGCGACTAATATTTCTCCTTCTCTATTTGATCGAAGGCTGGTTTGCTAGGGCCGGAACCTACTGAAAAAATAATTACACAATATGCTTACGATAAAAAACTAAATTTTACAAACATTGTTTAAATGTCAGAAAATATTAATTATGGTTGTCTTTGCGATATTATTTTTAGAATAGTGCGTGTGTATGATCTTACAATTTAGCAGAATTATCACTGTAGCGTTATAGACATAGTGGAATAGTAACTTATTAATATTATCCCATTCATATCATCAATGTATTGTATATTTATCATCGACTTGTAGACTTAACTACGTAAAATAATTAATAATATTGGCGTCGCGTCCCTTAGTGTGTGTTAATAATTAAACCAAGGTATATATATAATCTTGTTTTTCAGTTATTTACAACAAAACGAGGTAGATGCAAATTTATGATAATTTCGAATACGCATTTTTAATGCTCAATGTTGGGTGCAAAAAATATAGATTTGTTTACTAGAGTACCTATGCATAAGGAACCTAACCTAATCTTTTTTCTGAAAAATGCAAGGAAACGGACTACCTATTGCATTTATTCATAAGAGTGAGATCACGCTGTGCGTTAATTGTGCGGTGCAGGGTTGCGTTTTATCCTTATTATATGTCAATTAAGAATTGGGTTTCATACATTTTATGCCAAAATTTAACCATCAAAGGGAGGAGTTGTTTTTTTCTAGATTACATACAAGGATGTTATACAAGCATGTTGTAAGCCCTGCTTGTTGTCAGGCGCTATGACGACCAACTGCTTAAAATAATATAACCTCCCATCATCTTTACACTTTTGCGGTACCACAAATATTACTCGCGTCGTTGCCTGTTTTGACCCCATCCCGTACCGGTTAGAGCCCTGTAACCTAATTCACTAACAGAAACAGAATACTACCAAAAAGGTTTGTCTGTGGTTTTTTGTAAGGTAGGTTTATCGACACATAACTGGCAAACCATCGTCATCGTTCTTGTCTTAACGTGTTACGAGAATGCAATGCGGGACGTGTGTTATGTTTATAGGTGTGTGGCTCGGCACATTTTTCTGCCGCAGCAGTTAATTATCGTGAGTCGGCTGGTCGCGCGCTCCGTCGTTAGCTGATCCGTTTATTGACATTTTAAAACTACTTGTTTTGATTTGACGGTACTGTTAACGCATCGTGTGACCTCGTCTTTAAAATAAATTGAAAAATGTTCTAGTTTAAGAGAATCGAATACTATTTTCATGTCATTGAAATAGAGTAAATAGTATGCTGCTGCCTACATTACACTATTCAGTACACAAAACGCTCTGAACAGTTTTCCTTTCAAACTTTAATTTACCGCCAAATTACACTATGAAATCTTAACTATTTTAGACAATAAGTGATTAAATTGACTTGCCATTGAATATAAAGTGATTAGTCCAAAGATGATTCGTAGTTGAATTGTATTTTGTCTGTTTATTTATGTTTCATTCCTCTTCATCTTAGTATATGTGTGCCATCTGTTATCGAGAGGATTGGATGTTATTTTAAAGAATATTTTTAAATTGTTACTAGATAATTATTGATAACTTATAATTTTTAAAGGTTTTATTTATATATTTTCATTTTAATGATAATATTAACGACTGTCCCCTTGGTTATTGGTTTTTTTAGTAGTTTTAAATGTAAGTATGATAATTAGCATAGATTTTTACAACAGCTGTTATGTTTTAGAAGCAGTGCCATTATTTAAAATAATTAATAATGGACCCGATTCTGTCATGATTCCCTAAACTTAAAACTGAATTTTTCAGCAGGTTATCCTCATTTTATATATAACATGATAATGATATGGATATACTATTGTCAGATTTAGGTAAGAGAATCGTGCCAGAGGTAGGCCCATTGAATCCATATTTAAATATTACAATAATTATATTGTTTGTGTGTAAGTAATCTGGTTTAACATGGTCAGTTAAAAAATGCTACAAATTGCAAACGACAGTTTTTATCAAAGGAGCCTCGACATTTTAATTCGATTCGTATATATTAGGTACCTTAATTATGTTTAAACTAAGTTTTGTTGATGGAAGATTCGGATTTTACTAATCATTGTCAGAAATTACAATATCGCCTGGTTAAAAAAAAATCTTACTACACTACAATTAATTATGTTTTATTTTAATATCATCATAAATTATTTTCTTACAAAATCGTACCTATATATAAAGGAGATGGACAATGTCTTTTTGTTAACGTAAAATCATCATTCATTAAAAAACACAAATCATTAATCATAAAAACAAATGACAGTTTGTATTAGCTCAAAAATAGGTACCTTAGGATTGTTAACATTGCAGCCGATTAAGTATTCTACTTAATTGTACCTACATGATGATCAGGGGCGTATTAACTCTAGTGCCAACAGCCGTAATAAGGCATTCGTCACTTACTGACCTACATTTTGATTTATAAAATAAGAAGTAAAGAAAACTATATGCTGTCTATGTGAGTAACCTAAATATTCATTTAAGTATCTTTGTTAATTAATTTCATGGAAATCTTAATAGGCACGGGGCGCCAGGTTTTAAAATACGCCCCTGTTATACATTTTTACATAGATATAATGTGCAATATTGTCACTGTATGTAATGGCTTTCCCCCGTTTTCCCAACATGGATGTTGTGCCCGTAGATGTTATAAATGTAATTTTCCCTGAAGATATTACAGCCAATAGAATAATATATAAACTAAAATAAATTAATAAGCGATTTTTTAAACTATCTATTATTTGCGAATAATTATAGTCCGGCTCAACAGTTCACATGGGTTTGGCTTTCTGATAAACCTACATTACATACAATCAGCATTTTTTAACTTTAATATGTATGCATGCACCTACATAAATTATTGTATTTTTTACTTTACAAATGATATGTTAAGTACTTAGATCATGTAGAATTATGAGAATTTTCCAGTATGTAATTTATTATCGGTACTTTCGCACACATCCAAATTAATGTTAAGTAAGGATGTCGGTACATTACCTTTTTACCCTTGAATTGCTAAAAACGCTATATTACAATATGAAACTATATTTTCAACCTTATCGAAAGGGCGTTTATGCACATTAAGCGTTTTTATAGATATATGTTTTTAAGGGCTACTTGACTATTGTTTCTTATATACTAAGGGTAATAAAGAGATGTACTGTACATACATATAATGCGTCGAAGGTTAGATCATATTATGAGTTTCGTTATAGAGACTTGAGAGAGTAGGTATGGCTTCAATAAAATTTATTTCATCAAAGTTTGCACCAAAGAAATACCCGCCTTATTGTGTTGTACTTGTTCTAAATCATTTATTTTGTTGATCGAAATTTTGAAAACTGATGCAGCTTTGTTTTTATTAGGTTTATAATTAAAATGTCATTGCTTATATATTATCCTGATGTACCAAAGAAATTGAAAACTAATAAAACTTTTATCTGATCAATTTTTTTTTATTCTTACCCTACTAGGTAAATTACATCTCATCGATTGTTGTGACTGATGATGATGATGCAAATACAATCTAGAATTAGGTACCTCCTTTTTCAAATATTAGAAGAGCTCAAGCGGGGATTTTGAGATTAATTTGAGCGCGGCAGAATACAATGAGGGCAACATTGCACCTTTTGAAGTCTCATTATACCTGAGCCCTTTCAATACGGTCTGAAAGTCTAGGGCTGAAAAAAAAATTCATAGACCGGCCATGACTTTTGGTGGCATCCATATCGTCAGCCTTTTGAATAGGATTCGAACGTGCCCCTTCCGCTATAGGTTCTTTAAAATCTTGCCTGACACCTGGATAAAGTGGAATATTAGTTTTTTCTTTACTTTTATAAAGGACCGGTTTATTGGTTAAAATAAAAGCAAAGCACAATGTAAATTAATTGACATGATGGGTGATAGCGAATTTCCCGCTGGAATTGGAGCGCCCGTTCGGTATGTAGCCGCTACGTAGGTTACAATGAAATAACACAACCTTCTGGTGGTGTAAATCTGTCGATGAGTAAGGTTCCTTAACATCATGGGAAAGGATAAGGATACACAAATGCAGTGATTACTTGCTCGGTGGGGTAAGCAACGGTGAGAGCGATGATTGGCAAGGCAGTTATTACCTAAGGACCAATTCACACCGGAATGGCAGCGGCGCGACGAGCACTTTCCCACTGAAAGCAGTATGAAATAATTTTGAACGTTATTTGTTTACACAATTAAAATACTATCGCTTAAGAAATCCACGGTATTGCAAGCGGGGGCATCGCGTGCGTTACTATGCGAGCCGATGTAGGTTGTAAGACTGCGCTATGATGGAGATACCTACGATATAAATAATGGGAAACTAATGATAATCATATAGTCCATTCTTAAAACTTGTTAGATCTAGGTATGGTTGCATCTAGTGGTGATAATGTGAATTCGTCCCTTGCCTCGCCTTGAAGATTATTTGAAAGATCCGATGTCATTTTCTCTATCATTTAAGTATATTTGATATTTTATTTCACAAAATATCTACTTAAATAGCGTTGAAAAGTACATAGAAACTTTACATGAGAAAGCTACACTTGGAAATACAATTATATTAAAAATATTCGAAGATATGGCTTAAAAAACTTGTATTCAAAGCATAAATATTAAAAATAAATTAATTATCCCATTACGAAGACGAAGAATATTAAGTTAATACAGCCGTATCTTCTTTGTCATTTGTAATGTGGTTTGCGCATTTTAATGTTCTTTGTATTATGCTCCATATATATATGCGCTTATTTTTAAAGAAGACTGTTTTCTACAGTATTTTTTTATTTGGACATAAAAAATAATAACTCGAATGGCCGTATCCTAACATGTTCATTGAAGATTTCTTTAAAAACTCAATATGTCAAAACAAACTTTGACAGAACCGCGTCGGTGTCATTCACTTTTTGTCGGACAGTTTCTCTTCTCCTCTGCGATAAAATACTTTGGTGATGTGGTCTTTTGAGTTTGGAAACAAAATCATTAAATAGCTATCATGGGCACAACAGGATTATCAATAACTCTTGCTAACAGCATCATTGGCGTGGGAATTTTGGCTATGCCATTCTGTTTTCAACAAGTGAGTTGTTTTTCCACACAACTAAAACAATTGTTATAATTAAACTTATGTTCTAAAAACACTGTACAAAGTTTACTTGCTCTGTGCATCGTACTGTAATTATATAGATCTTCGTCATACATAGTATACTACACAATTAAATCTAAAACATCAGAAATATTATAATTTAGAGAACATGGTTTCAATGCTGATTTCAGTGTGGTGTTTTGCTGGCTACATTAATATTGTTACTGATGGGATTGGTGTCAAGACTTTGCTGCTATTTCTTATTAAAATCAGCTCTACTTGCAAGAAGAAGGAACTTTGAGTTTTTGGGTAAAATTACTAAGTCTCATAACTTCTTACAATAGAGAAAATATGCCCTCAACATCATCAGCCTATTAATGTCCCCACTGCTGGGGCACAGGCCTTCCCTATGGATGGAATTGGGCCATATGCAGATTGGTGGGTGCTAACAACTGTAGATGCAGCTGGTACCAACGGCATAACATGCCTTCCGAAGCACGGAGGAGCTCTAGATAGTAATTTTTGATCACCCATCCAATGACCAACCACTGTGAAAGTTGCTTAGGTTCAATGATTGCAACCGAACGGGCTAACCACTTGCATCATTGAGCTCCAAATATGCCCTAGCTCATTGAATATTCATATTGGAGATTTACCATTAATCCTTCATGTGTCAGGCAGCTCTTTAAGAGGCCAAGTATATCCAGTTATATCCTCATGTGTGCTCAAGTGTTTTAGTTATTATTAGTAGGGTAATGTGAATGCAATTTATTTATTAATATTTTATTTGATAAACTTGCATCAACCTTGTGGTGCCAGCATAAGTCTTGAATACCAAATAATTTGAGATAGTAGCAGTCTTTAATATTTAGTAATTACTGAATCAATATTTATTCTATTTTCAGCATTCCATGTTTTTGGTTCAGCTGGTAAATTTGGAGTGGAAGTTGGTATAATTGGATTTCTGATGGGCACATGTATAGCATATTTTGTTGTGGTTGGGGACCTCGGGCCCCAGATCATCTCTAAAATGTTCAACATCAATCAAAGCGATATGTTAAGGTACTTACAATATACTATACTATATAATATTTCATATAAAAAGCCAAGTATGTTTGAAATACTTAGTACATTTTGGACTTTTTTCTTGGTTTCATTACCTTTGCAACAAAGTACACAATGCATGCCTATATCGTTGATTTTATCATCATCAGCCTAAAAATGTCCCCACAGTTGGGACATAGGACAGTCATAGGGATGCTTAGTACATATTTTTCATATATCTCTAAATTTATTTGTTATATTTTTATTTACCATGTGTGACTATAATTTTATGTTTCTACATTAGTCAATATAAATGGAGTAACATAACAAACAGTATTATCATAGCTGCACCATATGCCTGTCTTTTTAGTTTGTCCTTATCATGCTATATAAGTAATGAACAGGACTGACTGAAGTGCCAAATGAAGAGCAGGAATCACACAAGGTATTTGTTTGATCAAATCTACCTACCAAATACATCATAAATAATAATTTAATTGAACTTATACACAGATTACGATGTGGCTTCTATAACAGTTTATTGAAGTTGATATCAAAGTTGCAAGAAAAAAGTAATATAGTTTTAGAGTTTATGGCAAACATAGAAAACCTAATGTGGTTGTATTATCATTTCAGAACATCAATAATGGTGATTGTATCTCTTGTTTGTGTGTTACCACTGGGCCTGCTCAGGAATGTGGACAGTTTGAGCAATGTCAGTGCCGCAACTATAGGCTTCTACTTTTGCCTTGTAATGAAGGTATGAAATTTTTTTTTATTTGACTTTTTAAGACCTCGGGCTACGCAAGCGCCTCTAGCCGCGGATTCATATGCGATAGCCCTCAAAGTCAAATTTTGTATGGAAAAACCTTAGTATAAAATGCTTAGTTTTCATAGAAACTTTTAAGATGGGATATATTGTTATGGGGCTGTCAAAAATTCGTTCTTGGGGCTTTGTTTGATCCAGTTACTATTTATCCTAGGTTATAGCGGAAGCTGCGTCAGTACTGCTGGCGGGAGATTGGCAGTCGCGCGTGGAGATGTGGCGTCCTGCCGGAGTGCTGCAATGCGTTCCTATATTCTCTATGGCACTGTTCTGTCAAACGTGAGTTTTTGCAGTGCTTAGTTTTTCGTGAATAGTGGCATTTTTTGTTGTTGTTGTGCATGCTGGCTAACCTATCAACCCCAATTCAGTGTCAAAAGTTATAAAAAATAAATCTATAAGCAATAAAATATTTTGAATGTAAATGAATTTGTCATTAAACAATCAAATCTATATTTTATTGTATTGATGTTTACAATAGTTATAAGAAAATATATGTGTCAATAAGGTTAAAAGAGAAGGTCATTATGTTAAACTCATAATTAAATACAACTGCATCAAAACTAATGAAGTCTGTATAAATAATAAGTAGTTCAGTGACATTTTTAAATTATTAAAGTTGCAATATTGTTCAAAAAAGACACTAAAGCGAAATTATTAATGTTTAAAATAACATTAGTTGAACAGTCAAATGTAATATTGTTTAAAAAATATAAATTTGCCAATAGTTAACACTTAATTTATTTAATACAATTTTTTTTTATTTACAGACAGTTATTCGAAATATTCGAGTCACTCCCATCACTGTCATTGGAAAAGATGAATTTGGTTACGAAGAACGCCATAAATATTTGTACAGGTGTCTACTTTACTCTTGGACTGTTTGGCTACATAGCGTTCAATACACAAGAAATATCAGGTACGTATCATAAAATAATGAGGAATAAATCACGAGGATCTCGATGGAGTAAGTGTTTAGTGCGTTTCTTATGCGATTGTGAAAGTCAAGCAACTTTCGCAATGGTCGGTCATCAGATGGGTAACCAAAAATTTATTATCTCTGTGCTCCTCCGTACTTCGGAAGGGACTTTAAGCTGTTGGTTCTGGTTGCATCTGCAGTTTTTAGCGCCCAGTCTTCCTATTCAATCAATAGGGAAGGCCTGTTGGCAGCAGTGGGGACATTTATAGGATGATGATAATTAAAGAATAACTGTGACATGACAAGGCCAAACATCCGATTATAGTTTAGTATAATGTTTAAGATAAAATTTATAAATAAAGAGAATTGATTTAATCACTGAAAATTTAGTAAAATTGCTTGCAGCTCATTTAATTTATTGGTCGCTCATATAAAAGCATTGAAACAATACCTTATTAGCCATACTTAATGAATTATAGGTATTACAACTGTTCAAATAAATAACTATTGCAATTAATTCTAATACACAGGCAGTTATGGATGAATCATGTTTTGTATGGATTTTGATGAAGACAAGACTGAACCTAGCATGTTTCTATAAAAATTAAATTAAGTTTGACAATTGACAGCATTGACATGGTAGCTGTGAAGGATTTTTCTATAGCTTAAAATGAGAGAAAAATATAAATTGTGCTCAAACCAGTGCTAACATATATAATGTGCAAAAAAAAAGAAAAGACAATGATATTTGACATTAACAAAAAATACACTTCTAACATTAAAACGAAAAAGATTAGAAAGCAATAAATATGTACAAAAGAAAATATTTACAATAGAGTATATTTACAAAAGAATTCGCAACAGTAGCAATCGCGTCATCATCATCATCAGCCTATTAATGTCCTCACTGCTGGGGCACAGGCCGTCCCTATGGATGGAATAGGGAGATTGGGCCATGACCCACCACGCCGGCCCAGTGCGGATTGGGGACCAACGGCTTAACGTGCCTTCCGAAGCACGGAGGAGCTCGAGATAGTAAATTTTTGGTCACCCATCCAATGACCGACCACTGCGATCGCAGCCGAGCGCATTAACCATTTGCACCATCGAGCTCCTCAAGCAAATCAGCTTAACAAAATAAAATCGCGTAAATAACATAAATTACTATAATGTTAGTGACCATGAAAGTTTCAAACCTACTTTATAATATTGTTACGAGTCAGGATGGGGTTCCAAATTATCTGCCAATTAATGTTCTTGATTCACCACACAGTTTACACAGTTCTTTCTTAAACATTCGCACTTGGCGTTGCTGTTCAAGTTTTCATACAAAATTTTACATTGACATTTCGCACTCGCAAACTATACGAATTCGATAATGGTTTGTGCGTAATGCGTCGATAAGCGTATACAAGCGCGAACGGTGCCGCGCAGTGGACAGTTTATTTCCAAAGCGATAATAGTTGAGTTTCAACAGCGATTTCGGAACTAATAAGGAGGCGATCAAAGTGCAAGTATTCATTACTTAGAAAGGTTCAGTACCCTTAGCACAAACCATTATCGAATTCGTATAGTTTGCGAGTGCGAAATATCAATGTAAAATTTTGTATGAAAACTTGAACAGCAACGCCAAAACGGACGTAACGAGAGCTACAAATCAGTACACATTTGCCGTTCATCTAGATCGAATTCAATTATTCGATTTCGATGTTCGTGCACTTTCACCCTTACGCCGCACTGTATAAGGCTCATATTGGAATGAACCGTACTACTAAGGTTAGCTGGCGAATGTGTTACGCGTTACGAAAAGTGTGTTCGGGCGAGGCGAACGGGAGTTGAGTGGGGGATATAAGCAAGAGAAAGCTGTGCGCGCGCACATTTTCTTTCTCTCTTTTACTGAAAGCTAGTAAATGAAAAATGTATATGTACATACATGTATATATTGTACAAACACATATATATATATACATACAGATGGAAGTTGAGAAACTATAGAAGTTTCACTTCAGTCGTGTGGTAATAAGCACACTCGTTTTTTTAGCCTTTCATACTATGAACGGTTAACGTAACATCGGCATTCTTAGTACGTAATATTATTGTCTCAGGCAATATCCTGATGAGCCTCAGTCCCACGATGTTGAGTGACGTCATCAAGCTGGGCTTCGTCATGTCGCTGGCGTTTAGCTTCCCGCTGATCATATTCCCGTGCAGGGCCAGTCTCTACTCACTACTCTACAAAAAGGTAAAATCTATTAAATAGACAAATATAAGATTTAGAGAAAGATCTCATGTTATTTACTAATGTTCATTAAGTTTTTTATTTCAGTAAAAAAACCAAAGCGAAAATTCCTTTTTCAAGTTGCCGTGAAATCGTTTCTCGGGACATAATGGCGTCTCACTAGTATGTGACGTCGTACGACTATCATTAAAACGCCAAACGATATAGTGTAATGTCACTTTGACCGGAAGTGCTAGCGTGTGACCTAATTTTAGTCTTCGCCAATCTCAGGAGTCAATCTAGCTATTGAGCTAGAACAACTTTTATCTTTTTCTGTGATTTTAAGTTCAATAATATTTTTTTTCTGTGAAAATAGTAAAAATCCCTGACAATATTTACTCTTAAAACAGATGCCATCAGTTGGCACTTTATTTTCAATACAGTCAAATACCTTATTGAGCGCCCGTCTGTGAGATTCAAGAGAAAAGAGAGAAACCCACACACAGACGTGAATCTCCACCGGATTGGTATATAAGAGAGGTAGGCCATAGCGGATTTTCCACTCCAATGGACAAGAAATCTGCAAAATTTTCCCACTAGGGGCGCTGTAATCGCTTGACCCAAAACTTCTATCAAATACATACCTATTAGCTTATATTAATTTTAAAGCTTTTTACTAAACAAATTACATTCATTTTGATCAGAAAAAATGCACCAAAATTAAAATTGCGGTCATATGTCTCAAGTCTGTAAAATAACCCAATGTTATACTTCCCATTTTAGCCAAAGGTAACCTTACTGTATCTATGTGATGTCTGACTGGCCTAAAAATAAGACAGATTTGACTAATGAGCCCGCTAAATGTTACTGTGATCCATGAACTATTAAAATAATCATGAAAAATGCATCTATGTACCGAGAATGAGTATTCTAGCATAATAATAGGAGTGCCTTTCTACTAGATCAGCTTTTCTGCCTTGCACAGATGCTCCTCTCCTTTTCAACTCAGCTGTATTGCAGACCATGTTGAATACACTTTTACCACTTAATTAATATTTTTAACAGCAAAAAAACACGTTTAAAATTTGACAGCTGCAATATTCTGCTGTGGGGTTTGGGTCAACCGTTTACAGCGCCACCTATGTCGAGCTTTGCGTATACTTCTCCATTGGAGTGCCCGTCTGGGGAAGTAACCTCCACCTTTCAGATGACCACAGTAAAATAACACTACCTTTTGGTGGTGTTGTGTTTCTGTCGGTGACTAGGTTATAGGGCTCCACGGGGCAGAGGATTGGGGCAGGGAAGGCATCGGTGCGACTGATTTTTTTGGTATCGCAAGCGTCTATAGGCTATGGTAGTCGCTTACCATCAGGTGAGCCATACGCTTGCCTGCCCTTTAACATTAAAAAAAAAATTGCCATTTTCTACTCGAATTACAGCGCCTGTTTGAGGAAGTTACTTTCACTTTACATACGGCTTAGCGGAATTTCGTCACATTATATTTTATAGGTAATAAATTATCTGGATTGTGACGGAATACTTTTATGCCGTAAAATGTTAGATTCTTAAAAACTTGCTATAACATGGACGCAGGGTTAAGCTAATTAGGAATTGGGATGACTGTTGGAAATATTTATTAATACTATCTAGGCCCCTTCAAATGCGTTAAGTGTATGTACATTTAACTAAAGAACAAATAGTAAGATATTTATAATTAAAAACCTTTTATATCTATATAAGGTTTAGTTATTACATATAAATATATTTATATAATAACTAAAATACATTAAAAGGAGCCCCTTTAGACAGGGTTCCGAAGATACTGGCAGTGTTCCCCTTACATCTATATATATCGTTTCAGGTGCATTCCTCTCACCACGACCATATAATCAACCATTCGATCCCGGAAGGATCGTTCCGTCGTATAACAGTCGGTATAGTGGCCTGCACCCTCGGGGCAAGCCTCGTGTTGCCCAACATAGAACTAGTGCTGGGTTTGGTGGGCTCCACTATAGGCGTTCTAGTATGCCTGGTGTTTCCTGCTGCGTGTTTCTTGCATCTTACCTTCAAGAACACCAATGAGAGGATTCTGGCGAAGGTAGGTGGCCAATGGCTTAAGAATGCTATTTAATCTGTGTGTGATAACGGTGCGGTAGACTGCCGTCCGTTTACTTCATCGTCATCATCAGCCTATTAATGTCCCCACTGCTGGGGCACAGGCCTTCCCTATGGATGAAATAGGGAGACTGGGCTACAACCCACCACGGGGCCCAGTGCGGATTGGCGGATGACTGCAGATGGGACCAACGACAACGTGCCTTCCAAAGCACGGGAGAACTCGAGATAGAAGAGTTTTGGTCACCCATCCAATGACCGACCACTGCGAAAGTTCTTAACTTCAACGATCGCAGCCGAACGCGCTAACCACCCGCACCATCGAGCTCCCATTCCCATATCAAAACTACAAAATGAGAAAAACAGCTTTGTAGGAATAATTACATCAAAAGCATGGCTGCCTCTTGGACATAATTAAACTTACTTTTGGCAATAGGTACTATTAATGCTAATGTTATAACTGTAATCCAGTAATGGATTATGATGGCCTATTCTCTCTATGCTATCCATAAATGACTTTGGCCCATCAGAGGAGACATTAAAAAGCTGATGATGATGAAAGTAATCCTTATGTTTGTCTGTCCAGGGAGTATTGATACTGGGACTGGTGATTATGGTCCTCGGCACATACGCGAATCTACAAGCGGCCGAAAATCAAGTGGACAAGTACGACGAGAAATACATCACGAAGGAGCGCATCGATAAAATAGTCGAAGACTTTTTCCAGAAGATGGAGAAAACCAACGGTAATTTGGTTGTTGTAATAAATGTTATCTCGTTCTTTGAGTAAGGCAGGGCTCATCTGGGGAAGTTACTTTTATCTTATTGAAGACCAAATCCATGAGTCGCTGGTTCAAATCCGGCTCGAAGGACCAGGAGATGTACAGGACACCTTTAGATGATGATTATAAATAGAAAGAATTGATTTGATTTCATAGTTTATGGATTTGATAACTGATTATGCTAAATAAAACTAGTTTTTACGGGTTAATGCACGAAACCTTTCAAGTTGCTGGTGTCTACAAACTTGAATGCGACTGTGGGCTCTCCTACATCGGGTAAACAAAGAGGAGTATAGGGACTCGGGTAAAAGAACATATCGCAGATATGAAACATAGGCGCGAAAATAAGTCTGCAGTGTGTGAACATGCATTAGGGGGACCAAACCATTACATTAGATTTGATAAACCACAGATCCTTGCAACTGAGCAACGATTCGTTCCTAGAATAATGCGCGAGGCTATTGAGATTAAAAAATATCCAAATTTCAATAGGGAAGATGGTTGGTATATACCACCAGCTTAGGAACCCATTATACAGGAGATAAAATCCCAACCCCGAGCACACACTGCAAGACCAACAGATACTATTAGTTCTTTTTGTTTGCATAATTTAACATAAGAAGGAGATAGAAAGCCTCTCTTGAGTTTGTTTCGTCGGTTCTTCTCAAAAAGATCTCCGAATTTTGGAACCGGTGGTAGTTTACGGTAGTTAGGGTCAAATAAATAAACTCAAAAATTACAAAAAAGAATTTTAAATAAAATACTTTATTAAGTAAATTAAATAATAAATTCATACATAGACAATATAACTTTAAAAATCGAACAACGAAATAACCGAACGTTCAATAAGTCTTTCGAAGATAGCTCGACAAATTAAATAAAAGTTTGATTCTGACGACGTAGCCTGTAAAGGCTACGAAACGTCAATAAATAAATAAAATTTCGTGCATTAACCCGTAAAAACTAGTTTTATTTAATGAGTGATGTGCGTGAAAACCTAAGAAACAAATATGATTATACTAAACTAAATTATATATTAAAAGTAAAATGATAAGCGACAATTGATAATTGCGTCCGCTTTGTAGTAGTAGGTATAAACGTGTATTGTGAAAATCAAGTGAAAGACATAAATTGCATCGACCTAATTAAACTGCGGACTTGTAAAAATGTACGGTCGTACCGCACAAATGGTGAAATAATATGACTTACATACTTTTTTGCTGGTTTTCTGTTCTGCCAGTGAGTTAGTTTCTAGTGCCTCACTGGTAATGTGATATATTTTACCAGAGCATAAAGGCGCGATTAGACATCATATACACTCCCATAGACACACGTTAACGATGCCACATGTAGCATAGTTGGGTTTAACATATTCATCATCATCAGTCTATTAATGTCCCCACTGCTGGGGTACAGGTCTCTGGATGGAATAGGGACATTGGGCCATGATCCACCACGCGGGCCCAGTGCGGATTGGTAGGTGCTAACGACTGCAGATGCAGCCGGGACCAACGGCTTAATGTGCCTTCCGAAACACGGAGGAACAACATATTATTAACATATTATGCGAAAGCAATAGAGAGTAGGCGGCTTATTTCCTTCAATAATTTTCAAATATCCACTGTTTGTTGACAGGCTTTTAATATCTGCAGTAGAAAACATTGTTATGGGCTCTTTACATATTTTTCTTTCACTTCTCATCTAGAATGAAAGTGATCATCTTTTCTAATCTTGTGTTGATAATATAAGACTCCACATTATTGCTCTTTGCAGGAGTCAATCATAAGCCACCAGACAACGCCATCAACAAAGATATAAAGAAATTAAATGGTGAAACGATTAAGGAATCGGTTGTGCTTCCTCCAAATCCTGTGCCACCAGAATCACAATCCAATGAGAAAAATGAAAACAAAAACATCAAAGAAACTAAGATCGCTCCTAGAATCAAAGATGTCATGCCAAACCCAATAAAAGACACTGTGGATAAAGTCTCAGAAACACACCCCAAAAATTTAAACAAACAAAATGATGTAAAAGCAGTAAATGGAGTCGGCGATAGTAAAGTAAAAGAAAAGAAGGAAAGACAGAACGATGAGAAAATATTAAAGCAAGATATTAAACCGCAGTCAAATGACGAAAAAAACAATATGATCAAGCAGCAACAACTAATAGAAACCATTAAACAACACGGCGAAGAGCAAAAAGAACTGATTAAGGAACAAAAAGAGATTTTGGACGAAATATACAAGACGAAACAGGAATTACAGAAGAACAAAGACGAAGAAGCACATGCAGAAGCAAAAAAGATTGCCGTAGAGAGTATAAAGAAAATTGCTAACATTGCTTTACAAAGTTTAGGCGGTGCTTCTGAAAAACCTGGTCAAGTGGGTGAAAACAAAATATCTGACAATTTCGAGAAACTAGCTAATGAAGCCGTTCAAGAAATTGCCCAGAAAGCTGTGGAATCGATAGTGGCTATTAAAGAAACTCAAGAAAAGCCGGAGCAGCCACTGAAACAACCAAACCTACCTGCTTTATCCAATATACAGTCAGTGAATAATGAAAATTCAGCCATAAATAATAATAACATCAATCAAAAGACTCAAGAAAATATAGGAAATCCACCCCCTTCGGTTCCGATTCAAAATAACATTCCTTCTAATATCCGTAATGGAAATAATGCTAATGTTGGCAACTCAGAAGTTGTACAAAAATACAATAAGAATATTGCTAATCAACAAGCTTACGTGCAACCAAATGTACTACAGACAATTCAATCTGTTAATGAACCTAATATAAAACAAGTTCCCTTAAATGTTAATGAAGTTGTACCAAATGATGGTACAGCTGCAATAAGTAACAATCAATTAATACCAAATAATCCACAGGCCTCTGCAAATATAGGCCAACCCGCCCCTAAATCAGATCAAGTCGCATCAAATATGCCTGCTGCCTTACCTCCATCAAACATTAAGGAGCCATCAAATATTGTTAAAAATGTTGCTCCCGTTATAAATCCTGTACCACCTCAAGCCAATATAAACTTGGCAAATATCGAAACACGAAACGCACAAAATAACATACAATCAAATCAGCAAGTACAAAATGAAGCTAATCATAATAAACAACCCGTAGAGATTCCAATACCACAAGAGAAAATTGTCAAAGCACACTCGCATTCCCCTGACGAACCTCAATCTTATAAACTAGGAGAGGACACTGAAAAGAATAACAATGTGCCAGCAAATAACGCAGTAGTCCAAAACGTACCTTTAGCTTTGGCATTGAATGGTAACTCACAAACAAATAATAACCAACCAAACATTCCAAACGATAGCGTTGTTAAAAACAACGCAGAAAACAACATTCAAGTTGGAGATCAAAAACTGAATCCTGCCGTAAGAAGGAAGAGAGAAGTTGTAGATTGCACAGAGAAATCTACTTTGAAACCTGAAGACAAGGAAATTTGTAAAGCTCTCATAGATACACCTTCTATACAAATAGTAAATAACAACTATAAAGAAATTTTGTCATCGAAAGTAGATCTAATAGATACGGGTTTGCCTAAGAATTTACCTTTGCAGTCCAATATGTTATTATCACACCATTTGATAAGATCTCTTAAAAGCATTGAAAACAGTAAAAATAGGTGAAACTCAAAAGTAACTATAAGCGGTCAAATACTCAAATGATTCCTTAATCATAGTTAATGTTTTCTTAATAAAATTTTGGAAAATTCTTAACCAAGAGGCTAATTATATATTTATCCAAACTAATTATTTTATACAATCTTATCTAAGAAACATTTGAATACTTGGCTGTGCTAAAAAAACAATTTAATAACCCAACACTTTCCTAATGTTTATACAAAAAATGGTATTTATTTATTTAAAATTATGTTTGTTTGTTATCACATGTTAAATGTTATAATCACAATGTCTTTTAAGGAGTTGATTAGGTTTTGTGATCTCAGAATATTGTTAAGTAGGTAAACTATTTTTAAAATCTATTTCAGTGATCCCGGCATTTGATTAGCATGTAAAGCAAAAATTGTTAATCATGTGTACATTATAAGCAAAACACGCATAAAATTGAAACTTAAAGTGATGTAAACAAGTGACTGACTATTATTATTAAATCAAATATTTTAAATAACAAATTCATAGTACTTATTGCCTCAAAGACCCTAATCATACACAAACATTTGCCTAGTAATGGATATTAGTGTAGGGAAGTTGGGACTTGACCCACCCTGCATGCTCAGGACACATAGGTGGCTACTAACGACTGTAATGTTTCATTCAACCAATCGCTTTCGTCTGTAACATTAATGGTGCTAGTCAATAGTGCATTCGGCACAACTTTGATGCAGCACGGACCAACGGATGCACGTGCCTTCCAAAACACACAGGGTTTTTTTTCACATATCTTGTATGATATGGGCTATTGCGAAACTCGCCTAACCCGCACGGTCGCAGGGGAATTTTCTATGGAGCTTGTTTTAAATACTCCAAAAGTTGAGACGACAATATAATTATATTTAAAATGTCCTTGGATTCAACCCTTCTTTAATCTGAACGCTAAAGAGCAGACGCACGACCCTAAATATTGGGCCAAGTAAGCCATTCTCCTTAAAATAAGTATAATAGATAAAATTCTTACGGATCTAATTATACCTCAATTACGCGTGGGAGATAATGACGTAAATGAGATATTAAGTCATGGAGAAAAATAACTAAAAGCATTAACTGTAAATAAATACGACATTATCTAAATATCACATTTTATTTTATATAAATGCAACACTTTTAACCCGCTTAATATTATATAAAGAAAAAGAAAAGAATAATTTACATGTTCAATTTTCACTACTTTAGTCCTGTCCTGTTTTTTTCGATCTGTAACAATGGAGAACTAAGTTAATGCCAATTATTGTTTACCATATATTGACATATAAAAACAAGTAGACTCGATCGATCACGATCAAAGTGTCGGAAGCATAATTACGCACATTCGTCTATTGTGCGTAATTTTCAAATGTAGTGTTTGAAAGTTCTCGCCTGCATACAATTGACATTGAACCTTACTGCCACGACATAAAATGTTAATTTGAACACGTGTTAATGTTATCTTTATAAGTTGACGTAGGACGTCACTTTTGGAAACCATTGGGGTCTACTTGGTTTTATACGTCAATGTAGCCATGTCATAAATTATGATTAACACAGCTTAAATTTTCACATATAAACTTATATTTTTATTAAAAGCTTTTATTTACTGACGATCTCCGTGGCCGAGTGGTTTGTACGCCGGGTTTCAAGGTGTCGCCTACTCGAGAGGTCCCGGGTTCGAATCCAGGTTGGGGCAGATGTTTGTGTGATGAATACGAGTATTTGTACTCCAGTCATGGATGTTTAATATGTATTTCTAAATAAATATACCTATATAGTAGTCGGAGAGCCGGCTGTATAAAAGTCCTATAGATCAGATACATGAATCATTTTTGGGGTATGAACAATAGTAGCCATAGGTCTAGAGGTTATTTGATTTTGCCCGCATGCAAAATTATGACGTCACTTCGGGTTTTTATTTTAGGTGTTATTGTAATTTATCAAATATATCAAGAAAATGTATGTGAAAGGAATGTTTTTGATGAGTAGAATAGAAATGCCAAGGGTCGACAAGTTCTATTATTCGCTACCCTTAAAAATATGTTTTTAATAATTTAACTTAAGTCATCGAGTACATGGATTTGTTTACGGTTTTCTGAAATTAGAACTCTCAAATGACTGAAAAAACATTAGTCGACACCTTTTATTTGGCCGGATCTGTCGACTTAGTTTGAAGATTTAAAGAGCCTATGCTTATTATATATTTCATCTCTACGTACCTATGTTGAAATTATTTAATAATCTGCATATCTTTTTCAAATAAATTGATAATATATTTAATTTCTAATACATATTTTCACGAAACTCCACCCCTAAGGGGGTAATACGGGGGTTGGAAGTTTGTATGAAAGTTCTATGTTTTTGAAGATAGAGACTTGAAATTTAACATGTATGCTCTATAGATGGTGTGGAGGTGTACTAATAATGTATCTTTAGAAATAAACCCCTTTTGGGGTCAAAAAGTATGTGCAAATAACTAACTCCACGCGTACGTAGTCGAGGGCGGCCGCTAGTTCCATATAATTATGGAGATTTACCTCTTGCCCGCGTCGGATTTAGCCTGGCTAGTATTAGACTGCGTAGAAGCGGTGCGACGCGTGCGTCTGGCAGGGGTCGTTTCAGTTTCAGACGGGGCCGGAGATCCTTGTGGACTGTCCGTCTCTTTCTACAACAAACGACAAGTCATTTTAAAGCTAGAAATAATCATCATCATTATCAGTCTATTACTGACCCCATTAATGATCAGCTGGGACACAGGCCTTCCCTAAGGATGGAATAGGGAGATTTGGCCATAACCCACCACGCGGGCCCAGTGCGGATTGGTGGGTGCTGACGACTGCAGATGCAGCCGGGACCAACGGCTTAACGTGCCTTCCGAAGCACGGAGGAGCTCGAGATAGTAAATTTTTGGTCACCCATCCAATGACCGACCACTGCGAAAGTTGCTTAACTTCAACGATCCGCAGCCGAACGCGCTAACCACTTGCACCAACGAGCTCCTCGAACTAATCGCTCTGCAATAATCGCGTTGTCGTGCAACTATTGCACATACATAACACATTAGATGATTGCAACTGCAATTATTTAAGACAGATATAGATTTCGTTGATGCGGTGGCGTTCCTCCTTTACGATACTAATTATTGAGTGTAACTATTTTTCAAAGTGCGCACTGCGATGGATTCATATAAAAAAGAATTCCTGTGCACACATCTACGGGTAGGTATAATTACAATTGGTTTTATATTTATATATCAGAAAGTGTGTGATCTGGAGCCTAAACTATGGCGACTTCTATGTATGTGTGTGTGTGTGTATCTTATACACATATATTGTTTCTTATATAGATGAGTTTTAGATTTAGAACAGAACTTTTCAATGATATTGAGGTTTCTAATACATTTTTTTCTAATCTGAATAGTTTACGGGAGTGACACTTCCAAAGTAGAAAAATGTAATGAAACATACATAAGAATTTACCTTTCATTCAATCAACTGAAATATAAAAAAAAACATTTATTTTCATATACATAATCGTTATGCATAAACCGTGAACCATTATTTTCTGATAATAAATCTGTAATAGGTGCATAAGTAAATAATAATTATAATTCGCGCGGGGCGTAGCTTGATCGGTAGAGGGCGCAGAGTACGCAGGGGGCAAGTATATATTATGTTACTTGCTGCTACGGAACCCTTCATGGGCGAGTCCGAATCGCACTTGGCCGCTTTTTTTTCGCGTTCGCGTTGCTTTATGATCAAATTAGATAATAGAATACAAGTCTAATATTTATAATCTTCTATAATTACCCTAGTGTCCGTGGAAGTCCTCCTGCCTTTAGGCGTGTGTAGGGCTTCGCAGGCCTTGTTGAAAGACGCGCGTCTGCCTCGCGACGGACTGCCCGGCACTGGCGAGCCACGGTCCGGACTTTCGGCTAGGTGAATACATTAAAAACATAAATAAATAAATATTTTCAACACTCACACCAATTAGCCTAGCCCCAAAGTCAGCACTGTAAGGCTTGTGTTATGGGATAACTAGGGTAACGGATAGAATAGATATACAGTACATATATATAGAAATACATATTAAACATCCATGACTTGAGTACAAATACTCGTATTCATCACACAAACATCTGCCCCCACCGGGATTCGAACCCGGGACCCCTCGAGTCGACGACACCATGAAACCCGACGTACAAAGCACTCGGCCACGGAGGTCGTCAAACATACATTTTACAATAATATGAATCCATATTAAATTCTAAAATTCAATTCAATATTAATATATGTATGCAGTTTAGGCTATTTAAGCACAGGTGAAAGACGAAAGCTACGCCATCGGTTCTCATATCTACGGCGGGAGGGAGACCTTGTACTGAGAGGAACCGGCAAGAATCTCTGCAAGGATTGCTTTTTTTCTCTCTGTTTTATTTGATACAATGTCGTCAAATAGAAATTGATATTATTAATCCAAAAGTATGAACGGTTCTCTGTCCGTCTTTGACCACTTCGCGCTGCAACCGCTGAATCGATTTAGAAGAAATTTGGTATAGTTTCAAGTCCTGGTAAAGGACATAGGATAGTTTTGATACCAGAAATCATTCTTTAAGGGGATGAAAAAAGGAATAGTGTAATATAAATACCTAAAAAAGTGTATAATTCAATGATAGTTTGCGTGACAACTTGACAACATTCGAAAAAAAAAACCATTTTTCAAAGAAACATTTTTTTGCCAACGTTGTAGTGACCAAAAGAACACATTCATTAGTGAAAAAAAACAAACATAATAAAACTAAAACGAAGTACCACTCACCGATATCTACCGAGATCCTTCTCATTGTTTTGACAGTTTTCGGTGTCGTTTTGCTCTCAGAGGCGGCTCTACCCAATCGTGCTGAAATTAACGTAAAATAATAGCTTATTAAGTTTTATTTAAAATACAAACAATTGGAGGTACATCTCAGTAATGTTATATACTTTTTGTGATATTTCTAAATAATAGGTATTTATTAAAACTTTTAAGTATTATGAAAGCACAGTTAGAGGAGAGGGAGTATAGAATGAATAAATCTGAGCCTTCATATGCTTTAAAGTATTATTTTTTTTACTTAAAAACTACCTAGTATATACAATTTCGAATAATATCTAATTTACAAAATAAAAAAAATGTCACCCCCAGTGCTGCCGACAGGAATGGTGCCCAATAGGCTGACAGCATTTAATTTAATTTATTTTTACAAATATTGGGAAGCCTACAGCTAGTTTTTTTTACTTGCAATTCGGCATAATAATTATGTTTAAGGCCAATTAATAGTTTCCGCAGATAATAGTAATTGATGACCGTTACAAAATGTGTCACAGGCCAATCACAGACACATCATCTTGTACAGACATCCAATAGGGTCGACTTATAGGCAGACCCGTCTTTCCCAGTGGGCACTTTGGGCAAGTGCCCAGGGCCCCGTGATCGATAGGTGGGCACCTTAGATCACAAATACAAAGTCCCTAGTTCTTCTTAGATCACCAAACGGGGGTCATAGGGGCCCCATTATCCTAATATGCCCAGGGCCTCCAATAGGTCAAAGACGGCACTGCTTATAGGGTCTGTCAGTGTGGCAAGGTGGGGAGGGTGGGAGTGGCCAATTTTCATTAGCACAGGAAAGCAATATGGCGATAGAAAAAGGAGGTAAAGTAAAAAGCAATCAAAGTAATAAATTCAAAGATACATAAATACAATTTTTTCTTACTTGACTTAGAAAGAAAATAATTTTCACATAAAATTTAAATAAATTACCTGTTAAACAACTGATGAATAACAAAAAGGTATAAAATGTAATATCATTCTTTTACCGTTTATAAGATAGTAGTATCAACCGATCATTTCCGATAAAAATGATTTACTAAAGAAAATCATATAAAAGACGTCTATAATATGTGATAATCATTCACAATATAAGTTATTGAAAAAGCAGCGTTTAAACGTTTTACTTACAGCGTCGTTGTCTGGTCATCTCCGAAGCAGAGAAGTTGGGTGATCCGCTTAGCAATTCTTCAGTATCGGGTACGCCTAGTGAGCCAATGTTAGTGAAAAGGTGCAAAGAATAAATATTGCGTGCAACCAAATTTTAGAGATATAGATGCAGGACTATTCGATTTATGGTAAGTATTTGAGAATTAATGTCCTTTAAATGTGAGTTATTTAAGATGGCAACACAATAGAAAAAATGTACTTATAAAAGAAAAAGGTTGGCAAATAAAAGGTGTCTAAAATAATTTATGCATGTCTATTCTATATTTAGATTTATATATAGGGATGATGACGGAATAAATTAAACGAAATTTTATAAGTCCTTCAGTTAAATTATCTAAAAGTAATGGACACTTATTTTTTCCTTTTTTCAATCAACCAAAAAAGATAAAGACTAGAAGAGTTAGCTGACACCCTGGATTACACAGGCGACGTTTTACTGCGGGAAAATATCCCTTATAAACCACGGGTAACACCGCGGGGTACAGCTAGTATCTCCATAATGGTTTTGATTTCGTAAATAAAGAAAAAAATACATGTCCAACACTTTTTGATAAACTGTCTATTAAGTAGACAAAGAAAAAGGAGTTACGTCATCCATCATCCCCATATGAGCAAGAGCATTGAAAGCAAGTGTAATAACAACAAAATGCAGTGGTAGTATAGTACTATATTTCTACTATTATTGCGTTTCATTTAATTCCTAAGCTTGTTAGCAGTTAGATTGTTGCAGCCTTTTGTTCGCCTCTAAACAATAGCCTATTTGCTCACCTTCGAAGTCTTGCTTGTTGAGTAGATTGATCCTCTCCATGGCCTGGGAATCTAGCCCGGACGCGGTTGACGAAGCATCGTCATCTTCGTGGGATATGTCAGAAGCCCGAGAAGTTGCGCTGGAGCGACGGGCCCGTGACAAGGGCCGGGACCGGGGCGAAGCGAGAGTCGAAGCGTTGGGCTCCAACCAAGACTCTAATACGGCCTTTTGGTGACGAGTTAGTCTGTAAGGAATTGGTCATTGATATAATATATAATAATATTTCCAACACTCACACCAATTACCCTAGCCCCAAAGTAAGCACTGTAAGGTTTGTGTTATGGGATACTAGGGTAACGGATAGAATACATATACTGTACTTATATAAGTATATTTATATAGAAATACATGTAAAACGTCCATGACTGGAGTACAAATGCTTGTGTATTCATCACACAATCATCTGCCCCCACCGGGATTCGAACCCGGGACCTCTCGAGACGGCGACACCATGAAACCCAAAGTACAAACCACTCGGTCACGGAGGTCGTAATTGATGTAAGTATTGAATCAGTGGACTACCTAAGAGATACAACTGTTGACGTCGTTAATAACTGTTTCCTTGCGTTTGAGTTTAAATAGAAGTGATGTATCATCCGCGAACCATACTATCTCATGGTTACCTCTTACATAGTAAGGTAAATCATTAATATAAATTAAAAATAAGAAAGAACCAAGGATTGAGCCTGCGCCCTGTCAATGTTTGACAGGTTGTGTTTATTCCAAAGCCATAGTATTTAAGGACTGACAGAGTCAGGAAAACAAATATCATGCCTTTACGACATTCCTACAAGGTAAAAATAGACGCAACATGATGTACCTTTGGTCCAACAATATTTTTACAGCAAGAGCCAACAGTGTCCTGTCGTTCTGTACTGTGATAAAGTTTATTATTAAATTCTGTGAAACTAAGAAAACAACATGTTTATACAATTCAGTTAGTGTTATGGTATCCTGTGTTTTATAAATATCTTGACAACATTTTCACTCACAATCAAACAACTATACGCACACATGCACAATTAAATTTTTGGAACACTAGCGATAGCTCTGTGTATCTTTAAATCCTTTATCTATGGTTTATATACTTTACTGCACACTAAAGAAAAAATATTTTAGACATTTAGTATATAGAAAATGTTTTAGTTCTAGTGTAATAATAGACTGTCTATGGAAGTACAATGGTTCATTTATTTAAATAAGGTAAGGTGAAGCGATAATAGAAGCATTGGACTCCAAATAAGACTCTAATATGGCTTTCTGGGGGCGAGTCAGTACGTAATAAATTGGCCTTTAATGAAAATAACAGAATTAAAAGTGTAATACAGCCTTGCCCTTTAAAATTTCACGGATTGTGTTTAGTTTATTGGCGTAATAAAAGAATTACAAGAATGTACATCTCTCTTTCTTTCTATTTACCTATAGAAACGTTCATTTATTGAAATAAAGAAAGGTTTCTTCTAATTGCAACCTAGATCATTATGAAGACGATTCAGTCTATGGACGACGTTCTAATGAGTATCTTCAATTACTTCCGCTCGATATACAATTTTTTGTAATGTTTCATTCGCACGACTATGTTGGATGAAGAACGCTACTAGAAAGTTTTCTTTATTCTATTCCACTCACACATAAAATCAGCTACAATTTGTAAAATCCACAAAAAGACAATTGAAAGATATTTATATTTACCTTCTGGAACTAGAGTAATCTGCAATTACATCTTCAGCTCCCTTAGACTCATCTTCTACTATCATCTCAGGAATCACTGACAAGTCTGGTTTCGTGTTTAAAATAGATCTCCGTCCCTTTCTAATCGGCGCAGGTTTCACTTCACCAGTGTCCTCACTAACTTTGCTTCGCGTAGATTTCACTGAAGCCTCTGATACTACACTTTCGTTATCATCATTATGAGATTTGGTCCTAGCAGATCGTCTTCTAGGCGTGGCAGTAACAGAATCATCAACGTTATCCTTAGAATCTTCCATCTTTTCTGATATTTCTTTTGAAGCACGTCGTGTTATGATTTTTCTCACTTCAGTGCTTGTGGGAGTCTTTGCGCGTCTCCTAGACGTATTGGCATCGTTTTCGGGTGTCTTTTGCTCGGGTTCTACAGATTTGTTAGAAGCATTGGATTGAGTACGCTTTCTTGTGATAGGAGTTCGAGGTTCAACGATTTCCTCTGCTTTAGCTTCCGTAAAAGATTTGTTGGAGGAAGTGGATTTAACGCGTTTCCTTGTTCGAGGTGCAGCTTTATTAGATTCTTCTTGATCACTAGTCTCAGTTTTTTTTTCGAGTTCTTTTTGTGTTTCTATTTCTTGATCTTTGTTTGTTTCGCCTGCTTTCGTTGTGGTGGTTTGTTTTTCGACTTCTTTGTTAGCATCATTTTCAGGCTTTTGATCTGAACCCTTTAGCACGTCAAGTTTTTCTTTACTTACTAAATTTTCAACCTTTTCTCTCGTTTCTTGACTTTCATGTTGAGGCCCTTTTTTAGTTTGCGATACAGTTTCGACACTTGGTTTTAAGCTAAGAATTTTTTCAGTTTGTTGCTTTTCGACTATATCTGACTTTTGTTTTTCGACTGTGTCAGTTTTCTTGGATTGGAGCTGAGATTCTTTCTCTGCAGCTGGTTTATTATCAATAGATGTAATAGCTTTGGGCACCTCATCAATTTTAGTAACGGGAGCATTTACCATTTCAGTTTCTAGTGTAGTGGTGATTTTTTGAACAGTGGACGTTTGAACAGGTGGTTCTAAATTAACAATTAATTAAAAAATGTTAACTTTATAATTTAAATAAATGATAACACAAAATTTTGATTTTTACATTGACATTATATAATAAACTTTCTTAGATTTGTTATGAAAATGCGATTGTCTGACAATAGGGAAAATACATGTTTCACATGACACTTTTTCACTTAACACTGCTGACAGTGTGAATATCAACGCAGGTAAATACAATGTACAATGTGTCATGTGACGTCACACTTCATCGCGAGCAATGGTGCCGCGTTTCGTAAGATTTCATTTCCGTTGCATCTTTTGCATTTTTTATAAAAAATGTTATCGCTTTATATAGGAACTAAATAGAAAAAAATACCTTTCAAGCATAATGTGACGACAGTAAAGATTAGGGAAAATATTCCACACAAATTAATTCTTCATGCATATTCCCTATAGGGTATTTTCCAATTTTTTGAAAACTGCTTATATTTAAAGATTGGGACAAACGATTTAACAGAAAATTAAAAATAATTTAATGACTGTCTTTTTTTCTCCATTAAAACAATTAAAGTTGAATTTATTTTTAATGGTTTTGAATTTACCGCCAAAATGCTCGGTTCGATGACGACTACTGTGTGACGTCAACTTTGTGTAGCCTATGTAATCCTCTGAAGGTCAAATTATTAACTTTTTTTACGTTCGGGATAAAGGACAATGGGCAAAACACACCCAGCTCCGCCAAAAATGTAATTAGTATGAATCGATAGATCTATGAAAAACTAGCCTTTTTTATTGACACCGTAAAAAATATCCTGGGAGTCAAAAGATATGACACCGTAAAAATATCTTGGTAGTCAAAACATATGACACATGGGCATATTTAAGTAGCTAAATAAATTCATATTTAGTACCTTCATTTTATATTATTAGTAACCATAATAATATGCCATATCATAATATACAAACAGATATACAACAAAGCCGTCCGACCATCCTGCGCTTGCACTTACTGGGCCATCTCAAAACTGTTTACGGGGGTTGAAGGACTTGCAGTTACAAATAGTCGACTCGTCTTATATCGTTGTGATTGTGCGCTCCCTGTCACTTGATTGATTTTTATCAAACACGCTTTGTACATTGGAACACGATTATCGGTTTTGTCAATTAGTATGGATGAACTCGAATTATGATTTCTCCGAAGAGTGGACAAGTTTGTGTGATTTGTTGTCGCTCCGATTAACATAGAAGACAATTTACTGTAACGAACAGAATGTTTAAAAAACCCCAACCCATGCGGGGGTTTTTGGATTTACTCTAGCGCGGCAGAATACCCTAAGGGGGCACCCTTGCACCTTGTGAAGTACTCCTATAATACTTGAGCCCCCTATTTAGGGTCTAACAAACTAACTTAATTGTTTCATTAATGTTCGTTCGTTATAGTACTTGTACCTATTTAACTTAAAATAACTAAAGACCCCCAGGATGGAATTTGATGCGCTTTGGCACAGATAATCATGACTATAATACCTTTCAAACAAATGTAGTTTAAGCCGTGGCGGACGTGGGTGCAGCGCCCATACATTTTTGCCATATGTCCTTTATAGTAAAATACTTACACAAAGTTTTTGATGTTTCGAAACTCTGTAGCGTAGCGAAGAAATTTGCGAAATATTATACTTACTATAAATTTATCACAAACGTAAAAAAAGTTAATAATTTGACCTTCAGATGATTACATAGAATACACAAACGTCTACACGTTGGGTGTATTCCGTAAGTATACCAGTATACTGGCCAGTGCTAATGAATCGACGCTATCTGGTGAATTGTTCCGAAATATACTGGCCAGTGCACTGACGTCATAAATCGACGAAATATTAAAAATAGTGCGAATAAAGAAGATTTTTTATTCACCTCATCAATTAAAAGAAATTCTTTTTGTTCGGATGACAGTAATGATCTTTAAAATAAAATGAAATAAAATTCGAATGCATCTCACGCACGCTCGGTCATACGTCATATTCGTTTTTCCGGTAAAAATATGGTAGCATACCAGTACAATATGGAGTCGGATTCGTTACGTCATTACCACTGGCCAGTATACTGATGTATATTTCGGAATACACCCGTTATCATCGAACCGAGCGTTTTGGCGGTAAATTCAAAACTGTTAAAAATAAATTAAAATTTAATTGGTGTAATAGAGAAAAAAAGACATTTATTTATTTATTTTTATTTTTCTGTTAAATCGTTTGTCCCAATCTTTAAATATAAGCAGTTTTCAAAAATTTGGAAAATACCCTATTGTGTATTTAGTGTTAAAAAATAAGGCTTAAACACGAAATTGCCGTAGAAAGATTTTGAGAATTTAATACGCAATTACATACCTATCTCCATAGAAATATTTACAGTACTCTCCTTAATATCTCTGCTATCAGGACGTTTCTGATCACACACATTTTGATTTGCCCCAGATTTTTCAGTTTCTGCTACGGAATTATCGTCCGTCATTATTGAAAGTTGAGGATTATCCAACGGATCTTTCTGTCCTGCCTCTTCAATAGTAGCAAGAGATTTCGCAGTAGATTCTACATTAATTTCAGCAATAGTTTCTGTATTAGTTTCAGCATTCCGCGTCTCCACTTCAGAGGAGCTTTGATCTTCATCGATTTGAAGGCCATCAGAGCTTGATGATTTGTCTGACTCAGTGTCTTGAATAGATATTATTTCCTCATCGCTGGCGGAACTGTTGGCTGAAGCCTATAGTAATAAAAAGTTTCATGATTGTAATTCTTCTCCCACACCTGAGCGACGAAGCTTCGGGTGGCTTTAGTACTTAATACGCTGAAATTAGCATTCGAAAGTTGAATTAGTTCTGTCGTTATGAATTAGCAGACTGCCTGTCTTTTGACGCTAGACGATAGCTTGACTGGCGATAATTTGACACGATAAAAGAGGTTGTGGAAAACGCTGAAGTATGCGCAACTGCAATACGACAGACACTGTACGCTGAAGCTGAAGTAAGACTTAATTCAAAGTTCGAACGCAAATTTTAACGCATTTTTGTATTGAAGCCACCCGAAGCTTCGTCACGCAGGTATAAGATAAAAACAAGTAGTAAAGCAGTAAGGATATAATCCTTTTCACAATCAACATATAAATATACACTTCTGGACACATCTATTGGCCCACCTTAGAGTTTAGGTTTCGATGGCCCCTACCGAAATATGATTGCTAGATAGAACAAAAACTGTTGATGCAGTTTTAAACCTGATACATTTTACCATCTTTTTCGATCGTATTGTTTTAAATTTGAATTCAGAATACCATACGACATGGAGCTACGCCTAACAAGTCGGATATGCGCCTTGTTAAAGGCAATTCATTTTTGAATAAAAAACATGTTTTATCAAATAAAGGTTTAATTTAATAACGCGTGTTGCCTCCATGGGCATCTACCACAGCTCTCATACGATTAGGCATAGAGTTTATCAACCGCTCTATGAAATTTTGAGGGATCATCTCCCATTCCTTTTCCCATTTTCAACTCCTGCATCGTCTGGGCAATTGGCTGACGAGCCCTTACACGTCTTTTTAGCTCGTCCCACATGTGCTCAATGGGGTTCATGTCTGGGCTTCTGGGTGGCCAGTCCATAACTGAGCGGATATACCGACTCAGACAGTCCATGAGCCACCGCCATAAGCAACCCTCTCTTCAAAGCAGCATTGTGCGAAACGCTCTCCCTTACGTCGGTAGACCTTCTTCCTTCCATCATTGCCATGTAACACAATTTTAGACTCATCAGAAAAGAGTACACGACTCCAATCTTGCTGTGTCCAATTTAAATGACTGCGTGCGAAATGAAGGCGCGCTGACGGTGGGCTCGCGTTAGTTTGGGCCCATTAGCTGGCTTGTGTGGTACCATATCGCGTTCTTTTAACCTTCTCCGAACAGTTCGAGCGCTCACAGATGCTCCGTGGAAGTCGCGAATTTGTTTTTGTATCTCAATGAAGGTAAGGTGACGATTTCACAAGCTGGTCGTCACGATGAATCGATCCTGCCTTTCAGTTGTGACCCAAGATCGTGGCCTTCCTTGGCGACGAACAAAGCCGCTAGTCTCTAGGTACCTCCGATAAACAATTCGGACCGCAGATCGACTTAAATTAAGTTGAGCACTCACGTTTCTTTGGCTGTGTCCGGCCTGAATAAGTGCCACAGCTTGGGCGGCGACTTCAGGTGAAGTATTCATAGATTATTGATAGAACCTCACCTTAATGTTAAGAATAAGTAATGTTTGTTGCAAAACCAAAGATATCAATCACTTTTTCAAGAATTAAATCCAAGTAAACCAATAAAACCAAGTTTTCTTAGTATTCGATTGTTTGATATCAACATGGTCTTTTGTTTCTTTAAATTCTGTGTTCGAAATTCAAAAAAAGACTATTGAATGAAATTGTGAATGTGCCAGGTTCAAAACTGCATAAAAACTTTTTGCTCGACCTAATATAAAATTTTAGCTAGGACCAAACGAAACTGAAAATACAAGGTGGGCCAATAGATGTGTCCAGAAGTGTATATTAAAGTTATATAAGATAATATTAAAGTTTTGAAAAAAAAAATGATTGTCACTTCACAATCATATTATCTTAAGTGGCTAGCATATAATAAGTGTATGTATTTATGTTATTAATAATTCTGTAATGTATGACACGTATTGATGCTAGTGTGCCTAATTAATAAATATGAATATATACCAACCTCTTCCGAAGTTTCCTCATTGGACTCATCACTATCATCCTCATCAAGCGCTTCCACTATTTCTTCGTCACCGGAAGTATTTTCATTGCCATCTGTGTCATCATCGGTCAAATCGCCTTCCAATTCGTTAATTTCCCTTTCTATATCAACTATTCTCTCTTTCTCCTTTTGTATCATGGACGCTGTCTCTTGACTATCAATGTTGGTTTTCCAAACTTGCACTTCTTTCATATCAACATCACTATCATTTGTTATTAAAGACATGTTTTTCAAAGCAGAGTTATCTGTGTCCTTGACATTAGCAATATTGACTTCACGCGAAGATTCAGCAATGCTGCTTTCGCAACTTTTTAAAACCGATCTCTCTACATTAATTTCAACAATATCCGTGAAGGTTGTCAGCTTTTTGGAAACACTTACTTCAGCTGCTTTGATTTCTACATCTTCTTGGATACTGTACGATGTTTCAGCGGTACTGCTTTCAAAACTATGTAACACTGATTTTAATCCTACATCATGTAAAGTCGTGAAAGCTGGAAGTGATTTTAAACTAGCATTTGCAGCTGTTTCGTCAACTTTGTTATCTTCCTGCATACTTTCAGATGTGTCTGCAACGCTGCTTTGATAGCTTTGTAGAACCGACTTTTCATAGTAAGTTTCATGTATAGTCGTAAACGCTGGAAGGGATTTCAAACCTAATTCAGTGATGCTTTTGTCTTCTGTCTTTGTTGTATCTTTGTCTAGAGTATCATAGCCAGTACTATCTGTGGAACTCTGCAATACTGATTTGTTAACAATAGGGGATAAAGTAACATCCATTAGACTTGACACTTGTTTAATAGTCTTCATTGGTGTACATTCTATAGCGGTCTCTGATACTTCGGTTTGGTCTTTCTCGCTTTGCTCTAAATTCATTTTGGTTTTCGCGAAAGCGTTCGCTTCTAAGACTATTCTCGAGAGTGACTTTTTACTTTTAACACTATGTTCTAGTTTTGGCGACATAACTTTCTCTGGGGTTTTAGCTCGACTCCTACAAACATTATAAACGAGTTATTGTTACATACAAAATAAAGGAAATTGTCTCAAAGAATTTCTAATGCAAGCTATTATTTCATGTTTCGAGTACATTGAAATCAATTTATAGTTGATATGAAAGATTTTTCTATGGTTTGTTATATTTTCACGCACACTACTCGTTAAATAAAACACTATTCCAAGGGGTTTAAGATGCGTTTTTTAATACTTATAGGCTCCGTTCTCAAGAGACTGATATATGAATCGTAGAATCATCATTATTATCAGCTTGTTAATGTCCCCACTGATGGGGCAGAGGCCTTCCCAATGGATGGAATAGAGAGATTGGGCCATGACCCACCATTCAGGCCCAGTGCGGATTGGTGGGTGCTAACGATTGCAGATGCAGCCGGGACCAACGGCGTAACGTGCTTTCCGAAGTACGGAGGAGCTCGAGATAGAAGATTTTTAGTCACCCATCCAATGACCGACCACTGCGTAAGTTGCTTAACTTCAACCATCGCAACCAAACGCGCTAACCACCTGCGCCAACGAGCTCGAGAATCGTAAATTATGTATATTTTTTTTAAAAAAGCATTTTAAACCCTTTGATACAGTATTTATAGCTTTTATAATGTTTAATACTCACCTCAAACTTCGAGGACTTGCAGGTCTTGTTTGTTCCGTTGGTATTTCTACTTCAGGCGTGCGCGATCGACTTCTGGATAAGAAAACAATCATAAAAATAAATATTAAATTATTCAGATATAAGTAATAAATATAATGTTTTATTTTTATTGTAAATAATGTAAATATCCATCATAATATAGAGTTTACTGGTGTTCAAATTTATTTTATATCTGTGGAATTATTTCTAATATTAACTGTAACATGATTGTTTTTATTAACTATTTCTTGCATCATAATAAAAAAAGTGATGGTGGAGATGGTTTAATGAAAGATTTGTACGGTTTGACATCAGAGGCGACTGGTGTTTCTCAGAGAAGTGTTCAACGAGTTGTTTGTGAAGTACGCAATCAAGTTACAGCGGCTGTTAAAGCGTCAACATCACAACCATCTGCCTCAAGAGAAGGAGAGCCACAAGCAATCAAAACATTGGCGTCTGCTGTTACTTTCAGAACACTGTGATATATTCAAAGTGTTCCAAATAAAACCATTTTCAAGTTGCCGCAGAAAAATTTATCTGGACATTACGACATATCATCGATATGTGACGTTACACGACTGTCATTTAAACGTCAAACGATACAGTGTAATGTAATTTCGAACGGAAGTTTACTAGCGTCCGTGTGACTTCTTTTTAGTCCCCACCAATACTAGGCGTTATATTTTTGAAGATCATTTAAAGGTTTCCAAACTTTTTTCGAAACCCTTCCTTTACTACTAAATGCAAAGTCATATTTGCCTTCACGATAAAAATGAGCGATATGATATCATTTTACATGGGAATTATAGTAACCGGTTACTTACCTCAAACTACGTCTGCTAGGCGACGAAGAATCAGTATTGGAAGATTTACTAGGAGATTCTTTTATAGGTTCGAGTTTAGGTGACTCCAACACTGGTGTACGCGATCTGCTTCTGTTTCTGTGATGAATGAAATAAGTGATCGCACAACGAATCAGAAATAATATAGAATACAAACTGCGCTAAAAAATGTGGTTCCACGCAAACTGTGATCAAGTGGGCGGGGCGAAAAACTACGATCAACACGTCGAACATGGGATTGGCTGGGATTGCCGTTTAACATTATCTTATGCAATAAATGGATAGCCCAATTCTTTGCAGATATCAGACTTGACAAAGCATTTTGTTTTGGCTCTGTGTGTGTTGCTTTTGTATTGATGTTTAGCTGGTTGAATTTCGAACCATATTTTGGCGGCCTTTGTTAGAGAGCAAAAATTCCATAAAAAAATATTTGTTGTGATCCCCGTAAAAATTTACAACACCAGGTTATGGTTATAAAAATTTCGGCGGCGTGGATTTATTATGTCAAAATATTGAGAGCCCGCGACTTTATCTGCGTGGAAAAATTGGTTTCCCTTCTTTTCTCACCCTTACAGGATTAAACACCTCTTAAAGGATGATTTCTAGGATAAAAACTGTTTTGTGTCTTTTCCCGGAACTCCAACTATCTCTATACCAAAATTTCATCTTAATCGGTTCAGCGGTTTAAGCGTGAAATAGGTAACAGACAGACTGACACACTATCGCATTTATAATATTAGAATAGATATCAAATCGATGTACTAGATATTTTATGTCTAAAGAAAATATAATAAATACTTCCAATTAAGAGGTTTACTTTAAACAATTAAGGGACTGTTCGCTTATCAAAATGTTTTAAGTACGAAATGTTAAGAGATATAAATTTCAATTTTAAATGGAACATACCACATATATTTAAGTGGGTACGAAAGGTCAAAGGATATTGTAATTGGAAAAAAATGTGTAGTCTTGTTTCATAAATACCTTGTTAACAAAGGAGTGCTTTCACTTCCAGAAGTTCTGATCGCCCTTCTTCCTTTAGGAGTGTTAGGAACAGATATTTCTAAGGTAGCTTTTATTTCTTCCTCGGGTGGTTTATTATCTTCCTCAGTCGATTGTTTAATATGCGACTCCACAGTAGATTCATTCCTCTCACTAACTTCTCTACGTTTCTCAGAATACCGGGGGTTGATTAGAGTGATAGGGATGTCTGCAATGCTTTCTATCGATGTGCTAGGGTCATCAGAGAGACTGCTATTCGCCGATATCGATAATGAACGCCTGTTGATAAGGTTTAACATTAGAATGATTAGGAAAATAGGCTGTAAATGGTTATTAAGAAATTGTGTGTATTGGCTACAATATTGCATGAGGATTTTATGGATTATTGTTTGTTGATCAACAAATTATTTATTTTTGGGTATAACAAAAACAATAAATTACATACTTACACGACGAGTACTTACTTCTAACATAATAAATCTAAATACTAACCTGGCTTTAACAGTGTCCTTGTACGATTTTCTGGACAGCAATGAGTCCTCAGTAGCTAGTTTTTTGGGTGGAGATTCTAAGGGATGATTTTGTTCCTAGAACAAACAAATAACACATTCAACCAAACGCAACCCAATGTTTTTGTATTTTGTTTTTCTTTTTAACCGTCGACCTCAAAGACGTTAATTAAATTTGATGATTTAAATTCACGGTTGCACTTATTAGGTTGTTATTGCAAAAGAAAGTAAACATTAATTAAACTTGAAAAGTTAACTGATTATATGGTTAATTGAAAATTTACCTTTATTAATTTTGTAACTGTTAGTCCTCTTTAATTTTAATAATTGGAGGTTACTACATTTAAATCTCTCAACGATTAATTCAAGTTGTATTGCGTAAGCAGTAGTTTCTAAATTACAACAAAATAACTCGCTTTTTTATCGTATAACTAGCTGTCCCAGCGAACTTCGTACCGCCATAAAAAAAATAGAGGTTGGTGGTAGAAGGGTGAAAATTTGGAGTTGTATGTATTTTTGTATGATGTATCATAAAAAAATAAAAACTAATAATTTTGACAAAAAAATTAAGGGTGACAACATCTATTTTTCATCCCCCTTAACATTTAGGGGGATGAAAAATTGTTGTCCGATTCACAGACCTAGACACAGAACTACTGAATATGCATATAAAATTTCACAAAAATCGGCCGTTTCGGAGTAGTTCAATTACGCACACCGTGACACGAGAATTTTATATATTAGATTTGTTAAAACTTACAATGGCGTGCGAGTCTGTAGTGGCAGTATTGTCGTCCCTTTCCTCCTTAGCGGTATCGTGTTCTTCCTTCTCTGTCCGTCTCTGTATCTCTAGTTTGGAACGTTCTAGATCGGCAGCGGTAGGCGGTGAAGGTGTCGAACCAGATTCCGATGCGGTTGGTATTGTAAACCTTAAGTGCCTACGAATATAAAGATTTAGGTTATGGTTTCTTTTATTATTGCTCATAGTGATATAAATTATATTAATAAAGAAGTAAAGTTTGTCGGCCTTATTAGTTAGGCTTTGTTTAAATATAATGCTGTCTTCTTTTTAGCAAAAAACGCATAGGTACCTAAATAAATACATACGAGATCGCTTTCCCGTACGTTCAAGTATCTATAACTTAATCATAGAAACAACATCAACACACATACAAACATCTGTCTATATAAAATAATTAAAAATATTCAGTTTTTTTTTCAACTTTAATAAATGATTATTTTATCTTAAGACTTTATTCGTCAGATGATGGTAGACCAATGTCTGCTTATAACATCTTACCCGCAAACACTTCAGTGATTCTGTGATCATGGCACTTGCAGCAGTGCCTAAATTTTTATTTATTATTTTATATAACCAGGAAGGCAAATAACTCTACCACACCTGTTGTTAAGTGGTGATAAAGTCCAAACGCGAAATATCGGGGACTCGCAAAAAAGTAGGTACATAGTAAACATACAGGTACATAGTACATATTGAATATTGTGTTTCTTTTTAAGCATTTCTTAATCTAAATTACATTTAAACCCATATTATTATAACACAAGATGTGTCCTGCGGTTTCACCCGCATTATTTTGAGAGAAAATATTATAGTAGCTAACCCTTAAAAGATACCCCCTTAAGATATAAAAGATAGAACCCCGCATTATTTTGAGAGAAAATATTATAGCAGCTAACCCTTATAGACATAAAGACTATCGCGGACTTTTTACAGAACTTTTAAAGGATATCAATGGTGTCACACATGATTTTCATGTTACTTTTACCGTTTATGCAGCGCACGAAATGGAAGCTCTCAAATTTAATATTATTTTGATTTTTGACAGGATTGCTATGGCTATCATTATCGTTTACGATTTCATTTGTTATTTCTAACTGCCCAAGGTTTTAAAAATCCTCACGTTCACTTTCTTAAATATTGTTATTGCAAATGCAAAAGAAAAAAAAAGTGCGAGGCATTTGAAAACGTTCGGCTTTCAGAAATAACAAAATGAAATCGTAAACGACAGCGATAGCCATGGCAATCCCGTTAGACGATTGAACCCCAGTACTTTAAGTTTATACGTATATATTTTTAAATATAAAATATGTGTATTTTGTTTGTAATGTATATGTATATTATATTAATAAATTACATTGAAATTTACGCCGCCGTCTCTCCCACTTCCTTCTAATCCTCTCCATCCAAAAGTTGTCTGGAAGAGATCGCTTTTAGCGATAAGGCCGCCCATTGTAACACTTGATTTAAATGGCTCTGTATTTATTGTAATGTTTTCTGTGGTGTTCAATAAAGTGTTTTGTATTGTATTGTATACTTTCTGAGATGAGCGCGTTTAAACAAACAAACTCTTCAGCTTATTAATATTAGTATAGATTACTGACTTGTTGGTGGAGTCGCTGTATTGCGTGTGATTGCTGCACGTTTCCAGCATATCATCGTCGCTCTCCCCCAAATATCTCGAGTCCACTGGAGATGCGGCATCAATGCCCATTTCACCACGACGTACCTACGGGGGGGGGGGTCCATTATTTAAATATAAAAAACGAGTGTTCTTATGACCACACGACTGAAGTGAAACTTCTTTAGCTCTTATGAAGAGAAAGAGAGGGCACTGCTTTCTCTTGCTTACATCCCCCACTCAACTCCCGTTCGCCTCGCCCGAACACACTTTTCGGAACGCGTAAGGCTTTGTCCTAATTGGCAACGATCGTGCGACGGCTTACGCTGTATTAGGACACCTCTGAAGAAATCTGTATGTTTGAAAATCATCGCACGACAAGAACGCATCGTGTCATCGTACGATCGTTGCCAATTAGGACGACGCGTAACGCATTCGCCAGCTTACGCCCCAAGTCAAGAGTAAAGAAGTTTCACTTCAATAATAGTTTTTTTTTTACTTTACTTTCGAAGAGCTCGATGGCGCAAGTGGTTAGCGCGTTCGGCTTCGCTCGTTGAAGTTAAGCATTTTCGGAGTGGTCGGTCATTGGATGTGCGACTAAAAATTTACTAACTCGAGCGCCCCCGTGCTTCAGAAGGCACGATAAGCCGTTGGTCCCGGCTGTATCTGCAGTCTTCAGCACCCACTAATCCGAACTGGGCCCGCGCCCGCGTCGTCCCAATGTTGCGAGGGTCATGGCGCAATCTCCCTATTCTATCCATAGGGAAGGCCTGTGCCCCAGCAGTGGGGACATTAATAGGCTGACGATGATAAATAATAGTTTGTGCGACTGCAATATAAGAAGGGGTATTAAAACACGAAAGTCTGTTTATGCGTTAATAGGTTGACTCGAGTGTTTTAATACCTAAATTATATGCAGTTGCATACACTAAGATATCTTCACCCATAAAATAAATTTCAATTAGACAAAGTAGCTAGATAAGGATTTCTTTGAAAGATATATAAATAGATGTGCACTGCTTGTGTTGTAATGTTTCACCCACATCAATTTGAGGGGAAAGGTTATAGTGGGTCTCCCCTAACAGATACACATGCTATCGCGGACTTTTTTGGAAGATATTTTAAAGAGGAACAATTCTGTCGCACATGTTTTTTGTGTAACTTTAATCATTTACGCAACGGATGATCTTGAGAGCAAAATAATTCATTTGAATGGAGTATTTTTTTCCGTTTTCACAAGATTTTTCATTAAAGCTACGCTCCTACTCGTCGTATCATTACATAGTCTAACCTTCCTCGCTAAATAAAATCAGACCTGTGGTTACTGAGATTAGCGCTGTCAAACAAACACTTTAGCTTAATTATATAGTAAAAATACAGGCAGTCCTCGACTTACGTCGTTTGAAGTTACGTCGAACAATGTTTTGACAATATTCCTCAAGCATACGTCAATTGTTTCGATTGCTGGCATAGGAGAATACACTTGTCGCGAGGTGAATGTCCGTGGGGCAGGCGTCCGTCGCGACTCGACTTACGTTGTTTCGATATCCGTCGCGTATTTCGAGAACCTAACATGCCGTAAGTACGAGGACTGCCTGTATAGTTATCTCACCTTAAGAATACTATGCGGAGTTTCAGCGCCGGATCTTTCTATGTATAGTTTGCATTCAGGACTCTGGACCTCGGGCATGTCCAATAGAATCGACAGTTGTTTACTGAGGCTCTCGTTCATTTTCACAGCGCTACCGAATTTAGGCGTTTTCGGCGTAGAATTAAGGTCCAATTTTGCACGTTTTGGCGGTGTAGATTCGGCTGTTTGGTCGGTCAGTATGCTATAGATGATGATGATATGGAAAATTAGAGTTTTTTCGTAAATTATAAATATCTCGATTGTTAACACTATTTTATTATTACATTCTAAGCACTATAAGCAAATTGTTTTAGGTCAGAATTTCACATAGGTAAGACAAACCATCAACATATATTGCTAAAATCTTGAGATTAATAGTAATTCATTCACAAAATATATGTAATTAGTTTTACTTAACAGCTGTCAAAAGAGCTATAAGAGTTTTCTTTGTGTCATTTCAGAATAGAAGTGCTTATATATTAGTACTTATTTTACGGCTCTGTAAAATTGTTCTATTAAGTCAGTATTACAAGACGTTGTTATTTAACTGCTCTGTCTCTTTCCAATAAAAATATAGTAAGACAACACAATTTTTCAATGACGGGGAGAAAAAATGTATTATATTCACGACAATGACCAACGCCACGTTGGTTTGCTGTCAACAAACCCTCGCGATGCTGGTAATTGCGTGGTGCATTCGGCAAGCGACGAGCCGCCCGAGGGCCGCTAGTCGGTGCGGGTATACTTTGACGAGCACTCACGCAAGCGTGGCATAGGTCAAACCACCCCACCTCCGACCGGCAGCCCGGTCCGCACCAGCTTCAGCCGATCCTGGGCTTCTCCGTTCACCGCGTCACCTGGCTAGTCTCACGGACCGCAGTCCGAGCGGTTAGCCAGCCAACCAGCTCCCGTACCTACCAGGTAAACCAACTCCCCGATGTACCCCTCACCCTCCTGGCGTAACTGCGGGGTCCAGTTATGAGTCCGCTTGTTACGCCTGGGACTAAAGTTAAACTTGGACTAAAACTGATATCTTGTCACTTTTGTTTTCTAAAAAGGAGATATTGGTGCGATTCTGGCATGATTCTCTAAACCTAAATTTCAATTTAACAACAGTGTATCCTTGTCATTCTCTATACAATATGAAAAGGAGAGACTTTGTTAAACTAGCTGTGCCCCGCGGTGTTAACCGCGGTAAAGCCTATCCAGGGTGTCAGCTAACTCAATACCAAATTTATTAAAATCGCTTCAGCCGTTTTAGACGTGAAGAAGTAACAAACATACACACTCACAAACTTCCGTCTTTATAATATTGGTGTGATTTAATATTAAGTTTAGAGAATCATGCCAGTATCGACACCTCTGTCTATATTGGGTTTTAATTAGGACTAACTTTAGCGCGCATTTTGGAATAAGGGGGGGAGGGGGGCAAAGTTCTAACATTCCCTACCTCCTATTCCGATGTAACTTCGGCGTGCAAATGAATGGCGTTTCTTCAACATTGAGCGCCCGTTTGAGACCTTTCCTCATCTTAGGTTTGTTCATCCACGTCTCACTAGCATTCTCTATTGTATCCTGGGAAAGACAACATCGTACAAGGACTTCATAATTAATAAAGAATATTCGACAAGTAATATAAATCAGGAGCTCGATGGCGCAAGTGGTTAGCGCGTTCGGCTGCGATCGTTCAAGCAATTTACGCAGTTGTCGGTCATTAGATGGGTGACCAAAAATCTTCTATCTCGAGTTCCTCCGTGCTTCGGAAGGCACGTTAAGCCGTTGGTGCCGGCTGCATCTGCAGTCGTTAGCACCAGCCAACGCACTGGGCCCGCGTGGTGGGTCATGGCCTGATCTCCCTATTCCATACATAGGGAAGGCCTGTGCCTCAGCAGTGGGGACATTAATAGGCTGATGATAATGATGAATATAAATAAGAAAACTGTAGTTTCATGGAACCGCGATGCAAGCAAAACTATTAAAATCATCAATAAAAATAGTCCGTACTCGGCTGGGAATCGAACCCGAGCCTACTACTACTACGAACTACAGAACCAGCGATGCTTGGAGACAAAAATCTGATTATTTTAATAACAATTGACAATAAATAATAATAAATAAATATTTCCAACACTCACACCAATTAGCCTAGCCCCAAAGTAAGCACTGTAAGGCTTGTGTTATGGGATACTTGGGTAACGGATAGAATACATATGGCTCAAAATCACCAAGGTGGTAAATCCACTTCGGCAGCAAATAAATGCCTAAATTCTGTATTTTTTTTAACATTTTAGCATTGGTAAACACTTAACTGTGTTTACTTTAACCACACATCACACAAAATAATTAAAAAGTCTTATATATTACATTTTATATGGACAAATAAGTACAAAAAATCATTTGGAGAACGCGTCCTAAGTAGCAATTCTTAAAAGCTAACACCAGAAATAGTCATAAAATAAAACATTTTTAACGGTTATTAATACCCATTCACCTTCAATTGTATCTAATATTACATTATTGAAAGCATTATTAAAGAAGAAAAACGAATTTAAAAAATCTAAGTCTAAATATAATGTCCGACAATATAAGCATCATGTTAGTGAACGCAGCTTTGATTACGCGAAACAAAAAATTTCGAACGCATCCCTCTTTAGTCTATGGAACAGCTGTAGAGAGAGTTGTAAACAAAGTGGCTGTAAAGAAAGTAGTTCGCCAAATGAAATTAAAATAAGTGGTAAGTGGCTTTCAATTCATTATTTACAGAGCGTACATCAATAGGTCGTCAATTGGGGAACGCGTTTTCCAATCAAAATTATGCAATAATAGCTTTTATAGTGTTGCATAACAAATGTTATAATGAAATATTTTACATTAAGGAAGCAAGAATTGCTGTCAAATATGGCTGCCGTTTAAAAAAAACGCGGTTATTTGAAAATATCATTTGGTGAACGGTCATTTGGGGAACGTTCTCCGATTTGATGGACCGTTCTCTAAATGATGTTGTTGTTCCCCAAATGACTATTTAGTTACTAATTGGTACTTTCTATTACTAACTGTCAATTTTGTGTATGTCGTGCTTACAAAGTTATCAATAGGTAAACTAACTTTATTTTTACAGCAATATGGAGTCTCACAAAGCTGAAAAAAACCGTTCGAATAAGCAAATAAAGAAAAACAGTACAGCTTACTTAAAGAAGTGAATTCTCAGAACCCTACAACTCCCAATAGCAAAGTTAACGCATTGTTAGAAAACGTTGACGTACCTCCTGAAGTGCGCAAGAATCTTTTATTTAACGAAGTGAAATCTTTTATTTGAGAAAAAAATCAAGACAGGGTAGTTTTTCAAAAATGTGTTAGCGGGATTATGGTAAGGCAATACAAATTGCTTCATAAGGTTAATTGTTTTTTGCCAAAAGAGAAAACCAGTACTATTCTCAAATCTGACGCCAAAATTCATGAGGTTGTTTTGAATAAATAAGTTCGCGAAAAAGTCAAAGAGTTCTTCCAAAGAGATGATGTCAGTAGGGTGTATCCAGCCAAGAGAGATTTCGTAAAGAAAAACGGGATTAAGAAGCAGAAACGCCTCCTTTCATGTTCAGTTAAAGCACTGACGTCAAGAGTTTTACTTGGCTGTGTCATCAATAATGAGACTAAAAAAGTGATTTAATTGAGTTAGAATTAAGTTCTTGTTAAGAATAAATCTTATAGCAAATAAATAAATAACAATTACTTCCTATAATTTGGTTTATTATTCAATTTAACTGTGAATTAAACCCTAATTGTCTGCATATCGTCATTTGATGAATGCCCTCATCATTTCGGGGAACACCTCTAAAATCAAAGAAATGCCATTATAACATAAGTTATTTAGGAATAAAGTCTGATAATATTGGAAACAGGCTGAATCCCTATAGCTACCGCAGATTTATTTATATGCAAGTGAGCGATATTCACTTATTTTGTAAATTTAAGAACATGAAATAGTCATATAGCTTAATTTACAGCGACATTGTCCTTAAAAACGTTTTAATTCCAAATTTTGTCAAAGTTTTTTAAGTTCGTACTATTGGCGACGTATCTCCGTTATCGTTAAGGGTAAAAATGAAATATATATATATTTTTTTATTTAATTATAAACTTCCGAATACCGTTCCCCGAATGATTAATTTTAGTGATAGCACACTTAAAAATTGAAATTTCAAGAAAAGTATTTAATTCTATGCTCTGCCAAGGTCAATATAGTTTAACATAAGTTTAGTTATGATTTAGAGTAATTATCAATATATTTAGCTTCTACTCTATAGCATCATAAAACAGAATTCAGTATTTTCCACCTTGGTGATTTTGAGCCATATACTGTACATATATAAGTATATTTATATAGAAATACATATTAAACATCCATGACTGGAGTACAAATGCTCGTATTCATCACACAAACATCTGGCCCCACCGGGATTCGAACCCGGGACCACTCGAGTCGGCGACACCATGAAACCCGACCTACAAACCACTCGGCCACGGAGGTCGTCAAATGTAATGCGACATGCATGAACGAAAAACAATTGTGGCGATGTAATAAAAGTTTGAATTTAATAAGGAAATATTTGTAAGAGATAAAAGAAGTTTCATTATACCTGTATAAATGAAGATTTGTATGTGAAAGTGTTTTTAGGTGATCTTGCTTGAACAAATACAGACATCGGTTTGGGGGCAATAACTGAAAGACGACAAAAAAAATCACTAAATAAAATGTGATATGATTTGCTTATCTCTTTCCGAAATGTCAAAAGAGATCACGAAAATCTAAAAGTTGGCATTCGGAGGCTCAAGCACGAATTTTGACAATTCCGTAATATGTTTTTATACCGTACTAGCGGCCGCCCGCGACTTCGCACGCGTGGAGTTAGTTGGAAATAAAGGTTCACTGCTCGTTCTCCGCAGGTGATAGCGTGATATTATGTTGCCTATAATATGTTCACCCGACTTCTGAATAATATTCGTACCAAATTTAAAGTAAATCCATGCAGTACTTTTTGAGTTTATCCCGGACATACATACAGACAAACAGACAAAAATTCTTCTAATATTTTTGGCTTCGGTATCGATTGTAGATCACACCCCAAGTATTCTTTAAAAAATATTCAATGTACATTTTTGACTTTTCTACCATTTTATGATATGTTTAGATGTATGACACAGCAATCAAAATGTGAGTGGACGTTGTATTGGTAGACCTCATTTTTTTGTAAATGTTGCTACTTCTGTTCAAATCTGATCAGTTTTCTTGCGCCCATTCTTCTCATCAGCTAAAAGATGTTCTGAATGGGTGGTACGAAAAAATATTGGACGATTCAAAAGAACTTTCAATAAGTCTAATTTGAATAAGGTATAATATCATTTCATATCGCATCGTCATAGTTTCTATCAGAACTGAGCAGCGCCCCTACCGGACGTAAGAACAAACTGGCTTCTTGCATACAAAATTTGAGGATGCCGATACCATTACGGCGCCGGCGGAGTTGTCAAAATTCGTACTTGGGCCTCAGACTATGAATATTTCACTTACTATGAGTCTCGATATCCTTCTCGCTGAACACAAAATCACGAACCGAACCCGTGACCGCCGGCAAGGAAGCGCAAGCTACTTCCACTACGGTATCTCTGGCACCCTCCCGGTCCAGTATTTCCGCTAAGGACTCGAGGGACCCAGAGGGTTCCTTAGAGCGGGGCTTGCTGTGACGCAATTTGCTGTTGTATTGTTCGGCTTCTATGTACCTATAAAAAATACAAATTTTAATATTTAACCATGTGATTAAGGGGGGATAAACATTTCTTCTGATCTTCAACTAAGATCTGGATAAAGAGTAGATTGTAATAGAGCTTTCTTCCAGCAATCCAAAGCTATCCATTCTCATTTTATTGTTAGGGACAAGTGGAACAAGGGGCAGAGTGGAACTTCTACTTTATTATGATAAAAGGGTGGCAAACAAGCGTAGGTAGGTAGGTAAATAGTTCGTGGTGGTCATGGCCCAATCTCCCTATTCCATCCATAGGGTAGGCCTGTGCCCCAGAAGTGGGGACTTTAATAGGCTGATGATGATGAAACAAGCGTTGGGCCTGCCTAATGGTAGCTGGCCACCTACTATCACAGCCTATTGACCCTTGCCATACCAAAAGTATCACTTGCATACCCTAACCCACTCCACTGTCCGAGGAGTCCTGGAGCTCAATTGTTGGTTCGTTCGCCTGACATAGTATCGTCGAATGCGACTTAAGTCACTTTCGACATCCAAGTGGCATGATACTGATTTTCTGTATTTTTAATCGTTCATCTTCAGTGATACCAGTTTAATACAAAATATTCATTTTTATTAATTTCATGGAATAAGATAAAAAGCAGTCATTACCGCTGCGACAAAATAAATGTATAACTGGTTATAACAAATCGTCATCTTATCAAAATATATAATAATCCTTTAATATCTGACATAAATTTGACAATGATTCTACCCACACTTCTTATATTATCTATATTATCTACTCAATGCGCAACGAGTGGTCGAGACAGGACACATGATGCGTAGTCAATTATAAAAATGGAGTAAAGTTGTTACCAACTGGTACCCCAGAAATAGAAAAAGAAGCTGGGGACGGCAAGATACTAGATGGGCAGACGAGCTTAAACAGACGGTGGGAGTTTACTGTAGAAGAATAGCCCTAAAAAGATCTGAGTGGAGAAGGTTAGAAAAGATTCTTCAAAGATTCGAACATCAACTAGGCATCCCGTAAGGCTGGCGGAGACTTTGTGTCACTGACACGCTAAATTCATCACAGAAAAAAAACAAATTTTCAATCATTGTTTAAAAACTGGTAGCTTTAATAAAGACTTTTGTTAATTTTGTTTATAGTTTAGTAAGATCATAATGAATCACCTGGCTTGCTGCAAGTAGTACATGACCAAAATGTCGGAGGTTTGCGACTCGTTGCAGTTCCTCAAATAATTTACAAACACTTCCTCTTCTAATGGTAACAATGTCACTTGCAATATCTTCGACAGCTGACCGGTGTTGCGGCAACCTTTCAACGAAATTATCTATTTCAAATTCATACAAATTTATTGCTTTATCTATCTAGTTTGAGGTAAGGCTTTATTGTTATTTCGATTAAATTATATTTTCTTGCCAAAAATGAAAAAAATGTAATGTTGGTAATTCTAAAGCAAACCCACTCGGTCCAGGCATCAGACAGGATTCGAAGCTGCAGCTCCGCTATCCGGGCGGACGAACTGACCATTATGCTACCACGGCCCTAAGCAGTGTCGAATTTCTTCTAGTATTTCTAAGGGTGCAAGGAAACGCCGTCTCCTTTCATTATGTAGCATAATGCGAAACGATAACGTTTACAAAACAGGCCCAATGGTGGCATAATATCCACTGAAGACTGAACTTTTACCCCCTTGATAATAAACGGAGAATAAGCTTGGATCAGTTACTCGATGTTTTGTCTATTTTTATTGAATCACAAATGGCACTTGAGTTATAAGAATAAACATGGCGTAAGTTTATTCCTCGTTTATTAATAACTAGCGGCCGCCCGCGACTTTGTACGCGTGGAATTAGTTAGAAATAAAGGTTCAATGAACAAAGACAAAACATGGAGTAACTTATCCAAGCTTATTCTTCGTTTATTAATAAGGGCGTTTGAGTTTATCCCAGACATACATACAGACAAACAGAAAAAAAATCTAAAAACGGTATTTTTGGCTTCGGTATCAATTGTAGATCACACCCCCAAGTATTCTTTTTAAAATAAATCAATGTATAGTTTTGACTTTCCTACCATTTATTATATGTATAGATGGGGGAGGGTAGGGGGGGGGAGACTAACCTTTAAAGAAGAAGTTCAGTATCGTCACTTTATCCTCCAAACTGGCAGCGTTCTGTGCGCACATTCTGACTACATCCAAGGCTTCGAAAACTAAACCCCTCGCCAAATATAAGCTACAACACGATTGCCAGTCGTCTAATTTATCGTGGTCATTGACTTTATTGAATGAATTGTCGTCTTTCATCTGTATTGGTGCTGGTTTTCTGACGTGCAAATATTGGAGTGCCGCTTGGGTTTTTCTTTGAGCTAGCAATGAGGATAATACGACACTGTGTTGCCATTCCGAGAGTGTGTTCCCAGTCAAACATTGAAGCTGGTCTAGTGCAAACTGTGGGGAAAAGTTTGGTTGTGTAAGCTTAGATTTTATTGATGGACGACTAGATTTATTTTTCTATTGATAAAAAATGTACTTAGATTAAATATTAAATGAGAGTTAAAAGGATTTTTTTAATACTGGGTAAAAAAGTAGTTTTATAACTGGATATTGGTGTCGATTCTGGCACGATTCTCTAAACCTAAACTAAAATTTGACAAGAGTGTGTCCTTGTCATTTTCTACACAAAATAAAAGGGAGAGACTGATAAAACTAGTTTTTACGGGTTAATGCACGAAAACTTTATTTATTTATTGACGTTTCGTAGTCTTTACAGGCTACGTCGTCAGAATTTCTGATTCTGACAGATTCTGACGACGTAGCCTGTAAAGACTACGAAACGTCAATAAATAAATAAAGTTTTCGTGCATTAACCCGTAAAAACTAGTTTTATTTAATGAGTGATGTGCGTGAGAACCTAAGAAACAAATATGTTAACCGGGAGAGACTGATGTTAAATTTAGTTTTAGGTTAAGAAAGGCATGCCAGAATTGACACCAATATATTCTTAAATAACAAAAAAAATCAATAATGATGTTATTTAATAAAGTGACATCATAAGGGTTAGGGGGTGTCCAATAAAAATGATCTATAGTTGTAATTCCTTCAATTCTACTGACATAATATTCCTACTATGGAAAGCCACACATGAAGTCACCACGAACTAAATAAAATCTCAATAGATAGTAAATTTTACATCAATGGACATGAAGTTCAAATTCAGTTGTAGAAACTTGCCGTGACTGTTTGTATCTATTAATATTGAAAAACATATCTTATTATATTATGTAATTTCGAAGAAAATAATCTTACATCAAAATCCCTGTGGTCGAGATGCCAGAACGCCTGTGTGGCTTTAATGGCAGTGTTGCTAAGCCCGAACATAGTGGGGAATTGCATCAGTCTTCGGATCACAGCTTCATATCTGCGAGAACAGAAATAACACTGCCAAATTACTTTGGCATTTCTCTAGGATACCTGTTATGTTTACTTAGGAGCGATCACACTTTAAGGAAACAATAAAAAGAGAGAAAGAGAATTCATACGTTTGGTAATGAAACACGCCAAAAATCTAAAGTATTAAATTAATAAAACTAAAAAAAAATGAATAGCATTTTTTTATCGAAAGCCGATGAAAAAAATAATTACTACATTATCTTGGATTGTCATACATAATTAGCTTGTAAATGACACTGACATAATGCAACGGAATGATATCCTCAGTAATGAGGTTAATATTTAGAAGTCATTAAATTCGAAAATATTTGTACTTGACGCTTTATTGATCTGGAGATTTCGACCTTATTGCAATTTGTAAAAACCACATTTCTAGGAAATGGTTTCCAAATTAAAGTTCTTTTCTGTACCTCGTAATATCAATAATAAAACAAATAGCGATATATTTCCAATTTTCACAAAAAAAATACAGAGTTCTAGCCCACAGACAGGTTTAGCCTGTATGTAAATGTACTTATACTCACCTCACTTGATCGTAAAGCACCGAATAGTCGACAAGCAGGTACAAAACAAGCGAGTGCTTGTGTTCCTCCGCTATGTCGGGCAAAAGGTAGAGACGCAGAAGGGAGTAAAGAGAAGGTGGCGGATATAAACCGTTACATTCACTGCCGCCTTTTATCCACATCCTGCGAGAAACAACAACAAAAGGTGAAAAGTACCCTAGCACGAACCAATATCGAATTTGAATAGTTTACGAGTGCGAAATGTCAATGTCAAATTTTGAATGAAAACTCGAACAGCAACGCCACAAGGGACGTAACGAGAACTTAAAATCAGTACACATTTGACGTTTAACTAGATCGAATTCAATTATTCGAATTCCATAATGGTTTGTGCTAAGGATACAGTACCCTAGCACGAATCAATATCGAATAGTTGAATTCGATCACGATACGGATCAAATGTCAATAGGGTTTGTATGGAATTTTAAACAATGCCACAACGGACGTAACAAGGATTCAAAATCTTCCATACGAAAGTCTTGATATTTGACGCGTATCGAGATCGTATTCAATCATTCGAATTCGATATGAAATATTTTAATATATAAATTAATATACTTTTAATGTACACATAAAATATTATGTTTTGATAGTGTGTAGCTTTTTTAAAATTTTGGAAAATATCAATAATATCAAATAAAAATAAAAACTAAAAAAAACCGGTATCGCGAGTACAACACTACATAAAAAAGCGGGTGTCATTATTAATTGCAAACTTGACATTTGCATGTGTCATTTTTGTCTCCGACACAAAAAAATACTATAGGAGAAAGGTGGGGTGTATAAATGTTATGACATAGTTGGAAGTAGGCTAGAATAAAATAAGGAAAACAGAATGAGACACCTTTAAAAATATGCACAAATACGAAAATAAAGAAGAACACAGCTTTATGTATTAACATGACTAATCTGTTAAGAGTTTTTTAAAAATCCAATCCTAAATGAGATTTACGGCCAGTTTCAATAATCAAACTTCAGTAAGCGGTAGGCCTACTGGAGCTTTGTTGCTAAGGAATGAAATAAAATGATACTTTATTCAAATTGACTTATTAAAGCTCTTCTGAATCGTCCAATATCTTTCCTAACACCCATTCAGGACATCTTTTAGCTGATGAGAAGAATGGCCTCAAGAGAGTTTTTTGCGGCCATTAAACAAAAGTACCAACATTAAAAAAAAACATGTCGCTACCAATACAACGTCCACTCACATACTACTAGCTAAGATATTTTTATTACTACGAGTAAAACTATAATGACAACTTAGCAACTTAGAAACGGAACCAGATTATCTTTACTTTTTAATGGAGGTTGATTATTGGAACTGGCCGTTATTAGATATCTCGATGGCAACATGATTATTATATGGGATAACAAGCGTAGATGCGAAATTCAGGAAAAACTAAAAGAGAACTTACTGATGTATCCTTTCGCCCCCAAACTCGTTCTCTATCAGTTGATCGATATAAAGAAGGGTACATGATTTACTAGGTGGATCTTCTACTGGCGAATTGTCTTGTAACCTCTGAAGTTTGAGCCGTCTGCAATTTAATAAATCATTATTAAAGTGGCATAAGTTGGTAATGACACGGTAATATTATCTATACAGTATTGTGACTCGGCCCTGTCCTTGAAATAACTGCCTACGGCCGAGCAGAGCGTATCCACGCGGTAGGGCTGCCCGCCTATCTACATAATTGAGTTTATTTCTAGTTTTGTGATTGTAAATATTTTATTTCATATGTAAAAAAATAAATTGTTGTGAATGAATTAGGAAGTGTTACATAAAAAACATGTTCTTTCAAGTGTAATATTTAATAAAAAAAATATACATTTGTGACAGAAAAATATTTACGCCTCGACTGAGACGTACGAAAACCTTTATTATTAAATTTAATAGTATAATAAATACGCAATCGTATAAAAAGTTAAATTATTGATGAGTTTAAGCAACCAAAAACAGCACAATATTGACTATTGCTCTTTGCCATATTGAATTATGTAGGTATCTACTTAATTCAATCAAATATTCACAATACAAACGTTACGCACAGCTAACTGCTTAAAAAACAATTCACACCGTTCAGTCGTCGCTGCGGCGCATTCGCAACTGGATACCAACCAAGTCGCGCGAACTCGAGTGGCGTAGGTATGACACGCTTTCCGACCATTTGTATGAAGATAGAATACTGTATAGATAATATAATATTACCGTGGTAATGATGTCGATTCTGGCATGATTCTCTAAACTTAAAACCAAATTAAACATCAGTCATTCCTTTTCATCATGTATAGAGAATAACAAGGATACACTGTTGTAAAATTTAAGTTTAGGTTCAGAGAATCATGCCGAATCAACATCATTATTTATTTAACCTTCTATTCAATATGACTTAGGACTCTGATGACATAAAGAGATCGATGGTGCATTCATAGACTCGTATTTAAAGACTGACAGGGTAATTGGAGTGATGTTTTTATTTTTTAAGCATTTAACTGCTAAATGTTTAAATGTAAAGAAATAAAAAAAGTTACGTTTAAATACCTTTTATTGTAAGTGGCGTATAGTTGCGCGGCCGGATACGGCACGGCCGGGAAGCTATCGTGCCGTTCCGGAAGTAAACCCACGCGTAGAAACCACTGAACCACTTGGAAGTAGAGGGAGACGGTGCCGATGCCTTTGTATTTCTCCTCCATTTCACTTAGAGCTAGGAAAATGAAATGCATACATTTATCATCATCATCAGCCTAATAATGTCCCCACTGCTGGAGCACAGACCTTCTTCAGACTGGATGGATGGACGACCAGATGGATGGAATAGGGAGATTGGGCCATGACCCACCACGAGGGCCCAGTGCGGATTGGCGGGTGCTAAGGACTGCAGATGCAGCCGGGACAAACAGCTTAACGTGCCTTCCGAAGCGTTGAGGAACTCGAGATAGATTTTTGGTCACCCATCATTGATTGGACCGACCACTGCGAAAGTTGCTTAACTTCAACGATCGAGCTCCTCAATTTTTTTTGCTTTATTTAAATTGATTTATTGAAAAACTCTTTTGTATCGTCAAATATTTTTTCCTACTACCCATTCAGGACATCTTTTAGCTGATGAGAAGAATGGTCGCCATCGAACTTCCGCGCTATCCAGCATATTAATAATAATCTTATTTCTGAGTAAAGCCGCGTTGTTTCATACACAGTTAAATTAGAGACGTCAAAGTCACATCAAATACATAGTGTAATATTTATTTTTTTCGTTTTTAACTGCTACATATTTAAATCTAAAGAAAGTTTTACTGGAAAAACAAGACTGTCATTAAAACGTCAAACGATAGAATGTAATATAACTTTGGCCGGAAGTATACTAGCGTGTGACGTCTTTTTTGTCTTGGCCAATCCTAGGCGTTTTCGATCACGTAACCTTGGAGAAAAAAAATGATTTCTATTTAATGATTTTATAGACAAGTTTTAAATTTTTTGATCTTTCAGAATAGTTAAATCCCTGCTAATATACTCATATTAAATACAGATGCCAACAATTGGTACATTATTTTTCATACTGTCAAATAGCCTATTGAATAACTCACCGTCAGGAACTACCAGGTTACAGCATTTAGTGAGTATGGCGTCCAATAGGCCAGTGAGCTGCGTCAACTGTTGAACGCAGTGCTCTAAGCATCTCACTACATTCCTATAGAAAAAATATATTATATTAAATTTCTATGAATATTTTACAAAAATATATTGAACTATTTAAAGAAGAAGAATAAGAGACGAGAACTATTTTTATTTGATGTACTTGATTTGTATTTACGTAGTCTCGCTTGCAACAATATTTTTATATCACATTATATTCATCAATAATAATAACTTCAATTAGCATTGTAAATTATTAGGAATTCAACAAAAAGAATGCGCAAAAGTAGTCACGTTAAAAATTAGATACAAATACAGTTTGATAATTAAAGAACCTAAACCATAAAAATAAAACAAAATTCTCACCGATCTGGCAAAGATGCTGACGAAAATAATGGTGCTGTGAGATCTTTTGCGTTCTCCTTTAGTTCCACTGCTCGCTGCCAGCACCAGTCCACCTAAAATAAATAAATATAAATACCACCCATTCCCACACCAAATTAGCCAAGCCCCAAAGTAAGTACTGTAAGGCTTGTGTTATGGGATGCTAAGGAAAAGGATAGAATACATATACTGATACATATAAAAGTATAAATCATCTAGAAATATACATAAACATCCATGAGAAGGTACAAATGCTCGTATTCATCATACTAACATTCGCCCCCACCGGGATTTGAACCCGGGACCTCTGAGTAGGCGATGCCATGAAACCCGGCGTATATACAACTCGGCCACGGAGGTAGTTGTAAAAGATGGACGAAATCATAAATCATTATCCTTAATCTGGTCGAAACGTCTGGACAAAGAAGGTACAAAAACCTTTATCAAAGTTAAATTTATAATGTAACGCGAAAGTTTCAAAGTGCACAGGGCGTCCCACGTGTTTGTCACACGGAGGGAAAGTATATTAAATATTGAAGGATACTTTACTGAAAGAAGACATCATTTTATTGTTAATAATAACTAGAACTGCATTCATAGTTTTTAAAAAATCGCCTACCGAAACCGGGAATCAAACTCATGAAATGTGAAAGAAAAAAATCACATGTGTTTTATGATAACCGTCGAAATGGGTAAATTAAGAGGATAATTTTTTCCTACATAACATAGCATTTTAAATGAAGGTAAAATCACAAAACTACATTTTTTTTTAATTATTCAAAAAACTACAATAATAAAGAAACGGTGCTAGATTTGTGTAATTATCGCTTTATTTATTTTTTTAGTACTTATAGTAAGGAAATACTCTGAAATGATAACATTAGCTGTTAGAAGTACGAAAAAAAATTTTTTTTTCAACAAAATTGTAATTTCATGATCTGATCTTCCTTTCATTTGAAATAAAATAAATATCCTTATGATGAAAATAATCCTTATGATTAACCCTTTCGATTGTTATCATAAAATACGTCATGTGTTTTTTTTAATCTAAGCAATTTGCACAATATCCGGTATTATTATCATAGGTGACCATAAATTTACTGTATCGAGCTCCGTTATTCTCCTAAGGACACGTAAAGCTGTTGGTCCCAATCCTTATCCTTACTAATATTATAAAGGCGAAAGTTTGTTTGGATGGATGTATGGATGAATGTTTGTTCCTCTTTCACGCAAAAACTACTAAACGGATTTTAATGAAACTTTACAGTAATGTAGCTTATAGATCAGAATAACACATAGGCTATAATTTATAAAGATATTGTGTGAATTGTCCAAAATATAACGATAAATGTCATTTAAGTCTGAAAAAATTCTGCAATCTGCGAGCTATTCAGGCGTGTGCTGCAAAAACAGTTAGTGCTACATGTATATAATGTATGGTGAAAATATTTATCTTAAATAGTCCTACAAAAAATTCTCCTTCTTCAGTTTTTGGTGGACATGTATGTCAAAGTGGAGAGTGAGCGCTTAAGGTTTATTGCCTTGAACCAAACAAAACTGCGAGCAGAAAATTATATACATTTACAAGACGCGATAAGGAATGATGCGGATTTGAATCCAAATAACTTGGGTCAAATGGTAATTCTCCAAATTATATATATTTCTTAAATTATGTATGTTATAATTTTAATGTCATAATGTTAGTTCTTTTCACGCTAATATAAGCTACTCGAGATACTAATACTGCGCACACGAAGTCGCGGGCACCAGTTATTGATACATAAAGACCTTGCTTTTATTCGAATTACACGCAGACGAAGTCGCGGGCAAAAGCTAGTATATAATATAATATGTATGACTTACTCTCTTCCAATAAACAGTAAGTAATAAAAATAAAATCAACCTGGGAACGATTATTTGTTTACAACCTGACGCCTATAGACATGTAATAAAACTAATTTTAATGATTGTCGTTGTACTCATATTATGTCGATCTTTACCTCCAAATATCTCGGTAGCGTGACACTTTGGGGTACCATGCTGTTGAATATTTTTTGTTCGCCTGTGTCTTCTCACTTACATCGTGCGCCGCGATTTCGAAAAAAAAAACAATATGGCGGCCGGTCGATAGGCCAGATCGGTTCTATCCATAGCGGTATAAGAATAGAGTGGGGAAGGCGGCTGTAAAAGTGTCCGTCTAGTAGAAAGAGAAAGAAGATGAGAGACCGCTAGCGATCTCTCTCTCTCTCGTGACACATGGCATCCAATGGCATCACATCAAAATAGTAAGATGCTTACGGTTGCCAATGCGCATGCGCGATAAGAGAGAGAAAGCTAGCGGTCTCTCATCTTCTTTCTCTTTCTATTAGAGGGACACTTCCATTTGTAGTAGTCTTTATCTCCCCTACTCTATTCTTATACCTCTATGGTAGCGTGACACTTTGGGATGAACACATATTACTGAATATATTTTATACGTCTATGTGTCTTCTAACTTTCATCTTGCGCCGCAATTGCGAAATAAAAATCAAAATGGCGGCCGTTCGATAGGCCAGGGTGCTTACTCTTGAAACCAATCCCGATCGATCGACATTGGCATTGTGACGTTTCGTACTCTTGAGTTGCAACACTAGCGCCAAATTGGACTCATATTGCGCGGAGATTGGTTAAACTAAATGGCATTGAGTTTTACTTGAATCCGTACTCTTGACGCTATTTTGACAGCTGTAATTGCGATTGTATTGTGGTTTAATTGGATAGCGATTGAGATTTTTACAATAACAAAAAAGGTACTGTGTGTGTATTGAGTTCGATTATTTTAAGTTAAAACAAGCATTTTGTGTGAGATATGGCGCGATTAGCTCTTCCCTTCGTTATTTTACGTAATGCCCGAAGAAATGAACTCAAAATAAGAAGAAATGAGCGTCGTTTGGCGCGTTATATGGATAGGGCATTCTCCATGGGTGAAGAAGAATTTGTGGCAAATTACCGCGTCACAAAAGACTTATTTAATTTGATATAAGAAGAGCTGAGACCCTTCTTACCTGTTTCAAAGAAGAGAAGTGACATATCACCAAAATATAAAGTAAGTGCCTGATAGAAATTGTGTGATATAAACAATTAATGTTATTATTTGATTATGAACTAAGTTAACATAATAATATCAATGTTTTGTTGATATAACCTTATAATATGTCATTTAGATGATTGTTTAGAACAATGCATGTATGCATAAATTTTAAACTACATTCTCATTTTGCAGTTATTGGTAGCATTATCATTCTTTGCAACTGGTAGTTATCAATGGATAGTGAGTACACAATAATCTTACCCAATTTACTAAAAGACTTTTTTCTTTTCAGATTTTATGAAAAATTTGGAATCCTAAATTTGTCATAGGTGGCACACATGTTGCCATAGTAAGGCCCACTGAGAATGAAGAGAGGTTTCTCAATAGAAAACATTTTCACTCAAGGAATGTTATGATTGTAAGTCCTTAAACAAGGAGGGTTCATTAAATACTATATTATATATATTTTTTTTTGTTTATTTAAAAATGCCATTGCTTTTGTTATAGATCTGCGATGCTGATTTGTATATTGTCTGTTGATGCCTCTTTTGGTGGTGCGACACATGACAGTTTTGTTTGGCATCAGCACAGCATAAGGAGTCATTTGATTGCTTTAAATGATGTCTGAGAAAATGTTTTTTGTTAGGTAAGTCATACATAGTAATAGTATAAATTTCATATACCGAGGTAATAATATTTTTATAAAAATTATATTCTTAATGTACACAACTATAAATACAGACTAATCATGGAAACTAAAGTGTGAATTTATTATTTTTAGCTGATTCTGGATATACTCAGATGGTGTATATGATGACTCCTATTGTGGGTGCTGCTGAAGAGTCTCCAAAAGAGTACTATACTAAAGTGCATTGTTCTGCTCGCAATGTTGTGGAATGAACAATTGGGAGTACTAAAGAATAGATGGCGATGCTTATGAGGGCATAGGGTGCTTCATTATCATCCTAGTAAAGCATCCAAATTCATTAATGGATGTTGTGTGTTACACAATATCTGCAACCAGTCCCACAATTATTATCATATTGAGGATACTGAGATATTGGATGATGCTGAAATATTATACCACCATCTCAAGAAGCTCATGGGACTGGTTCATCAGTTGCTGAACTCAGGAGAGGTATTGAAAAAAGAAATTCTTTGGTTCAGCAACTACGGTCAGCTTGTAGGTGATTTTAATAAAGGTTGTAAAACTAATACTAATTATATATATTGTAAGTTACATTATTTGGTTGTTTTTATTTCAGTCTTGTTAATATAGTTAATATTTTAATCTATGGTAAACTATCCCGTTTTACAGTATTACAAGTAAAATAAACTTATACTCCAATTATTTACATTTTACATTCCAAATAATAATAATAATACCTAAAGCGAAAATACAATAACTAAACTTATTTTTTTCTTAATTTTGTAACCTATTACTTATTACCCCTAATGCATTTGCTACCCTTGTATGAGCCTCAGCTATGGGCAGCATTTGCGAGTCGGTCAAAACTTCTGCTGGTATTAGCAAAGGCCTCCGCAGTAAGCCTCTTAGCCTCTACGCGCCTTTCTTCTATGCATGCCATACGGTCCATCTCTGCATCAACACTTCTTGACAGCAATCGTTGTGACCGTCGACGAGAAGCATTTGTAGCGGAATCTTAAAACACAAATTTCATACTAAATAATTTGTAACTAATTCTTCAAAAAACAATTATAAAACACCACTTAAAGATAAAAAAAGATCTGCATTTAACTCAACACTATCCTAACAAGTGGGTCTCCATTGCTTTTTTTTGACATTCCAATCCAAAGACCTCTTAAGTTTTTATCAATGTGCTTGTACATTACTGAATTGAAGGAATGTCTGTTGTGGTTTTGAAAGAATTTAATGAGGAATTCAATATAGGTATATTTTAAATGACTTTATATGCATGGTTAATAATAAATAACTCACTTGATGGAGGTGGTATCGTGCCAGCGGCAGCAGAAGTATCTTGCCTTGAGGTCCCAGCAGTGGGGAGTGGAGGAGGCAGTAAAAGTTCTTCGTCTATTATGCCCTCCCTCCTCAATGATAATATGACATCATTTGCAGAAGTGGTAGGTCTCTCCACAGCTTCTGTTATTGACTGCTGAAAAGTATTAAAGTTAATGTCACAAAATATAGTTTTTTTTTTTTGAGAATAAGTATATTATTATTAAAATAACTATCTATGTATAGTGACATTTCCTAGAGCATTTAAAGACAGCTATTTCGGTAAACTTCCTTTTGTTATCTTGTTTGCCCTGTGAAGTCCTTAGAAAACCCCTAGCGATACAGGGATTTTGCTCAAGGAACTCCACAAGAGCTTCCAATTGTTGAGAAGTAGGCCAATTTAAAACAAATTGCATACATTCAACATAAAATAATCAGACAAAAATACGTACCTTAAATAATCACTGCTTGACAATGTAACCGCTACACAACAAGGCTGCAAGAAACACTGCACTTATCTGAAGTACTACAGCCATGAATTAAACACTTCATTCAAACATGAAACTTTTAAAACTTATCTCGGAAATACACATTTTTTATTTATTTAAGGCAAATGCGTGACGACATACAGTCTCAGTGTGTTTATAAGATGATAAACAACAAAATATAGTGTTTAAGGTACCGAAAAGTAATAGTTAAGGACACATAATTACATTGTTCATTAAATTATTCATTAAAATCAATCATTTATGGTGTTAGAAACAGTTTTTTCATTTTGTTAAATTTTTTGAAGCGAGTTTTCTAGCAGCTTGTGAACTCGCCCCGTGTCATCGAGTAGTAGCAGATTGTAAGAAGGCTGATGACATATCATCGAGGTTTTTAACTCCATCGCTAAAGCAAAAAAACTTAAGTTAATTGACGTCTCTGAGTGCCAATATGAGGTCATACCAACAAGGGCAGCGTGCACCCAGCACCAGAATATGTTCCCGTGGCCCAGTCGTGGGCGCAGCACTTCAGGAACCTGGAAAGCCGACCTTCCAGGGCCACGGATAGCAGGAACCGGCGTTGTTCATCCTAAACATAACAATAATAATAATAAAGCCTTTATTTATTTCATGCAGAGAAATGAAAATGAACAGAATAAATTTATCTTAACCTATACATTTTTTTATTGATTGTTTTGTTTTAATAAAATTCTAGATATCTGCAAGAACCCCTCCACGGGTGAAGGCCTCCTCCAAAGAAGTCCATTTTTTCCTGTCTTGTGCTATTTTTAACCATTTCGGCCCAGCGGTTTTGCTAATATCATCCTCCCATCTTGTAACAGGTCTTCCCCTACAGCGAGGCCCAAAAGGGAACCGCTGTAGGGGGAAACATAAAAATACTATCTTAAAAAAAAAATCTTACCGTGATATTGTGTATCTGTTGGCAAATTTCAGGAGAGAATTTTTGTTCGACTTTTTGAAATCGAAAGCAAACGCTCGGAATTTTTTTGTTTTACTCAGAACATTACTAACAGCCAGATTCAATAATAACAAATCTCGAGTAAGGTAAGCATATTTGGGTTTCGTTTTAAGAAACGTTTTTGCTAAGACAAAGGTATTTTTAACTAATATATTACAATATAAATAAATCAACTACTCGCTCTAATGTGCATATCTCTTACTGAAGTTGGATTATTGAGACTGGCTACTAAACAGTAAACAGCATTAACACAATACATGGAAACAACATTAGACAATATTTAGTACAGTAGTGGCCTTGATTATAAATTTATTTGAATCTAAATAAAATATTACTAGAAAAAAATCCACGCTAACCAGGCAGCAGACGGGACTCGAACCCGCACCCTTTGCTATCCGGGCGAATGCAGTAACCATTATGCTACCGCGGCCCTGATGGCCGTGTCAAATACTTTCTCGGGTTATCAAGTCCTGTCTGCTGCCTGGCCCGCGTGGAATTTTTCTAGTAATATTTGCTTTAGATTTAAACATCGAGTAGTTACATGTCTTAAAAATAATTTATAAATTTATTGTTATAACAAACCTGAGTCGGATCCCGGCCATGGTGATAAGTGTACAGTGGTGAGAGTCCAGCAGCCAGACAAGCACGGTATAACCGAGTGGGGTTCAGTAGGGCAGTGGGTCCGGTCGAGTCCATAGAGCTGATGATCTGACGCTGGATTCCGACGGTGCCTAGTACGCATGCCTCGGAAGTGGTCAGGCAGAGGCATTCTGTGTATACGATATATGGTTTACCATTACTGTAAGTTATTCATCGTCTGGATTTTGTACGGTCACCGAAAGATCAAGTATTCATTGAAATTGTGAATAATATAAACATATATATAAAAAGAGTTCAGTGAGTTGACGTGAAAGCAATTTGTCAGTTTTGTGTAACTTGGCCTATATGTATATAACTACTATAGGTTTAAGTATTATTCGAGATGTATAATTGTCTCGTTTTATCCATATATTTCACAGCACTGAATATAGCAAAAACTCAATGCTTTGGTAACTCAGCCCTATTGATTTTGAGAACACGTGTCGCTACTCGCTTCGCTTCGCTAGTTTAAAATGAATGAATTCGTCTGTTTGAAACTGTGTGAGAAGCCTGTAACCTTAATGTTAATATGTGCGTTACAGAAAATACGCTTTGCACTGAGCCGACTGTCTGCAATGGCACGGTATAAGTGAGTCGGCTTCATTAGGGCAGGGAGTCCAGGTGTCCATAGAGCTGATGATATAACACTGGATTCCGACGGTGCCTAGTACGCATGCCATGGAAGTGGTCAGGCAGAGGCATTTTGTGTATACGATATATGACATTTTAAATTTTGTTGGGTATTATCACAAAATATAAAGTAGCCGAAAGGACGGCTACCATCTTCCTCGAAAAAAATATCTAAATAATCTATTGTTTTTTTTTCTGATCTGTTTCTCAAGTATACACATACTTAGGATACAAGTCTCGATAACGAATTCGTTGAGAAAAATGATAATAATTATGTATTCATTTGTATCTGTTTTATGATATTAGCAAATAAATAAATAAACACGTGTTGCTAGTGTCAAATAAATTCTGCTTAAAACTGCTTGAGAGTGCCAGTTAACGTAACATTAATGTGTCTGCCTTTACTAAAATACCAGCTGAGCACTTTCTGCAATGGCACGGTACAAGCGAGTAGGGTTCCGTAGAGCATGGGGTTAATGGGAGTCCATAGAACTGTACCCCTAGCACGAACCAATATCGAATTCGTATCGTTTGCGAGTCCGAAATGTCATTGTCAAATGTGTACTGATTTTTAGTTCAAATTACGTACTTTGTGGCGCTGTTGTTCAAGTTTCCATACAAAATTTGACATTGACATTTCGGTTTGTAAACTATTCGAATTCGATAATGGTTCGTGCTAGGGGTACTGATGATCTGACGCTGGAAGCCGACGATGCCTAGCACACTTCAGAAGTAGTTCGGCAGATGCATTGTGTGACATTTAACATTATTGTATGTGTTGTTATTTCTTATAGTTTTGATTTTGAATAGCCAACAAGTTTTACCAACCATTACCTACTACAAAATTTTATAGGCTATACGATTTGTACGTAAACCGTCAACACACACCTTAGCAAAATATCTATCTATATTTCAAATAAAAAAAATCACCGGTAAAATGCTATCATATACCTGAGTAACATACCTATATGCTATATATTTTATCGCTAGTTAATAACATAATAATAATAAGTTACTCACGGTACTGCAGCGAGTTAGGGTAGAAGTGTTCCTCGAGCCTTGTGCAGTGTGAGTAGGGCGCCACAGACGCGGGGGAGAGGCGCGCGGCCAGTAAGCATGCGCCGGACAGTTCCGAACACCATGTGCATGACATGAACGGATTGCTTTGTAGCCGGTACGTTTCTATGGTGCAATAAACGTGTCTCTTATTGATCTGATCATATGGGATGATAGGAAGATGGCGCTAGACATAGGCTCTTACAGAATGACAACAAGTGTTGATGCTTACTTGAGTACAATTAGAAAGGGACGTTGCTATGTATAGCACATAGTGACATCCATTTCTAACTGTTTTACAGTATAGTACAGTTAGAAAGGGATGTCACTATGTGCTATACATAGCGACATCATCATTCATTATTACTGTACTCAAGTAAAGATCAACACTTAGTTGTCATTCTGTAATACGAGCATTAGATTGTGAGTAAGAGAGAAGGGTATATGTGAGCGAAAGCATCGGAGGATAAATGGGGCTTAGCTAAAATTGTGGTTATAAATGCGAGCGAGAACGGTATGTGCGAGCGAAGGGATGGGAGGACATAAAGATGGCTTCGGATTAAGATTTTGTTATAGTGCGATCGAGAAGGGTATGTGAGTGAAAGGATGGGAGGGTAAGCATACAGTGCTATATTAAGATTGTGGGTAGAACGCGAGTAAGAAGTGTATGGGTGAGCGAAAGGATGGGAGGACAGAAAGGTGGCGCTAGACTCAGATTGTGGGTACAGTGCGACCAAGATCTTTCTGAATGTGGCGAAAATTGGAACTAACGCCGCCGTCTATGTAAAAGTCATATTTTGTATCACCTTTTCGGCCATTTACGTAGACAGTGGCGCCCTCCCTGAACTGTCAGTCACATTCATAAAGGTCGCACTTTAGAAGTGTTTAGTAGTGAGAATAGAGCGTCACAGACGCGGGAGGAAGGCGCGCGGCCAGTAAGTACGCGCCGGACAGTTCCGAGCACCACGTGCACGACATGACCGGTAGCTTTGTGGCCGGTACGTTTCTATGGGGCAATAAACGTGCCTCTTATTGATCTGATTATATGGGATGATAGGAAGATGGCGCTACAGTAAGATTGTGGAAAGAATGCAAGCGAGATGGGAGCCTAAGAAAATGGGGCTAGCAATAGATTATAGATAGGGTGTGAGCGAGAAGGATATGTGAGCGAAAGGTCAGGGAAAAAGACAAAACGAGTGGTATCTTTCTGTCCAACGAACCGAGCGGTATCTTTAGTAGAAGGATGGTTGCATTGGCTGTATAGAAAGAGCGAGAAGGGTATGCGAGCGAAAGGATAAGAAGATGGCGCCGGACTAAGATTGTAGGTAAAAGTGTTCCGAAGTGTTATTTTTCTATTCTAACAAACCAATTGCTAATTTTAGAGTTTAAAAAACATATATGTAGGATAGTTAGTTACATTGGCTGTATATGGAGACCGAGTGCGACCGTGAAGGCTATGTTATGAGTGAGTGAAAGGGTGGGAGAATAGGAAGTTGACACTACTGTTAGTATAGTGGGTATGTTATTACTTATATAAAATACGAGGGTATGCCTCGAGTATGTGTGTGAATTGTCTGTACATCCATCGAAATATAGTCACGAAATCAAATAGTCGTATTATTTTCTACCGTAATCTCAAGATACATTAGTGGCGAATAAGTTTATTGATAAAGTGTGAGCGAGAAGGGTAAATGCAAGCGAAAGGATGGGATAATAGGAAGATGGCGCTAGACTAAGATTGTAGGTTAAGTGCGAGACAGAAAAGTATGTGTGAGCGAAAAGATTGTGGGTAGCGGTATGAGCGAGAAGGGTATGTAAGAGATAGTAAGTATTGAATTTATGTTTGAAAATTATGTTTCGCAAGGCACGAGACATCAGTGCAGAACAATCAGTAGGGACATATAAGTGAATTACGGATTACTTAAAAGAATTACAAATTTCGATTGCAAAGTAAGCAATGTAAATAACAACTTTAAATAATGTCAATTTTAAAAATACCTGGCATTTGGTCCTTATACCACTGGTCTAGATCAAACAGCAGCATTCCATATTGAGAAGAGTTGGTACTGTCTCCCCAGCACTCCCAAACCAGTTGGCAAATGTTCAACATACCTGCAGTTACAATAACACGAAAACTAATTACACTCACGTTGATTTTTTTATGTTTAAATCATCAACAACTGATGGTAAGCGGTCATCATAGCCTAAAGACGCTTTCGATACCAAAATATTTGGTGCCCTGGACCCATATTCACCGACGGAAACACAACACTACCAAAAGGTACTGTTATATTTTTTGGACTAATATTAAAATTAACAAAATTCAACTGTATTAAAAAGTACGTATTACGTATATTAATGCACACCATCATGAATTCAAAAATTTTTTGATATTCCTTGTTCCTTGATTCAAACAGTTTGTCTAATCTTAAAATTTTCACCCATTTATCATTATTCTATCTAATATTATTAGTGTAGGTGTTTCTGTACGTCTGTCCTTCTATCTGTATAGAAGGAGAGAAACATTATTTCTGATTTAGACGTGAGGAGGTAACAGACAGCTGTTACGTCTTCACATATAAATCACGAATAATCCAATAGGCACTTTATACACTATATGATATGCACATTATTAAATAAATAAAAACTTCTAACATAAGTTTTCATGCATTTTAAAATTAGACTATACTAGTATTATAGTAAAGTAATGAAAAAAGTTCTTACTATCTTCTCCTTCTGATCCCAAAGCGGAGTCAATAGAATAAGTTTGGCAAGAAACACATTTGCCCCCAATTAAATGACTAGCATCTTGCATTGCAGTCAATTCCACTTGGAATCTTATTGAGGCCATTGAAAATTCCTGTGTACAAAAGCCAGATTAACATTACTATGTAATTCTATTTAGTTTTTAGTAATCATTCATTGTTACAATAGATAAATTGAAAACAATTTGTCAAACTTGTCTATTACCAAATCAAAAAGGACTTACATGATGTAAGTCCTTTTTGATTGACAAATTGTTTTCAATTTATCTATTGTAACAATGAATGATTATTAAAAAACTAAATACAATTACATAGTAATGTTAATAAATTTATATATACATAATACATATATATATTTGTTAATAAATTTCTCTACTGCATTGGGTTATTTGCAAGTAGATATATCAGCCCTAAAAAAACAATATTTCATTGAAATAATAATCCAAAAATGTATCATGAAGTATTCTTTAACTTTACATCCTATGTGATATAGTTATATATCATTTGTCTAGTCTAGACTGTGATCCCCAAGATCAGGCATTATAAAACGAGTATGTAACAAAAAAGCAGTTTTGCCCAAAACAGCACCAGTGATGCAACCTTATGACATCATTACCTGATACAGACACTTTGTGTCGGATAGCATCCTCTTGCCATGATATGTTAGAGAATACATAACAGCTAATGGAAATTCTTCCTCTTCAAACCTATCTGTAACTGAATATACAACCCATAGATAGCAAAATGCTCTAGGGTCATCACAAGGCTCCTGTAAGCATACAAAATATTATATTTTTGTCTTTTCAAAAAAAAAACAACAGAAAAATATTTATCATAATGTGTAGAATTAGTGCTCTCATTGTAATTACTAGATATTGTAATTTAAAAAAAAACATGAAAATAACTAATTCCCGATAATGAGGGACATGTTAGAAGAACATTCATTATTCAAGAATTAGTTCTAAAGCTATACAACTTGTTTTTATCAATATAGGAATAGTAATTGAATAATTTACACTACCTGAAAACCAAAATGTGTAACCGGTATACATTCCACATTAACTTGAGAAGTGTACTCTAACTCCATTCTTAATAAATTCCAAATTTGAAAAGCACCAAAATTGTAACCAACAGCCAAGCTACCTAGCTGTGGTATATATTGAACAACTGTCACTCTAACTTGATCTATCTTTGCTTTCATACGAACTGTACCATCTGGGTTACAGAATATGTACTCTCCGCCAATCAAAGAGGTATCGTTGAGTAAAACGGCTAAATGATCATTGTTCTCGAGTGCAAGCTCTTTTTGCTCTTCAATGTGTTGAAGAACATTCATTGGTAAAAATGTAAGATTTGATGGATTACTTTCATTCTGAATTAAATGTTCGTAGCCTTGTGACATATCTTTTATTGCTGTAAAGTGAAACATAATCAATTATATTTCCATTTAGGCTTTTGGAACTGCACAAATATTACATTTAATGAAAGTATTGACCTGAAAATGTAGCCTGACTGAACACTCGGATCAAATAACTTTTTTATTTGATATCATAAACAGTGTAAAAATAATTTAATATGATTTAAGATTTTAAGGTTTATTGAAATGACATACCTTGTATGAGACCTGCTCTATTGAGATCAAAAACGATCACTTCTCCCCTTCTAGTGCCAGCCATAACAACACCATCAAAACAAGTGAACGGTCCATCTGCCATTCTATCACAAATGGAGAGTTCAGTAACAACTAAATCTGTTTGTATGCATCGCAACAGTTGAGAGCCATTCACATGGAACACACAAATCATACTGGTTTCATCCTCGGTTAAACTTATAATAAGCTGTTTAGAATTATCTGTTAAAGGTGTAGGTAGCTCCACAACATTAGTGACTGTTATACGAGAATTACTGAAACATAAAAAAATATTAGATTTAGAAAGGTAGAGATGGACAGATAGCTTAATTTCACATTTTGTACAATGGTGTTTCACATAATGTGTTACTTCTAAACAGCTGTGCATTTCAGACATACAATACTGCCCTAGCAAAATTGTAACTATATGTTGGGTAATCTCGATTGTTAATGCACTTAAATAAATAGCATTTTTATCATAAAATATCACCTGTATGGAGTTCCAAATGTTTTCGCAGCAACTTTAAGACCAGATTTTAGGTCTACAACACAGAATTTGGGACCCAAAGCTAGCCATCCATGTCGAGTATCACTCAGTATCCCACCAAGTGGTGTTTTATCTATGAAAAAGTATGCAGAATTATTCATTTATTTGGGTTAATGGCTTTTATAATTAGTAAATAAACAGTATCATGAGGCTTCAGCGTACAAATTTTTCGAGCTAGATCTGTATACTATTATTAACAGACACTGCAGTGTGCACTCTTAGTATATTTGAAACCAAGTTTAATATTAAATATATTTTCCATTTTAAATTGTTTCGGCTAATGAAATATTAATTATTTCTACTTCATGGTTAATAATCATAATGGTGTATAAATATTTCAAATCAATAGAATTTATGAGAAGACAGTTTCTGTTTATTTTCAACAAACCTGATAAGTCCTCTGAAGGCTGCAAGAAACTAAACACTGCTGGTGATAAACTTGTCGTTTTAACGATGGAAAAAACACTTTCTTGTAACTTCTGCATTTTTATTGAATTATAGAAATAATAATCGTGAAAAATAAGAGGTTAGAATACAGCATAACATTATATATCTATACAAGTATTGATTATTTTATAATTCTGATTTTTAATTAATCTACAATATATGAATTTCCAACCAATCTTCGTTATTTTACATTGATTTTTATTCCATTTTTGTTGCAATGGAAGTCCTACGCGCGTTGAAATGATACGGTTGCGGTACAAGTTTAATATTTTGACGTTTGGAACTAGGGATGCCCGATCTGAATCAATTACTTCCTAGAATCGGTTCACGGTACCACGGTTAATCGTTTTTGTTTTTATTCAATAAGTTTTTTCCTGGATCGTATGTTCTGAGTTATAACGTTTAATGTAATGTATGTCTTAAAGGTGCATGTGTACATTATGATCAACCTTATACAAAGTCTAAAGTATGATTATGAATTTTGTGTAATGTTACTCAGCACTTCAACAGTATAAGTAAATATTTTGTTAAGAAGGTATGCACAATTATTTTTATAATTAATAAACATGGCGTCATTATTACCTCTTCTATACATTAATGTATGTACATACGAGGCAAACGTGGGTACAAAGAAAGTGTGGAGGCGCCTAACCCTCATAACTTTGGGTTGCGGTAAAATAATAATTTTGCGTGCTCAATCTTTATACTTAGTGGCTAACCCTAGGCGAGGGTTTAAAGTGGGCTGTATCTAGCGGGCGGTAATACGCAATGAAATATAGAAACAAATACAAAAGAATCTGCGCCTTGCAATTGCTTTTATAATAAAAATAAATCTCCAAAATGTATGTATTTACGCACATAACTTCCGAAAGACTGCACCGAATTGTATTTTGTTGTGTTCGTTATTGTCACGATAATTTGCTATGATCACATTTTACACACCGATTGCATGCTTTAAGAGATTTAGGTGATCCGTATCGATTCATAAAATCATTCAATCATGAATCGGGCGGAGCGGGCCGGTCAATTTCGCCACGAACGATAGCACAAAGTGAATCCTATACTACAAACGCACACAGAGTGCAAAAAGACCTCGCCGCAGGTGCCCGGCAGGCACTGGCGGCGCAACGAACGTCCTGAACTGACTGCCTCTGCCCGTCGGCGTCGTGTGCTTTGTGTACGCGGTGAGGGCAGCCGCACAGATCGACGGGCAGGCGCGGTTTTTATTGCTTCGCGGACAAAAAGCCCGCCCCGCCCCGTCGTCTGCAAAGCGCCTAAGAGAATAAATTACAAGAAACACTATGCCCAATTGCCCATGCATTACGATCATTTAGTTAATCATAAACTTTAATAATAGCCCATTATTCATAAGAGTATTCTTCATCTGAGATTTTAATTTGGTCAGTAGATCTTGGGGAACTTTATCAAACAATGCAATACTACAACCCAGAAATGAACCTCTTGATTTTTGGAGTCTGAAACATGGAACGGCAAGCTTGTTCTTAAATCTCGTGGTAAAGTTATGGGTTTGACTTTTTTTTTGCAAATGTATTATAGTTTTTTCTTACATATATAAAATTTTCATAAATGTATTGAGACGCCACTGTTAAAATATTAATTTCTTGATCATCGATGAGGAAGATGAGATGCATCAATCCGTTCGTCCATATACTTAGGGTTGCAACGATATATCGGAATATCGATAATATCGAGACCAAAATATCGATATTTATATAAAAATATCGATATTTATATCGATATTTAAAATTCACTGATATCGATATTATCGATATCGGAAATTCCAAAATATCGATATTTCGTAGACTAAATTTAAACACAATAATATCAATTAATTTACCTGCTATGACTATCTAAATTAAATAATATCGAAATAACTATTGCTTTGAAATCGCAAGAACTTATAGATGTATTAAAAAAATCTTGAACCCCAAGAAATATACTAAACTGGTGTGGATTCTGGCATGATTCTCTCAACCTAAAATTAAATTTGACAACAGTGTATCCTTGTCATTCTCTATATAGAATGACAAGGAGAGACTGATGTTAAATTTAGTTTTAAGTTTAGATAATCATGCCAGAATCGACACCAACGTATATAGGTATAATCGTATACCTAATGGTAACTCATGCACTTAAATAAAATCCTTGCCTCTCTTTCTAGATAATTATCAACTACTGATTAATTGAAATTAAATATCATTGTAATATAACACAAAATAAAATTAAGAATCTTATACAAATCGTAAATTTTTAAGCTCGCCAAGTCAAGAAAGTAAGATAGGTATAGTAATTTTTGAAGCTTTGGGCTTACCCTATTCTGAAGCCATGGGCACGCCCCTGATGTGTGGGAGACTAAGCAATTTGCGTATTTGATGTGCGCTAAAAAACCGACATAGCTTGGAAAAGCATGAGTGTAGTGAAAACTTAGTGAAGGCATTCGCAAATGTCGTCCCACATATGCGGGTTGGCGCATTCGTGCTAACAAATGTGAGTGATCTGATCAGGATAATGATTTTAATTTTTTGGTTTCCTGTCGTGACTGAAACATAAACAGTGCGAGCCAAAAAAAATCCTGCTTGTCGCGATTTCATCAAGCGTGTTTAAAGAAAAAGCTGGCTCAATGCATTTTGCGAGAAACTCGCCAACAAACATATGAATGTGTCACACTCAGCCCGTATTCTAATGTCAAAAAAAAAAAAGAAAAAAATATCGATATATCGATAATATCGAGTTAAAATGGTCGATATATCGGATATCGATATTTTCCTGACTTCGATATAAATATCGATATTTCAAAAGACTTTGCATCCCTACATATACTCCGTACATTATCAAATTTGATCGAGAACCGATTGAGATTGATTGTGTACGGGCTGCCCTGCCCTGTCTTGTTTCAATCAACAAGACAGGACCAATCACTGTTTAAGTGTCGCCGCTCACGGGCCACACGCCACAGCCACAAACGCCGGCCGCCACGAGAAGCTAGAAGCGGCTACTAGAATGGCTGAAGCGCGCGACAGCGGCCGACTAAGGTAAGGGAGAGAGAGGTGGGAAATCGCGCGAATGACGTGTGGCGGCGTTTTGTATCGGCGCATTAAGTGGCCCAGGCCGATGCGGGTCATAAGAAGCGAGCAACGGATTTGTAGTGTGTGGCGGCCACCGGCGTACCGTGTGTGGCTAGTCCATATAAAATGTATGAAAACTACAAGGAATATGCCGGTGGCGGCGTTTTGTGGTTGTGGTCGGTGGTCCGTGTGCGGCGACACTGAAACAAAAGATCATTGACAGATGAGAGAATCGATAATGAAATGTAGTAAATTATAGTAAGTATTCAGCAGTCTCACAGTTCAGTAGTTGCGTAGGTAAGTATCTGTTGTCTGCATAATTTATACCTTTTTAAGTAACCACATCTTTGGTAATTGGTACTCACCTGCGTCTTCGTAATTTTTTCGTTCTCCTGTTTCGCGCAACGGATACAACTACTTGTACTGTGCATAGTTTATCACCAACTCACTGCAGGCGCACAGGCCTTCCCTACGGATGGAATAGGGAGACTGGATCGTGACTCGTTCGCTTGACCATCACCAGGGCCTGATTTAGAGTTCTGACCGCCCGAAATTTGATCCTAAGTCCACTATTTTAAAAATCCGTACCACTGTGCACCCTAGGCTAACTATGAATATGCGCCCCCATGCCTGCCCTGTTCTACCTTTTTATTCACTTACAGGTGCAACTAATGAAATTACAATTATAGAAGAGAGCTTAAGTAAAATAAAATAATTTTGCGGACATTTCGGAACAGGACCAAACCCATACCAAAAGGAAGAATATGTTTCCAATTTGATATTATTGCGAAAAAAAAAATCCAATCGAAAAATCTCCCTTCATATAAGTTTGATGTGTTTTTTGTTCTTTGGAATCTCTTGTTGCTGATGGTATACAAAGCACATACATTAAACATTAAAAGGAAAACTTTTTCAGAAAATGCAAATGCGTTGTCATGATTCTGATGGGGGGTAAATAAGATAAATAAGTGAGAACTCAAGCAAAAATTTATTTCAATACACGCATTGCATGCGCCGTAATAGTAATTTTGAGAAACTGAGACTTATCTGCTGAATATATATTTAATTTATTAAATCTTAGTTTTGATAAAAGATGAAAGTGACTGACTGACATATCAACGCACAGGCCAAACCGTCTTGGTCTAGAGACTCCAATTTCGGCACGTGGCGTGGGTTCCTTATGGGGTGCAATAAGAAAGGATTTTTCAAAATTCACCCCCGAAGGAGTTAAAATAGAGGATGAAGAAAGTATGAAAAATCTTATTCCTTTAGAAATAGACTTCTTGTGCGAATACTAATCTAAATAAATTAGAAACTTGTAATTTTTCAATATTCCTCAACCACCCCCTAAAAAAAGATTGGGAGGGTGCCAATTTTTTATGTGCATGAATTTTGACGTGCATTTCGATTTTGCAAACTTGTATTTATACTAAAGACCATAAATAAATAAAAACCCGGATCAGGGTTATTCGAAAATCCACCCATAAGAGGGTAAAAAAGGGGATGAAAGTTTTTTTTTTAATTTGTTTTAGGGACTTTTGGACCAAAATATCCATACCAACCCCATTGTAACCTGACCATACAATTTTCTTAAAATTATAACTTAACTATTACATAAAATTTTTGCTGCCACTAGTCCAGTCAACAAGTTCAAAAACGTGAAAAATTGAAATAGAGATAAAGCTCCTAAAAATATGAGCAATAGCTCATTGGATTCGGAACGACCTCTAGAAAAATGAGTTTTGAGGATTTTACTGCACGTAAAAAATTGCAATTGTTATTAACAAAATAAGATGAAAAAAAGAGGTATTTACGTTTTTGTTAATAACTCATAAACTATTAATATTTACGATATTTGGAAAAAAGGTCCTTAAAGAGGAGGAAATTTCCGAAAAAAAAGTTCCAGCTCCCGGAACTCTACCTATATTATTTATAATTTTAATTTAACGCTGAAAATAGGGCTCCGCGCAGACATTACGGTATGGGCGCACTGCCGTTAAAGACAGTTTCTTACATAAAATTATTTTTTTATAGTAACAAATATGAATTTAAAAATTTAAATAAATTATGGTGTCATGCAGATACTTGAAAGAATATATTCCCGTTGGAAATTTTTTTTTAAATTAATTTTTCAAAAAGTTATGCAATTGTTAATTAACGAATTTTTTTCCTATCTCCGTTTTCATAAATGACGACATAAAAATTTAAATAATAAACCTATAAATTTTTGGCTCTGTGGAGCTCTTCTTATATATATACTTAACAAAATCCCGCGATAAAAGTTTATTAAAGTTAATTATTTTGTTTATAACAATTTTTTAAAGTTAACAAAAAATGAAAAGTCTAAGAAATGTTATTAAAAAAATTTTTTTAAACAAATGTTATATTATTGCTGCTTTCTTATCCAACAATGGCATTAAGTAACATCGGAAAAAAAATTTTTACATCATTTGTTAAGAAATTGTTTATAAACAAATAGACAAGTTTAATATTTAAAGAAATTTTTTTTTACCATTATGTTGTCTTGGCAAAATAATGATTTTTTAAAAAAAAATTTTTCTTAAACAATTTTTTTTATTGTTTATAATCGTTTTTTTTATATTTCGATTGTTTAAATAATTAGTTAAGGAATGATTTTCTCTTTAAAAATCATAATCGGCATTTCTTCATAGGTAAATAGAAAAAAAAAAATTTTTATCAATAATTTCATTGTTTGTTAACTTAACAATTTGTTATAAACAAATTCTATTATAATAATATTAACTCGATGTTAAATTGAACACGAGTTAAATAAATATTAATTAAATCACGTATATTGTTTAAACAATTAGAGATGGAGGTACGATTAATTGATAATTTGGGAGATAATGTATCACTAAACAAAATTGTTTTAAGGTTTATAGCTGTATTTTAATTATTTATTAAGTTGTAAGTCATAAGAGATACGAAAAAGTTAAAGAATTCTCAAAATTTTATAAACAAATGCATGTATTAGCTGATAAACAATAGTTACAAACTTGGTTTTTAGCTTATTTTGAAGATTAATTAATGCTTTATAAAAACGACCTGAATGTCCATTGTCGTATCTCGAATAGTTTATAAGTTATATTAATTTTTTACTTGACAAATCAAGTGTCCGGTGCAACTTTGGTATCGTGTAATATTTAAAAGCCTTATAAAAAATTGAAAAAATTTTTTTTAGTATTTTGATATATATGGCTGTTTTTGCTATTTTTTTTAGCTCTAGAAAAAAAATATAACGGTAGTTAGAATTTATTTATAACAAATTGTTAAGTTAACAAACAATGAAATTATTGATAATTTTTTTTTTTCTATTTACCTATAAAGAAATGCCAATTATGATTTTTAAAGAGAAAATCATTCCTTAACTAATTATTTAAACAATCGAAATATAAAAAAAACGATTATAAACAATAAAAAAAAAAATTTAAGAAAAATTTTTTTTTAGAAATCATTATTTTGCCAAGACAACATAATGGTAAAAAAAAATTCTTTAAATATTAAACTTGTCTATTTGTTTATAAACAATTTCTTAACAAATGATGTAAAAATTTTTTTCCGATGTTACTTAATGCCATTGTTGGATAAGAAAGCAGCAATAATATAATATTTGTTTAAAAAAAAATTTTTAATAACATTTCTTAGACTTTTCATTTTTTGTTAACTTTAAAAAATTGTTATAAACAAAATAATTAACTTTAATAAACTTTTATCGCGGGATCTTGTTAAGTATATATATAAGAAGAGCTCCACAGAGCCAAAAATTTATAGGTTTATTATTTAAATTTTTATGTCGTCATTTATGAAAACGGAGATAGGAAAAAAATTCGTTAATTAACAATTGCATAACTTTTTGAAAAATTAATTTAAAAAAAATTTTCCAACGGGAATATATTCTTTCAAGTATCTGCATGACACCATAATTTATTTAAATTTTTAAATTCATATTTGTTACTATAAAAAAATAATTTTATGTAAGAAACTGTCTTTAACGGCAGTGCGCCCATGCCGTAATGTCTGCGCGGAGCCCTATTTTCAGCGTTAAATTAAAATTATAAATAATAGAGGTAGAGTTCCGGGAGCTGGGACTTTTTTTTCGGAAATTTCCTCCTCTTTAAGGACCTTTTTTCCAAATATCGTAAATATTAATAATTTATGAGTTATTAACAAAAACGTAAATACCTCTTTTTTTTCATCTTATTTTGTTAATAACAATTGCAATTTTTACGTGCAGTAAAATCCTCAAAACTCATTTTTCTAGAGGTCGTTCCGCATCCAATGAGCTATTGCTCATATTTTTAGGAGCTTTATCTCTATTTTTCACGTTTTTGAACTTGTTGACTGGACATTGCAAAGCACACCAGCCTCCTCCGATAGGGGGTTAGGGATGAAAGTTTGTATGAAAAATCTTATTCTTTGAGTTATTAGACTTAAAACTTGGTGCGAATACTTATCTTAATAAATTATGAAGTTTTTTTATTTTTAGTTTGCCTAATCTAGCCCTAAAGGGGGATTAGAGGGTGCCCAAGTTTTTATTTAAATGAATTTTAACGCGCATTTCGGTTAACTTAAAACGCAGTATTTATTACTTGAGACATGAAATGAAAAACAACATGTATGAGGGTTCTTTGAAACTCCCCCTAACGGATGTGGGAGTATTTTACGGCCGAGCTTGATTAAATCGGAAAAGGGCTGAACTTTGGATAAAATTTGGCACATATAAATATAGTTTATTACCTAAATTGAGACAAAGGATAATTTTTTTCCGGAAAAATCTTAGTTTCCTGAGGGATTCTCAAAAAAATAAAGAGAACATGGACAAAGTCGCAGGTGACCGCTGCTATAATAACATTTTTATTATATAAGTCTCAGCTCAGCTCAGCGACGCGCTCGTCGGCGCCGCCCCCTTGGTCGTGGTGCCCTAGGCTCAAGCCATATTAGCATGTGGGTAAATCAGGCACTGCTCACTACGCGAACCCAGTGCTAACTGCAGATGCAGCCGGGACCAACGGCTTAATGTGCCTTCCGAACCACGCAGGAGCACAAGATAGTAAATCTTTGGTCACTCGTCCAGTGACCGACCATTTGGAAAGTTGCTTAACTTTAATGATCGTGGGCCGAATACGCTAACGAAGTACAAAGTAAGAAATCTTATAAAAATATATTTGTATAATGTATGAAAAATATAAGTATTCATTTTTATATATCGACGGACCCAATGTGATCATATAAACTCAAAACTATTAAGTCTACGTTTTTATTTTATTTTAGATGAATCATGTTGAGGCCGATGATATGTAGAGGATACTTTTGTGAGTTGTGAGTATAATGGATAAAAAAGAAAATGAAGGAATAATTTTAAAGGTTCATATATTTTGCGAAACGTCGAAATATAAAATATAGTAATAAATTTATTTTTGATTATTATCTACTAAATATAAATAAATAATATAATAAACATGTAATTAATGTCTTAATCTATACATTAAAAATGAAATCCAAAAAATTGTTCTTGATCTACCTAAGTACCTATCTACCTTTAGCAGCGCTGTAATGGCTGTAACTGTGAGTACCTACGCTGAAAGGCAAATTATATAACCATAATTACTTACATCAGATATTTATTTGGTAATGGATGTTCAAAAATAATTTTATACCTATCTAAATTTTAGAAAAAATACGTCAGCTAAGACTGCGCCAGTGGCTAACAGTTGCATGCAGGGGACCTAAAAAGGTCAAATTGTGCAATATTTTTAAAAGTAATTCATTTACAGAATTCCTTGCAGATCTTAAGCAATTCCTATAATTTTCGTAAAATTGCCACTTAATTTAGCAATATTGCATCAATTCAGATGTACACCTGCTTTCAACAATATTGCGTGAACGTTGTTTCAGAAACCACGTAAATTAAGAATATCCTATGAGTGAGCCCAGGCCGGCTCTAGCCCTTGATCAGTATTGATCGAGATCGTCTTTCAGCGCCTTTTGGATGACGCTTTCCCTTCATATCTGTACCTACATGCATTCATATAATTACATATTGTACTTCGGTTTATGTTAAATATATATATAATAATTCACATTCCATCAACATTTTTCGTTGGAAATTGTATTACGCATTTTGTTTTTTGGCACCGCCGCGCCGCGCCGGCTTACACAAGCTCCTCTAGTTTTACTCTAGAGCTGGCACTTAAAAAGAATAGTGCAACTTGACTATTATTATCATATGTATCCAGTTATATAAGCTAGTCCAAACTTAGAATTTTGTACTAGTTAGTAATAGTAATAATCAGATAAGTTGACTTTATAATTTTCAATTTGTTACATAACGCTATTATTATAAATCTAGGTAATTGTAATAAGAGAAGGCCGATTTTACAAGAATATGCATGGGATTTTTCAATACAACAGCGATTTATTGCAATGTTTCTTTAAAATCGCATAATTTTGTACTGATAACATTTTTTAAATTTTCAAATAGGACATAGTACCTATTACAGAAACGGCTATAGATATCAAACAATTCACAACTTCTATTTGAGCAATAATTAATTACATTCTCTTATTCTGAGATACAGGAGTTACCGACACATTCACAGTGTTTCTGTTGATTTCATTTCCATGTGGAGCTATTTTTATTTGACCTTGAACAATATTCATCATTGACGTGTAGGGACTTTCAAGCACTTGATTGTTTTGGTATTCATTAGAGCTAGATGCTTCTCTACGAGTGTTTACTCTATCATAAACAGTGCTTTTCATGGATGTGTAAGCCGATGACCGTTCCCTTTGCTTGGGGCCGGGGCTGAATCCATTCTGAGTCATAGCCGGATGTATTGGTCTCATCGAAACTCCGTTATCACTTTGCACAGAAGCCTCGAGATTTAAATTTGAAGAGCTATCTAATGAACTGTTCTGGGTCACTTGTAAACTGTTTGATCGAGATGAGGCTGCCAAAGAATGAAGTGTGGATGTACTTCCTTTCATGCTGTTCTCCAGTTCTTTAGAAAATACTTCTTCACTTCTCTGTATTCTTTGTGCATGGGAGATCAGAGGCGATCTATTTTGCTGCATCGACGACCCGCTCAAAGATCTGCTGGGACTATTCCGAACGGGATCCAAAGTTAGCAATTGTTTATTGTCAGTTTTGTATGTTGTTCTCGAAGACGTGTTGACTTTTACTTCCATTGATCCGTATGCGCTATCTTTTGTGGAGCTGTGGGATGAAGCTTCCTCTTTTACCCCATACTTTCTGACGATATTACCGGGTGCTACAGGCTCTATATTTTGTACGTCATAGGAAAGTGGGTTTTTATCTGCAGGTGGATGTTTAACTCCATCTATAACTTCCCCAGTTCTTGGGTTGATATGTTTCTCTGTGTCATACCGTAGTGTCACTCTATGTGTTTCATCTATTGGATGAGGTCTTGATCTGTCTTCTAGTTCTGCATCACTGTCGTCATATACGCTAGGCTCGTAGATGCTCTCCTCCTGGAAAAGTATGCGTTTGAAATTTATATAGACTGTGAAATAATTTGGTTTTTCTTACGGAATCTAAAGTTTGTTACATAATAATGCACTTAATGATTTTCGGATATAGCTTTGAAATACTAATTACTATTTATATTTAACAGTGACGTGATGTTGATATTCGGTGCTATTTATATGCTACACCTTAAATAATAATTACGGAAAGAAATATTAGGTATAATCTTAAGCGTGTCTTAAATAATTTAAAAGTAAGTTACCTCTTCATTGACTTCTTCGATAACGCTATTCTGTATCCATTCACGAATTCTTTGCTTTTTGACTTGACGATCTACTGTTGTTTCTATACCATTTTCTCGGAAATGTTTCAGTAAAATATTCTTCTCATTGGGGTCGCTATGGAAACTGTACATGGATGGACAAAGCTCGTCTATGTCGCCTCCCGCTATAACATACAATAATAAAAGTAAACATAAAATAAATAGTTTTATTGCGTAGCGAATTTTAATTCTTATCATATTTTAGCTTTAAATAAGTTTGCTATCGTATTACGTAAAGTCATTACAGAACTCCACGGGGTCGTGAAATTGGGGTTGGGTGAAACATTGAGTAGCATCTACTATTCGCTTGTTTTATCTTTAATTCTTATTTTTACATACAAACGTGTTGGCATTAATCGCTGATAGTTTGTATTGTCATGTCATTTATAAACAAATAAATAAACAAGTAATGCCGTCATATCTATTTGCGTATTTGGAATCAAATCACAAATTACGGAATTGAGCCGTCAGGTAGGGTTTTTAAAAACTAAACTTTTAATTATTACTTTATTTATTTAAATGTTATACAAATTTACTTATACTAATTGATCCCGATGATCCGGTCTTACAAACTATACGTCAAGATGCTTCCACGATTGAAGCTCAAGCAACTCCCAAAACTGTCCGAAGGTTTTACATTAACTAAATCTGTCTAATAAGCACTTTTCAACACGATTGCTCAATCGAGCCACCTGCACTTGGGAAACACATAATGTACGCGTGACGTATGAGTGACGTAGACGAGTCTTGTACTCGTAACACCTTCCCTCCTCGATGAGCAACTACTTGCGAAGATTGAGAGCAAATGTTGCGGCTTTTCTTTCTTCGATGGATGGTGTAGAACCCGCTGATGCCATTTCCATCTCTTGAGGCTGTGTAGATTTAACTCGCTGTTGGATCTTACGCCGTCTCAGGTAGTAAGCCACACTAATGAGTGCAAGTGCACTTAACAGTATGATGACGTATGTAGGTATCGTGGTGTGATATAAGCTGGATAAATCCACGGTGTTAATTCTAACAGGTGGGTCCATGAGTAATTGATGTTGAATATTGTGTAATTTGTTCAAATCAATTGTTGTGAAATTATAATGTGGTAAGTTTTTCTTCGAATTTGCTGACATCGGAGTCGAGTGTGGGAATGTCATTATTTCAACAGGTTGCCCACGAAATTTGTCATCAGTATTAACAATTGTGAATTCTGGTGTGTGAATGCTGCAATTTCGGGGAATCGTTGCGAAGTAGCTTCCTTTTAACAGATGATATTTTTCTTGTCCGCATGATATTTTTACTTTGATTTTGTTAGGTAATGATAAAATATAATGTTGACTGTCCAATTCTAGTAGTGCTTCCTTCAGGAGTGATATGGATGTAGGATGGCACTCTCCTGTATTCTGATGATAAATGAGATTGAAGACGCAGTCACTGCGTGTTCGGGTTTGATGGTTAAGCTGCTGCTTGCATATGTACCAGGTGTCGATCTTCGGGCATTCAGCCTCCATGTACGCAAATTCCTGGGAATTGGATGCCATGTATGGGAATGGTGGAAGGATAATTTCTGAGTTTTTATTAGGAACAGGACAGAGTCTATAAAGGTCATATGTTTCTAGAGACATTATAGGAAACTTCAAGACAATTACAATTTTCTTATCAATAAAATATGATCCTAAGGTAATTAGATCGTAATAAAACCTAACATCTAAGTTTAGTAACGCATTGGGATTATATAGATATTTAAGCTGTGTTAACATATTTTTTAAATCACTTATATATAGTATAGAATGGTACATTACGTTTGTGCGACTAAAAGCTAAAATATTACCTAATCTACTTATTTCAGATGAGAGTTCCAGAATATTTTCCGTAAGTATGCTAAATAATTGGGAAATCTGTGTAAATTGATACATCTGTTCTTTTTCAGTTACAGATGTATTACTTATTGAAATTATTGCTTTTTCTAATTTTCTTTGATTTGAAGAGATATTATTTAAAATTTGAGTTTGTTGGATGGTCATTTCTTTATATAAACTAATATGCTTATTAAAACTATCCGAAAGGTCTTTGTCATTGTTTTGCAATATTTTAAGAGCATTCTCGAATCTCAGAGCATCCTCGTTATCGAGGTTACCCGATATACTTTTAATGAAAGTTCCTAGCGGGTTAAAAAGTCCTCTTTTAAGCCTTTTTGGTTCAAAGGTTTCTAATTCTAGTGAAGTTTTATTAAGTTTGCCGAATAAATGCAATATTTGATATTTAAATAGAGCAAAATGTCTATTGGATACCCTATTGGATAGATCAGTTAGTTGAGTCTGTAGTGAGTCAATCTGTTGTTGGATTTCGTCAAGGTCAATTTCTTGGAGGAAGGTATGGTCATGTGATACAATTTTCGTTGAACCAAGTTTAAAGGGGAGAAGTCCAGGTCCGTCGGAGAGGTCATCAAGTCGGATCATGTTTTGTGTTAGTGGACCTGCTTGTGCTCGGTCCAGGTCCATGAGTAAGGGGATCCTGTAACAACGTAACCTCATTATTTTTCTTTTCTCGTTTAAGTCTAGTCTTGGCAACTGGGCCTCGTTTTCTGGATGTGTAAATATGTATTGGCAGATTAGTAACAATCTTATCATGCGTATAGCGGGCTGCAGTTTTCTGCCTACTAGCAGCTGGGTTTTTAATGTAAACTGTTTGATCTTGATTATACTGAATTTCTGGTTCGCGATCTAAGTTACGGCGCTCCATAATAGCAGTACGCTCGGCGTATGACGTGTCATGTATAATGTTATATACCGTGTCCATTTTACTACGATGTTCTTGTAAGTACTATTGTAAAAGTCGTTCCGATAAATTTAAGTCTGTCGGGTTTCTGGGGTCAAAGAGTCCAGTTATGAGGTCAAATGGTCTGCACTTTGTTAGGCTGTGGATGGAGCTGTTATACGCGATGATTGCGTATGGTATTAAATTTTGTGTAGGCTCATTTTTGTGTTGTAATTTTAATAAACGAATATGTTTCAAGAGGGTGCTATGGAAACGTTCTATCATTCCATTTTCATTAGGAGCGTGAGCTGCTATTTTATGATGCTGCACCTGATGTAACTTTAAAAATTCGCTCACTACCTGATTCACAAATTCTGTACCCTGGTCTGTGACTAGGCGCATAGGAAATCCGTGATGAGTCGAAAACGTTAAGAGTGCTTTAATTATATTTGGGGCTGTGCAATCTGGTAATCGGTACACTTGAGCATATTTAGAGAAAGAGTCTATAATTGTAAGATATTTATCCTGTTCTATGGTGAGTACATCCACATGTGCTACCTGGTATGGTTTATACGTTGGAGGTACAATTTGAAACTGAGGTTGCAAAGGGTCGCGATCATATTTAGCGCGATTGCATATGTCACATTGATTTATATATTTTGTTATACTGTCTTTTAATTTTGGCCAAAAATAACGTTGAGATAATGCTAAATGTGTCTCATTTATACCTCTATGGTTGGTTTTTCCTTCATGGTACTTTAATATTAAATCTTGTTGGTTAAGAAAATCACAAATATCTTGAATTTCATTTTTGACAAGGACCAGGTTGGCTGCGGCATTTTTAAAGGTTTTTTGTAGAATGGGTACAATATCGTACATTTTATTGAGAGGCTGTACGAAGATTGCTGTGCGCAATTTGGGATCAATGTGATTTTTTTACGACAGATATAATATCTTCTTCTAGGTTGTTTTCCGAAATTTGAACTATTGATTTTCTGTATGTCTCAAATGGTACTGTCGTTTTTGGTCTAGCATTACAAGGGTTAGTGTTAACTTTTATGATTAACTGTCTTTTGAATTTATTTAGGGGTTCTTCTGATACTGGTAGTTCGAGTATGGGATGTTCAACACTAGTGTGATTTGTGTCTTCTTCAAAGCCTGGTAGGAAAGGTAAATTATCGTAATTATCGGGTGGTGGACTAGAAAGTGGTCTCATGCTCGGTGCTGTGTCAGTTGAAGATTGGCTGATGATGGGCCTATCATCGGGAGCAGTGATTGTTGAGGATGACGAATCACTAATTTGAATGATTGATGGTGATGATGAGGAGTCGCTGATGTTAACCACCACTGAATCTAACTCTTCGTTATGAATTTCAACGCGGGACAGTGCATCTGCGTTAGTATTTGCTTTGCCTTTTTTGTAAATTATGGTAAAGTTATATTCTGCCAATTTTAGTCGCCATCGAGTAAGACGAGAATTAGGTTCTCTTAAATTAAGAAGCCATTGAAGAGGCTTGTGGTCTGTGATAATTTTGAATTTGCGGCCAAATAAGTAAGGTCTAAAGTATTTCGTTGCCCAGACTATTGCAAGCAATTCCTTTTCGATGGTGGAGTAATTCAGTTCGGTGTCGTTAAGGGTTCTGGATGCATAAGCGACTGGTCTGTCTGAGCCAATGGGGCCTTGTGACAAAACGGCTCCTAGGGCGACGTTTGAGGCATCCGTAGTCAAAATAAAATCTTTAGATAGGTCTGGATACTGAAGAATGGGGTCGTTCATTAGTAAAGTCTTGCAATGTTCGAAACATTTCACATAGTCAGGGGTCAGTAAAATTTTAGAACCTTTTTTAAGGCACGTTGTAAGGGGTTTTGTCAAACGAGCAAAATCCGGGATAAAACGTCTGTAGTACCCGATAAGTCCTAAGAATCCCTTTATTTGCTTAGTGGTTTTCGGGATGGGGTATTTCAAAATCGCTGCAATTTTGTCAGGGTTGGGTTTAACGCCTTGGGTTGTAATAATGTGTCCTAAATATGGAGTTTCATGTTTAAAAAATTCGGACTTGTCCATTTGGACTTTAAAATTTGAGTCTCGAAGCCTATCAAAGATTTTACGTAGGTTTATCACGTGTTCTTGTAGAGAAGTTGAGAATACTAGAATGTCATCTAAATAGACAACGCAAATAACGTTCTGTAAGCCTCTTAGCACGTTGTCCATAACGCGCTGGAAAGTGGACGGACTATTTTTGAGTCCCATGGGCATTCTTAAAAATTCAAAGTGTCCCTGGCCGTCTGCAACACTAAAACCGGTTTTGTGAATGTCGTCAGGGTGCATTTCCACTTGATAAAAGCCACTGGCAAGATCAAGAGTGGAAAAATATTGGCATTTACCTAGCTTGTCTAGGATGTCAGTCAAGTTGGGAATGGGGTACTTATCGTCCACAGTCTTTTCGTTGAGTTTTCTAAAGTCAACTACTAGTCTCCATTTAGTTTTGCCCGAGGCATCTGCTTTTTTAGGGACAATCCAAATAGGCGCGCTCCAGGCTGAAGTAGAAGGTCGTATGATACCTTGGTCAAGCATTTTTTTAATTTGTGTTCGAACTTCTTGCCTATGCACAAAGGGATATCTGTAGGTTTTACTATAAACGGGAATTTCGTCAGTGGTTGTTATTCGATGCTTAATTTTGTTTGTGAATGTCAAGGGTTCGTCATCGAGATAAAATATGTCGGAATATTCTCTACATAATGCAAGTAAATTGGCTTTCTCCTCGGCATTCATATGTCCCATTTGTAACCGCGAAGAAATTTCCTGGAATCTCACGGGGTCGTGAGTCATACAGTTCATTGTGTCGGCTAAGTCAGTTTGTTCATTAAACACGTGCACCTGCAGAGGTGTGGAAGGTGATAAAGAAAAAGTAATATCATTTTCAGATGGATTTAGAATTTCTATATAAGCCTGACTGTTTTGAGCGAACGAAAAACAGTCCGTGATATTGCAACCACATATGGTTTGGGATTTAACACAAATATCGCCTTCAGAAATATTAGTTGGAACCTTAACAATCTGAGTTGATTGCGCGGGAATAACGGTCTCAAATAAATTAACGTTTGTAGAATTGTACATTAAGATTGGATTTTCTGCATATTGTGTCTTTAATACGTGAGAGCTGAGGTCAATTTTGGATTGCCACTGTTCTAGAAGATCTAGGCCAATTAAACCATCGAAATATTCGTGAAATCGGTAGACAAAAAGTTTTATAGGGTTTTGGTCATTAAATTCGGGAAAACAAGGTATGGTGACTGAATAGTCATTTCGAGTCGTAGCGTGTATGTTCGTGACGATCAAAGAGTCGTAATTCAATTCGAAGTTTGAAAAAAAAATTCTCACCGCTTCAGGGCTAATAAAAGATTGATTAGCGCCGGTGTCTATGAGAAGCTTTAAAGGAGGATCATAAATTTGAATAAACGGTAGCTGTCTTTGATTTTGGAGATGTAACTCTATTCTGGGGATGTCTGATCCGGAGTCAACTGAAAATTTCCTTGGTCATCATAGTCCACTGTTGTGTCAGTCATTTGCTCATTGTAGTTTTCAGCTTCTAATGCGTATGCCTGCTGGTCATAGTCAAGGTCGGTATTGTAAAAAGTTTCAGGGTCAAGGAATTCGTTGAAGTTTATTTGTGGTGAGTGCGTATTTTGATGAGTGGGGGGTAATACTCGAGCAACTGGATGGCTAATGCCGCTCATAGGCTTAGGAAAGTTTTGATAGTTCTGTGCAAGATTTCCTCGAGGGGGGATTCGGAAACCAGTGGACATGTTAGAACGCGGCAAGGCTCTCATCATCTGTTGAGTCCTTGAAGGTCCTTGTTGATATGTAAAATTATTGTGTGTGGGGGTAGACCTAAAGCTGTTATTAGAAGAAATATTTTTCGGTACAAAATTATTAGCAAAATTGTTAGGGAAAGTGTCTTGTTGCATGAAAGGGTATTTAAAAGGTTTAAATTGACGTGTAGGCATTCCAGAATTGAATTGTCTCGGAGGCATAAAGTGAGTCATGCGAATTAAAAGGTGAGTAATTAAACGGGGCATTGTTAATCGATTTCTTAGAAATTAGCGGGTTACTGGCTTTAGATTGTAAGTATAAGACGTTTAATTCTTCCTGAGCAAATTCCAAGGCCTTTTCTAGCGAGTCGGGGCGCATGCACCTGACACGTGAGCCTAAAGGCTCGGCTAGGCCTCTGGTATATGTTTGAAGAGCTAATTTTTTGTAAAGTTCACGTTTAGCCTCAACTGTTGTTTTAATTTGTTCGTGTAATTCTACATAAGTCATAATTATACTAAGTAAATTTTGAACTCGCTCGTAAAATATTTGCGGTGTATCGGAACCTTGAGTTAACATAGATAAATCGGTGTATAGGGCGGACTCGTCTCTGTGATCCGAAAAGCTGTTAATTAGCGCATTTCTTATGCCATTCCAGTCCTGGGGGATGCCATTTGTTGCTAATGTTTTAGCAGCAGGCCCGGTTATTTTATTTAAAATTCCATTAATTAAAGCGTAATTATTTAGTTCATTTCCCGGAGCTGGATAAACATATGTTAAAATCAGTTGGTCGCAAATGTTCAAAAATCTAATTAAAATGTTCGAATTTCCATCAAACTCAGGGACTAGTCTTAAAGATTTCCAAATCCTTTCTGTCATATCGTTTGAATAAGCTACAGATTGTTGTTCGGTCGCCATTTCTTCTTCTATGCTTTCTAATGTAGATAATTCGATTTCGCGATGAAACCTTAATTCTCTAGAATTAGGACGAATACTGCGCCGCAGATTCGGTCCTATATCTCTACTTTTCTTTGGAAAAAAAATCTTGAAAACTTTCTAAACTATTAAAAGAAAACTTAATTAATTTACTTATTAAGTCCTACGGGAGACAGGAAAGGGGCCGCTGTCAGCCAATAGGAATAACTAGCAATCTTTCTAACTATAAAAAAATTAATTTACTTATTACGTCCTACGGGAGACAGGAAAGGGGCCGCTGTCAACCAATAGGAATATCTAGAAATCTTTCTAACTATTAAAACAAACTTATTTAATTAACTTATTACGTCCTACGGGAGACAGGAAAGGGGCCGCTGGCAACCAATAGGAATACGTAACTTATATAATAAAACTCACAGGAGCAGGATGCTTAGCTTAGTGTGGTGATGGGCCATCGATTTTTGGATTAGCGCCGATTTTCGAAGTTGATTCTTCTTTCCCGTCTGACGACTGCTTCGCGTAGATTCGTAGAGATAGTCGACACGCCGACGACACGACTATCAGGCTGATCGAAGTATGATGCTCGCACTGACTCGACTATCCTACCGACTGCGCCAATTACGGAATTGAGCCGTCAGGTAGGGTTTTTAAAAACTAAACTTTTAATTATTACTTTATTTATTTAAATGTTATACAAATTTACTTATACTAATTGATCCCGATGATCCGGTCTTACAAACTATACGTCAAGATGCTTCCACGATTGAAGCTCAAGCAACTCCCAAAACTGTCCGAAGGTTTTACATTAACTAAATCTGTCTAATAAGCACTTTTCAACACGATTGCTCAATCGAGCCACCTGCACTTGGGAAACACATAATGTACGCGTGACGTATGAGTGACGTAGACGAGTCTTGTACTCGTAACACACACTTAAATATTTATCCCCTTATTAATAAACAAAGAAAAATCTTGGATTTGTTACTCCATGTTTTGTCTCTGTTCATTGAATGACAAATGGCATTTGAGCGATAGGAACAAAACACGGTGTAACTAGTCAAAGCTTATTCTAAGTTTATTAATAAGGTGGTTAGAAGAATAAATTCCCAATATCATATGTATAATAATGTTTAGATAGTTCTTTTGCAGTGAATATAATATCAAATCAATCACTTTATAAAATAAGTATATAAAGATGATTTTTTTTGCAGTGGCTAGTCGATAGATTGAACTGGCAATATGCTATGTAAGTACCCTATTGCTGTTTCAGAATGTAGGTAGTTAACAGTAAAAAACTAGGTAACTTCGTCTGTACAAATCATAAATCAAAGATAATCGACATACCGACTCTATCAGTGTATCCCTTGGCCATCCATCTGTCATCTAAAAATCGGGAAAGTTCATTGAAATTGGTGGCTCTCTTCTCCTGTCTGGGCTCTACAAACTTTTTAAACATTTTCTGCGCTCGCGAAGACACCATTTTCCAGAGCTTGGGTTGTTTCCTAAGAGGATTTGAGCTGTTGTACCAACCATAATAACTGAAAATTGAAAGCACAGCACACCATTATTTATAATATAACATTTTCTAACGAAAATGTGTCGACGCTTATTTGCCACACTACATAGTAATACTTGCCTTGTGTATCTAGGATCGTCGAAGGCGGCTTTTTGCCAAGGCAAACAACCGGTCAGGCAAATAAAAATAACTATTCCGAATTGCCAAATATCATGTGCGATTAGTGCCCTGAAAGTAAAGCAATTGAAAAAGGCTTTTCATTGGCGTGTGAAGAGCGTCTTAAATTAACTCTATTTATAACACATATAAACCCAATTAGGATACACCAAATATAAGAATAAACCTATATATAACTAAAATATAAAATAACAATGAACGCTATGGCACAAAAATTAATTGCTCTGATTCTACTAAAATCTTTAAAACTATGATTTCTAAAGTAACTAGTAAACTATGGTTTAGAAAGGAAGACAGTTTGATTAGATTTCACAATAAAAGTATGTAATGTTATACTATTAATATCCATACGCCTCCTTAAGGACAATACTTACTTATATGTAGTATCCACGCATAATTTCAAAACTTCCGGTGGTGAATACGGCAACCATTCGTTTCTTCTCCTAACAGCGGATTGAGCTTTTCTAGTTTCACCGAAGTCACACAGTTTGATTTTAGAGAAGTCCGATTTGAATATCAAAATGTTATCCAGTTTTACGTCGCGGTGCACCAAGTCTCGTTGATGGAGGTGATCCAGAGCAGATGATAGCTGTTTAGCTACTCTCTTTGTATGAATTTCACCTATACCCGTGTCTAACATGTTCGATGTTAGGTCACCTGTAAAATTAAAATGTAGTATAGATGAACGATTAAAGTCTTCAATAAAAGAGAAGGTATTCTATTCTAGTGGACAGTCCATGTAGATTATCGGCATCACCACGGAGGAGGTCATATAAAAGTACTAGAGGTTGTCCGCGACTTCATCTGCGTTGAAAATTTGGTTTTCCTATGTCATTTTCCGGGGCTATCTCATTTCAACCAAAACGGTTCAACGATTTAAGTGTGTAGAGGTAACAGAGATACAGGCACACTTTCGCATTTACAATATCAGTATGGATTTCACATGGGTGATACATGGCTGTAAAAGTTTAACGTTTAATTTTTTGCCAGTGGATATTACTACTAAAATTTGATTGCACAAATAAGTTCGCGGTAGCAATGGTCGAATATTAAAATTACCTATTGAAATTAATTTGTTTTAACCAACTTAAGAAATTCATGCAAACTATTATTGTAATGAGAGCTGGCAGAACAGTCTTAGGTTTTAAATTCATTCAAAACTATTTGTTGGCTAGAATCCAACGCACAGCAACCGAACAATGTGTTATAGTAATTCCAGTTTAGATGCTAATATTTTCTCATAAGATATTGCAAACAAGGCTTGATGATGTTCATATATTCATTTTAGAGGTATTAAAATTTTGTGCCAAGCTCACGAAACCAAAAGAACTAATAATGTATGAATTTTATTACCCAACGGAGCGTACTCCTGGCAGAACACATAGAAACCTGCAGTTTCGAATGCAACATCGAATGTTGTAACGATATTCCTATGTGCGCTTAAATGTAGACTATAATGGAATTCCCTATAAAAATCTCTAATAGACACGTAGGGTTTTGGGAGCGCTTTGAGCACTATTTCTGTGTCTGAAGCTCTGTGTTCTACTAAAAGAATTTTTCCGAACCATCCTTCTCCGACGATTTGTAATATGTCGAATTCCTCCACAAGACTGACCTGAAACATTTTTTAATGATTTTTGGAGTTATTTTTTTTTATTTTAATGCAACTATGTATCGTCGTTGATATGCCATACAAATTAAACTTACTTTTTCAAGTTCGAATTCTCTTATTTTATGTATTGAGCCTGTTAAAGCTCGCCTTGTGCCGTTATTCATTTTAGATTTCTTCTTTCGAACATGGCTTTTTCTTCATCTGCAATGAAAAAAAGAGGTTTTGGATAGGTGACCTTACAACCTCACGTCTAATGAAAGTTATTTTGGGTAGCTCATATCTCCGGTCTCGAATGGGTGGTTTAAAATGTCCCCATTTCTCGCGAAATCGTTGAGTGAATGATCTTGGATGATCGCCAGGCTCTGATGTCTACTCCAGATCCAGACAGCATAGTGACGTCATGATGACGTCACCCTCAATATCATAAAAGTCGTCTTCGGGGGAGTCATTGTGAAATTTATATTGAAGGCAGTGACTACATAAACAATCATTAATGAAAAATCAAGCAATATAAGCAATCTCCGTATTCCATCCACAGGGAAGACCTGTGCCCCAGCAGTGGGGACATTAATAGGCTGATGATGATGATTATGAAGCAATATATTATATAATGATAACAAAGTGTATATTCTATGAATTATTCTCTATTTATTGAATAACATTCTACCTATCTACTTACAAAAAAAAATACCTAAAGTTAAAACTTTCATTAATATTATGCGAATATTTTTTACGTAGGAAATCTTTTGCGTTAATAATTACATTCCTAACGTCTCTTAGTTCTCAACTGACACTTACATTATACATTTGTTACATCAATTCCTCTTCTTAAGAAATAGCCTGTTATTTGAGTGGAAGAAAAAAAGCTCTTCCATTCAGATACACTGATATCGCTGTTCCGACGCAACGATCTTTAATATGGGACGTCGTAAGTTTGTCAACGGACTAAGATCGTTATATGTTTTTTTTTTCCGGAAAATAATTTGGACCTACTAAATGTGGTGTAGTTGATTGAAGTATCACCTTTTTTAAATGAGGCATGCTGTCGAGTCTGTGTGTTCCTCGATAAAATTCTACTTAAGATAGAAACATTAAACATTTCTTTTGGAGTTACACAAGACTAGAATGATATCATGATTAAAATCGTTTAAAGGGTAGTAAAAGTTTGTCATTGTGCCAGTTTGGTCAACGACACTAGAAGGACGGTTAGGCAATTGATACTTTGGCATAGGATAGAGGAAGATTATTATATTACACTCAGAATTCCGAAGTGTTTCATAATATTGTCCTAAATACGAAATTAAGAAGGTTGGATTTTTTAATATTAATAATGAAATTATACAGTTACATAGAACATGAAAAAACTAAACTGTTCAACAAACTTCTTGCTGTCCCTATTATTAGGATAATTCAACAGTTTAAAGTTTATTGTGCGGATTGTACAATGCTATTGCACGAATGAGTTTTACTTAGTAATTTGTTGAAAAGTTCAATCCTTTAAAGGGAGTAAGGGAAGGTAATCATGATGTTTAAAAAGAACTTCAGTAATACTTAATTAATGAAATAGAAAGTTACTTAACCAAGCCGACTATATGTTGGTATCATAATTTACTGGCAATCAGAGCATACACATACGAGAATATTGTAGGAACACAAGCTTACAGCAACTCACAGAAACAGAAGTGGTTATTCAATGCTTTTTCGTGGTACTTATTCTATAAGTTCTTCTAGTTCCTTGACCGACTTGTGGTGTCTGGACATCTTCAGTAACCATCTTTACCCAAAATTCAAGCTATAGCTGACTTTAGCTCGCAAGAAAATTTAGTTTTAAATATACTTTTTCGGTCTTTGCCTTATGGTTAAAATTCGCAAGGTATCTTTCTTTTATTCTGGCTGTTTTAAACTATAATTTCTCGATTTTCTACTCTGCAGTTTTTCATAAAAACAAATCTCAAACAACCACAAAAACTATCAGAATATTTTATACGGCAACAGTGGACGTATTTCAATGAATATTACTGGCGTGTTATGCATCCAGCGACCAAACCTCCTCCCGTATTAGTCCCGGAAAAGAAGCATTTTGGCTCGCAACTTTTTCGTCCACCATGGATTTACTTGAAATTTTCACAAAAGGTAGGGAACAGCTCAAGGATCATTTTCTATATCATGCCGCTATACGCTAGAGCCTTGGGGGTGGTTGCTACCCCATCTCGGGGGTGGAAATTTTTTATTACATTTTAACTGTAGAAATCTTCGGAAAAAAGTAATTCTAAGAAAAAAATTTTATATATTCGTTTTTTTCGTAAAACTAATATTTTTTTGAGTTATTCAAAGTTGAAAGTAACAGATTTTTGACGAAAAAACCGACTTTTGACGAATGGTTTTTTGCGAATAACATATCAGAAAAGTGTGAAGAGTCAAATTGTAGCTTTTAAAAAAACGATAACAATGCGTTTCTTATAATGTTTCTGTGACAAATAAGAACTAAGATACAGTAAATTAATGCTTAGTTTTTTTCGTCAAATGCATAAATTGAAAGATTTACAGCGAAATAACGAGAAAAAATTGCATTTTTCGAAAAAAGCTCATAGAATCTTTATTAGAGTATTTAATAAGAGCTTTCAAACAAATAAAAAAGAATATCCCTAGCATGAAAATTGGTGACTTATGATCAAAACAAGATCGGTACCCGCTTTTTTTCTACGAAAGAAATCTGTGAAAACAACCACTAAAGTATCCCCTAATTAAAATTGATCGCCACCCTTCTGTAATTCTCTTTATACCTATATTTACTATTAATACACCCACGAAGTTGGACCAATTTAAAATGCCAAATTTTAGAAAAATTGTAGTTTAAAGAGAAAACCGTTTTTTGTTCAATTTCGTATTTTTCACCATTTTCTGAAAAATATCTCCCAAAATACTAAAGATACGAAAGAACCACTAAAGTATCCCCTAATTAAAATTGATCGCCACCCTTCTGTAATTCTCTTTATACCTATATTTACTATTAATACACCCACGAAGTTGGACCAATTTAAAATGCCAAATTTTAGAAAAATTGTAGTTTAAAGAGAAAACCGTTTTTTTTTCAATTTCGTATTTTTCACCATTTCTGAAAAATATCTCCCAAAATACTAAAGATACGAAAAAACAATATAGTACTAAATTGTAGCTTTATTAATGACAAAAATTTCCCTGTGTGCATATTTTTTGTACAGTGAATATTCGGCGAGATATAGCCGTTTTCAAGCGCTTTAAAACTCTCCCCATCTAAAAATTGAGGGACCTTAAGTAATTTCGTTCACATAGTCTTATAGCTCCTGAAAAGCTCTACAATATCGTTTCTGAAAAAAAATTATCACCTAAAATGAAGGAGCTTTGCTTAAAAAACCGATAAATTTTTTTTGGAAAAAAGTATTTCAATGTTTTCAAGGGTTTTTTTAACAACGGTAGGTTAAAAGATTATGAAATTGTATCCTTAAGCATGAAACAATCATTTTTAACTGTTTTTACCCATATTTAGGTTTTTAATTTTATTTTATAATTTTTGATAATAAGGGGTAGTTTTCACCCCTAAAAAACAAAAAGTGTACAACGGTACAATATAGAAAATGAACTAAAGGGTGAAATAAGCCTAATCGCTTATTACGTAATGTGAAATTGACATCAAAACAATATCACAATTAGCGAGGATAATAATGGCCTGCTGAGATGCTCGGGTGCAAGGAGTGGGGGATGTGTGTGAAACTAAGAAATTGAGAACAGCACTAAGCCTGTTAAACTCCACATCCATAATTAAAGGTTATATAGTTACTAACAAAAACTTTGTTAGTAACTATATAACTCGTGTACTTTGAGTATACTCAAGCTCGTTGACGTGGGCAGTGCATTTTTAAAAACACATCTACTGGAGCACTAAACACAGATAGAAGTTTCATAATATTAATTTATTAAAGAAAAGATTATGTAATTAGATTTTTTTAATCGCTTATTTGTTCATTACATTACATTTTGATATTGGGGTGTGTTGTGTTGTGATGTGGAGAATTCGATAGTTGGTAAAATAGACCCATGGATACGAATCCGAGACCGAATCGAGATGTAGCCAGGGAGAGTATAGGTAGATAAGAGAGAAAGAGGAGAGGACGGTTTATCAATAGTGAGAGACGAAAGGAAGAAGAGAGGAAATACCATTTGATGCAAAAACTTGGCATCGGAATTTTATTTCACGAACAGTTCTCGCATTTTTTTTTCAGTTCAGCTTCAGTCAGGCAGGACAATGTAACCGCTGAAGTTTGGGGCATTTGAGAAAAATATTGCTGTCAGGCATTGGCAAATACCGTGTGAAAGAGACAACAGTAGGTAACGCTGAAAATTGCGTATAAAAATTGTAAAATTAGAGGTTTGGCTCTTGACGATTTCCTCCTCGAAAATTTAATACATGCAAAAGAAATTTTACACAAAGAATAAAAAGTAGTTATAATAATATGCCTCAAAGATTAGATTTTTTTAAAATGCTTTTTAAATCTCCACACTAGACTAGTCTTTAGTGGTGATAAAAATTTGATTATATTTAGGCCTTTATCGAGGACTTCTAGTTTCTTTGAAACACAAGTTATCGAAAAAAGGAAGACATAGGAGCATAAATGAGTAAAATTATATTTATGCATGAAAATCAATACTTTAGTGATAAAAATCAAGGAGGAATCAGTCCAGAAAGTTTGTATGGAAAATACATAGCGCACACATTTAATCAACCTTTATAATCATTTGTCCTTGTTAAGATATGTATGTACATTAAAGTTTTTGTTTTTAATAATGAAGCTGAATTAGTTAAGGCTTAGGTAGTAAGTTTAAAAATGGGAAATAAGAACTTCAAGGATACAAGTATAATCACGAAAATATAATATTTTCTGGCATTGTTCACGTCCCTTTCTGTGATTTGGTTTGCAGCTTCAGTGAGATTAATAAAAATGTAGTACGAGCCTTGCATTTCGTCGTTATTCGACTAACACATAGAAGACCAAATAAGCGTATGATTAAGCTACTAAACACACCAATGCTATTCGTCGCTCATTAAGAAAATCCACCAATGAGCTTTGCGTATTATCAATACCTATGATGATAATTATATTGATAAAAATTAAATAAAGACAACGAA